ACGACGCCGAATCGGCCTGTCCGGTCGACCACAAAACCCGCGATGCTTGGCTCCAAGCCGCCCGCGCCGCCGAAGCCTCCAAGCAGAGCCAAACCCCAAACCAAAGCCCACCGGCCACATGCCCAGTCGACCACTCCTCCAAACCCTCATCATCATGGACCCAGAAAATCTCCTCCCTCATCTGGTCCACTCCCTCCTCCGAGACGCCAACCATCCCCGCCAATCACCCCACGATACCTTCACATCCCGGCCTCGACAACGGCCGCGTAACCTCGACCATCCCGCGATCCTTCTCAGCAGACGCAGAGGATTGCCCCGTCGATCACGGCGCCTCTGCGAACCCGTCCAATGCGGAGATTGAGTCTGGCCGCGACGCTTCGGGCAACTGGGTCTACCCCTCCGAGAAGATGTTCTTCGACGCCATGAAGCGCAAGGGCTATGACGCTCGCGAGGTGGACATGAAGACGGTTGTGCCGATTCACAATGCCGTCAACGAGCGGGCGTGGGAGAAGATTAAGGAGTGGGAGGCTCCCTATCTGATTGAATCAAAGTGTGTAACTTCCCTCCCTTATCCTCCCCTTTGGACATGTATGTCTAACAAAGTGATTGAGCAGATGCGGCGGCCCCAAACTCACCTCCTTCGCCAACAAAAGCGAACGCATGACACCAACCGCCCGCATAAACACCATCCTCGGCTACACCGCGCCCTTTGACCGCCACGACTGGGTCATTGACCGCTGCGGCACCCGCGTCGACTACGTGATTGATTTCTACGCCGGTCGGCCTGGAGGTACTGCTGGAGGGCCGAGTTTCTACCTCGATGTGCGGCCGAAGCTGAATACGTGGGAGGGGGTGAAGATGCGGGCTGCGAGGTGGACTGGGCTTGCATGAGACAGAAAGGAGACTTGAACAGAACGAGGTGATATTGCTCTTTCTCGATATGATTCATGTTTGAGATGTATAAAATGGGGCGTTTTGGGATGGGTATAAAAAGCATGCTGCATTAGACAGATATAAACAGAGCTGGTAGTGCTCTTTGTATAATACAATCTCCCTGTACAATTTAAGAGGTTTGCTCGTACGAGTAGTTGCGTCCTGTCATTCCATCGTTATGCTCCTATCTTCGTTGAACTTGTATAATACAGTGCTAGCCACATCTGGCGAAAAGCAAGCGAAAAGCTCTCTTCCACTCATCCATCATTGCATATTCCTAGAAGCAGAAATAATTTAGGCGTTCTTCGCACGCGCACGCCGGATTTGCAGCCGCACAGGAGCCTTCGTCTCCAAAGACTGCGTCTCAACATCCCAGCCTTGCGCTGCCAGCTTGGCCCAGAGACCGGGACTGTTGAACTTTGGCTCAAAGTCACTATCCCTGTCCCTGCCCGCGATGCTAAACTTCCTGCCATTGCCCTCGACGCCGGCGTCGCAGAACATTTGGTCCAATTTCTGCGTGTATGCGCCATTGTCGCCCATCAGCCATGCGACTTCCATGGCGGCAAACCAAGCTCGGATGGCGTCGATAGGTTGAGCTCCGGCCCAGAGAAGTAACTTAATGGGAGTGACGCGACCAGGGACGCGAGAGCAGATGAAACGTGTATGGTTGATGCCATCGACAATGATAAGCTTGTCATGGGGATCGGAGCAGCTCAAAGCGTGGCTATAACTCTCGGCAAATTCGACTTGGGCTACTTTCTTTCCATGGAGATTGCGCATTATGGGATTCCAGAAGATGATGTTTTCTCTTTCGGCCACTTGCTCGGGAGTCAAGACTTTGCCGCTCCTGAGATACTCTTCAAAAACGATTGTAGCTCGTTGGCGGTTCAGTGTTGCCATACAAACACTGCGGACGCCAAGATAATTCGTCGCGAGATGAGCAATAACGAGGAGAATCATCAGAATAACAACACTGGAGTGATCCTCAATCATCTTGACCACCAGCGTTCCCACAAGCAAACCGACCAATCCCACGGCTGTCTCCTGGCTAGCTTCCTTTGCGTTGAGCTCTGCTAGATTGTCATGTTTCGCAAAGTGAACGCTCAGCGCTGCCTTGCTGGCACCAGCAGCAACACCGCATAAAGCCCTAAGCGCTTGACCTGTACTGAGCGCAATGACTTTGCCCCACGAGCCCAGATACGGACTGTACAGCTCCAAGAAGAAGGCGCTGTCGTTGAAAACATCGGCCAGGAAACGGTATCGCTTGGCATCTGGCTCGATGCGAAGGCCGAAGCGGTGGGCAAACACGATGGTGGCAATGCGAGACATGGCATCCTTCATGATTGTGAGAAGGAGGGCAAACGTAGCGGACGACGAGGCATCGCCAACTCCGAGGCCTTGAAGCAGAGCGCGGTTGGCAAGGAGCGAGCTGATGGTTGAAAAGAAGGCCTGGAGAGAATCAAACATTTGATATGCGAGGTAGTCCTTTGAGACGGAGTGCGGGAATCCCACGGGGAGGAACGAGTCCATGACTGCCTTGCGCCATTCTCGGAGAGAGCGAGAGAACAGGCCGTTGGACGTTTTCTTGAGCTGAATCTGGATTGAGGATTAGAATATGAAGTGCTTATCGGATTCGCAGGGTGGAAGAGGGAAGAAAGAGAGAGGGAAGAAGCTCACTGGCAAGATGTGGCCGTCGTGGGCATGAAGCCATTGCTGCTGCGGGTGGCCCGATTTGTCCAGCTCTACAATCTCGACGTCGTTACCCCAGGCCAGCAGATCTGTAATCTTCTCCATCGGATCGTCCTCGTCTGGCAACATGGCTGTTTTATTCACCTGAAGCTTGCAGGCGTAGCAGTAAGCTTGGAATGGATGCCGAGCTTGTAGATTCAGGAAGAGAAATGCGCGCTGGAAGGCTGTCTCGAAAAGTAAAAAAGAGCTCACGACGATATGATGAGAGAAAAGAAAGACCCAAATTAGGTGAGAGGAACAAGAGAGTGAAGTGTGAAGCGTGTGCCAGGTTTGGCGTGAATGGTGCAGAAGGAAAGTTGTCAGTTGCAGGGGTGAGGTTGCGCGCATGGCAGGTGAATCAGAAGTGGCAGAAAGTAAAAGTTCCAGCAGCTGCCTGAGCCACACAACAGCCAATCAGCAAATTCTTAACATGATAATTATTCGAAATCAATTATTTCCGTCTCTAATGCATCTATGGATGTGTATCAACTTTTGTTCGCTGGAGACTTATGCACAGCTCATTACATCCCATCAAAACGCCGTATTGAATTGCCTGCCCGTCTATCGCTTCACAGGTGTGCCATCCTCAGCAACCAAAAACTCCTCCGTCTTCTGCGGGCCCTCGCCAACGCCCGTCATAATCACTCTGCTGACGCCCTCCTTGATTGTGCTTGCAATGCCCTCGTCCAGCTTGACGGTGGAGTTTGCGGCGCTTCCCTCCTTCCAGCCTTCTGTGGCGGCGACGAACGGCGCAAAAGCACCCAGCACTGTGGCCGCATCCTCCTCCAGATAGTAGATGACGGCATTTGGGCCGGCATCAAAAGTATAGGCAGCGACGGTCTTGCCCGCCTGAGCGTTGATGGCCTCGACGGCGCGGATTGCGGCCCTGGAGACGTCGTTCATGTAGAAGATGGGGGGGTAGGTATCGGCGCAGGTGGAGTGGAACGAGTTGGAGTCGCGCATGGTGACCTCGGCGAACTTGGCGAAATCGCGATTCTTGATGGCGTCCTCCATGAGGGCCATGTTGGCGGGCACGACGGTTTCTATTCTCGACTTGAAGAGGCCAGAAGTGGCGACGGTCTGCTGCATGCCGGAGGTGGAGGAGACGCCCTTCTTGGCGGCGCTGACGACCAGAATCAGGGCTCGCATGGAGGGCCAGTGCGATGCGGGGGCGACGAGGTCGGCCTTGGAGTCGCTGCCGTCCTTGTTGTCGCCCATTCTCCAGGCGACGTAGCCGCCGAACAGACTGCGGCAGGCAGAGCCAGAGCCCTGGCGAGCAATGATGGAGAGCTCCGCGGGCGAGTCGGGGAGCTCGTAGAGGTTGGCAATGGCCTGGACGAGAGCGGCGAAGCCAGCAGCGGACGAAGCCAGGCCAGCAGCTGTGGGGAAGTTGTTCTCGGAGACAATCTTCAGGGGGAAGGTCGACAGCTTGGGCAGAGAGGCGTCGGCAGCCTCGAGAGCGGCTCGGCGGGCGCGCAGCTCGCGGAAGCAGGCCTGGGTTCGCGCGCCGGAGATATCAGAGGGCTCGCCATTGAGGAGGAGGCTGTCGTCGCCCGAGTAGGTGGAGGAGCAGGAGGCGGTGGTGAGGGTGCGCAGGTCGTTTTGCGAGAGCGTCACGGAGAGGGAGCTGTTGGTGGGGAGGTTGAGCTTGGCATCGCGCTTGCCCCAGTATCTGACATTGATGTTAGCAGTCTATTCTTCTCTGAATCTCCTATTCCTCCTTGTAATTCTCAAGACTCGATGCCTAGACGTACTTGACAACGGCGATGTTGACGGGAGCGGTAGTGCTCGCGCGGTAGACCTTTGTGTCCGACATGGCGAAGGCTGATGCTGTGAAATGCGACGACAAGTGGTAGAATCGGTGGCTGCGTGGAACTGTCCTGTTTCTCGTGCAACCGGAATTCCAACGACTGCTGCAAGAGAGAACAATGGGGACGAGATGCTCGGGGACGATTAGGAGAAGTTGGCGAGAATGGATGGTGTTGGGCGCAAAGCGACTAGCACGGCTAACTGATCACTTTCACACCGCCCAGCTCAGGCACCATCCACATGTTTTCTCTGATTAGGCGCTAAATGATAGCGCCCTGCTCTGTATTTGCGCCGCTAATTGCTCGATTCATCTCCTTTCTTGTTCCTTTGGAGCCAAACCATTGGCGGCTTTGAAGCGATTTTCGTTGCGCGGGGCCTGCTGCAACCCCCACCACGCAAGTGGCCGCTAATTTGCAGGGTCCAAGATTGGGGGAATACGAGTACGAGAGATGTGCTGAAATGCGCACGGCTTTCTCAGGCTCAGCTCGGTACTATAAATACGACTTATGACTGTGTAAGATATCGCTTTGATGAACGCCGATCCAACCCAGACATCCTCAGCCGGATGGAAGTTGGGATTGATTTCGAATCAGAATTGCTCCTTTGCACGCTGGAAGCGTAGACAAAGCACCGTCTTACACGCCTGGAGATCGTATGCCAGACGACGCCGTGTCTCTTCCGTCAGCGATTGGAACCAAAGGCATCCGTCTGAGGATGATTTTGAGAGGATTCCCGGAACAATGTCCTATAGGAGCCGTATCAGCTCACCAGTCAATCTAGCTGACTGAGTACGCGGAGATGGGGATATTGGAGGTGTCCAGCGCGAGTATGTCCTCTTTGGCATAAACGCAAGAGGAAGGACGAGTCTAGGACTGATGATTCGAGAAAGATATTTCATGATTAATCCAAGTTGTGATGTAGGAATGGGGCATCCACTCCTTGGGTACCTACATCGTGAGGCGACAAGAAGCAAGCACAACAATACTTGGAGCATTTGGTGTATTTAAGATGCTCTATACTCGAAAGAAACTGGAGATCCCAAATTTCATAGTCAAAATCACTCCACCACGCAATGAATGTATGGGCAGAGATAGACTCTGTTATCCAAAACGACCTGAAGAAGCTCGAAATAGTACTATCAGCTCCCACCTACCTACAAGAGGGCCTCTGATCGACAAATTCGGAAAAATTGCGCTTTATAGATTTTCGATAAATCCGTGTCAGAATCAGAAATAGACGCCATTACAAAAAATTCTGTATCATATTTCATTGAAACAAAAATGTCCCAAATTTTTCCAAAATAGCATTTAGGATTATTCTCACAAAGAAAAACCCGAGAGACAGATAAAAGGTATTGAGACTTGCATCTATCACCCCAAGCTAAATCAATATCAAATAATTGGGTATCAATCCTATATAAACGCCCATCGCCACAAAACTCATTCACAACGCAACGTCTTTAAAACGCCATGCCGTAGTCACAGTCATATTGTCCCCCATTTATACCACATAATCTGCCGCTCTTAATAGCTCATCGAGATGCCTCTCATTCCCAGGCGCCCATTGCTCCGGCCAGAGGACGTCAATGTAGCGCTGCTCTTCCCTCGTAAAGTCACGTCTATAAATGACGTGCTTGTCTTCTCCACAAGGGATGAAAAGGACCTTCAGCCCATCCTTCTCCACGGTCAGGTTCTGAAGGCCCAAGCTCTCAAACGTCTGCTTAATGAGCTGGGCCTTGGCTCTCACTGTGGCCATCATCAGGTGGTCATCCTCGCTGTTCTGGACCTCCCTCATAATAAGTGCCATCCACTCCAGGAGTACCACGAAGAGTCTCTTCTGGATCTTGTTCCAACGTCGGTGATATCCTTTGTCTTGGACCCACAGCCAGACGTCCTGAGGATCGCACGCGATAACCCACTCGTAGCACCCGGTGGCTCGTTGTACTAGAGGCACAGCGTCGTAGTCCCTTTTGAGGGCTATCAATGCGTTTTTGAGGATGTCATTCCCCCTCCTGGCCGCTGCCCTGATGTGTCTGTCGCAGCTGCGATACCAGACATGATGCTGGGCGTAACTGTATTCTTCCCCGCTAGAGATGTCGGCGAGGGCTGGGAGGTTGCTGCCGTAGTATTCACGGCGGGGCTGGGGGATTTCGTGGGCCGTCTCGTCTTCGTATATGGCAAAGTCGAGATCTTGCTTGGTCTGTCGGATCCGAGGACCGAGTTGGTATGCGGCTGATGCCACGGGTTGTCGTTGGGGGTTGTCAGAACGTGGGAGGGCGTTTACGGGGCGAGAGCTGTTTCCGTTGTTGCGACCGTCCGCCCTGGTGGTTGGGACGGTGTTGGCAAAGTTGACGTTCATTGTGTAGCGAGAAGATGAGATGTCGCTCGCGTGGCAGAAGATACAACGTCTAGTACTGGCCTGCGTACATACTATAAATGCCAGATGTCACAATAGAACACCAGCTGGTACATGTTAGTAAGGATAGTAGACAAATAAGCTGACAGGGGGTTTGTGTATACATACTATATCAATAGAAAGTAGGTGTGCGTGTGTGTACATGTATCTGGGAGCGAAGGTCTAGTATATTAAAGGCACAAGGTGGCATACGGCAAGCAAGAACCAGTATGGACTTTGAAGACTGACTCGATAGAGATGCTATGTAAAAGGAAAGAAAGAAGCAGACATTTGGGTAAAAGGGGCACAATATACAGCCCCTGGGACTCTAATGGCTGAGTGAACTGTAGAATAGGCTTTGGCCTTGGATTCGAAAAATGCTCACTTAGAAGTGCCATAGAACGTAATCAGAGCCAGAATTCATAAAAGATGTGGGTATCCAAGGCATTTAATCGAAGAGGCGTTCACAGCCAATACTGCCTTGCAGCTTCTTTTTGTTACGCTGCCGTGTCAACAGTCTCTTTTTTTATGCATATATTTTTATATATAACTTCATGCTGTGAAGAAAGCAGCCTTCGGCCAAATCCTCTTGAAACATCTCAGATTTTGAAGAAGACTTCAGCAGCATTTGCAAATCTCGCGTTGTTCTAGGCTTCATTTCCAGCCAAGTTGACTTCATATGGGAGTAATCGACCACAGCATGCTCCACCATTCACGAGCTATTCCAGCGCCAACGGCCCAAATACGACAAGACCTATCTTTCGATACTCGAAACAGGCATCAAACGGCGCTGTGTATGTGCATCTTACACGTATTTCTGAACTCTTAACAAGCCATCCTGTCATCCTGGCTCTCCTCCTTGTATGCGAGACGAGCAGGATCATCTATAGACTGTTGTGCATGTTCAATGCCTAGTGCTGCTAGATCTTACATTTTACAAATTGTACTGTTGGACGCGCATATAGGATTCATTTCGATAGTAAAGTAGATGAAGTTTATTATCTGCGGGCGTAGTTGAATTGCAAAGGTAGTGTTGCGCGTGAGAGCCCTGGCGACCTGATGCAGCAAGCCTATTCGTTTGAAACATCAAGGACCTGTATTTCGTTCGGAAAGCCCTGAGGACTTTCTTCCTTTGTAGATAGATCATCATCACACCATCATCTCTTTTCCTCATCATCTTCTACTTGTCGCACAGCAATTCTTGGGGCGCTGCCCGGACGGTACGCCGTTTTCTATTCTCACAGCCAGCTGTCTAGCAGTTTCCACAGAAAGTTCTGAGTGGAACTGAAAAGTTTAGCTTTGAGATAGGCAGAGGCTTATGATAGGTAAAGTGAGTTTCTCGCAGTGCACTAACACAAGCCACCACGGATGAGGTTGAGTTTATTTACAAGCCTCTATAGAACTTAGACATGCCAACAAAGCCCGGTGATTCAAATAATATGGGCTTCAGTGTGCTGCCAATAGTACTGTGTCCTTCTGTTCCAATTCGAAGCTGAAACTGGCAATTTCAATAGTGAGAGCACTAACACGGATTGGCTGCAGGGGAGCCACAATTGATCGCCGACGCGGTCCGTGACGTCATGATTATTGGTCTTCCAAGGAACCAGCTTCACGGTGCAGCTTCTCGGCCTCCATTGTATTTATACTCTGCCAAGACTCTGACCCTGAATTATCCCCATCAATCACACCCAGTTTGACCTTTTATGACTGCCAAAGCTCTAATATGCAATGTTTGCGGCTAGTGCGCGATCGAGCCTCGGCGTCTTGCCGCTGATTTCCAGGCCGCGGGCACTGCTGCGAGGCGCAAACTGCACGAGACCGCATCAATGGCTCCAACCAAGCATCCAGCAGCATTTTCGCGTGCCTACAAGAGCTTTTTCGACTTCGAGAGCGGTATATGAGGATGGATCGAAGAACAAGTCCAAGGAACTGCCCGAAAAGGGCGAGGAGGCGGATGAGAAAGACGCCAGACGCCATGGGCAGCAGAAAAAGGCTGATGATAGGCCGTGGCACCGGTTGAGTGGGAGCAAGCAGTACAAAGAGACGTCGCCGGATCCCTCAGGCGGAGACGAGTCAAAAGGTAATTCCAAAATACACACGCCAAACAATTGATCTTATTGAAAACTGACATGTTGATCTGCAGGACGAGTCCTCACGACGCCTACCCGCTTGCTAAAGATTATACTCCCCATCCCTTTCCACGCCGGACAAGACACGATCAATGAATCAAAAGACGAAAACTACAAGGAGAACGGAAAAAGAGTAGAGCCGCTGGCACTGCTGGTACATCCTCAGCAGCCACTTTCCTATCTCGAGCGGCTGATACAGGCAGAGATTCCCCCGCTGGTTGTCCGAGGCCGCGAAAAGCTACCCGACATCAAGTTTCGCGCCGAAGCCGACCATCAAGAGTTTCCTGGTAAGTCAAGCGAGCGCGGCAAAAGCAATGTTGCTTCGTACTCTGGACTGGGCCGCGAGGGTCCCACAACGGATAAGGAGGCGAATTGGGTCTCATGGAGTGGTAGCACGGAGGTTGGAGACTTCATCCGAGATGCGGCTCGTGGACGCGAGTTTGCGATGAAGATTGAAGGGTTTGACAAAGAACTGCGGGTGGCGGTGCCCAGTTTCAAGGATCGGACGTATTACATGCGGCTGCAGCTCCGGCGGATGTCGAAGGACATTGATCAAATGAGCAAGATCAAGTCGGAGTGCGATCTCTTGGCGCACAAGGGAGCGCATCGTTTGGCCCAAGGAGGATTTGCAGCGCTTGCCGCCTGGTGGGGAGTGGTTTACTACGTGACGTTTCACACCGAGTTTGGATGGGATCTGGTCGAGCCGGTCACGTACCTGGCTGGGCTCGCAACTATCATGGGCGGTTACCTGTGGTTCCTCTTCATCAGCCGAGACCTGAGCTACAAGGCGGCGATGAATATCACGGTGTCGCGGCGGCAGCACGCGTTGTACCAGGAGCGAGGGTTTGATCCGCAGAAGTGGGAGCACCTGGTGCATGAAGCGAATACGCTGCGGCGAGAAATCAAGGCGGCGGCGGTGGAGTACGGGTATGACTGGGATGAGATGAAGGATCTTGGAGGAGAGGAAGTCAAGGAGATTCTGGAGAAGGAGAAGAATGGGAGGAAGAAGGATAAGGATGAGGATGATATTGTGGGTGATGATGACACGATGGAGCAGCCGAAGAAGAGAGAGGACAAGTAGAGTTTGTGCAAGCGGCTTGTTATTTTTTGATGAGAGACGAGGTTTTTTTTTTTGTTGTTTTACATATGTTGCATCGTATATATATCACGGCGTTTGTGGATGTACATGCGAGCTGGAATTATACTGGTAGTCTATAGGTAGCATAGAGGTAAGAGGAGCAAAGCAAGCAACGAGAAGAGCATCAATTCTATTACCTAAGACAACTTCCAGCGGGCGACCTTGGCTCGGCGACATTTGCCGGATCAACGACGCGGTCCGTCCAGCCGAAATGGGCCTATTTGCCTAGTGTGCCACCATCAGCTGTCTGGGGAGCTTTGAAAGCAATATAAAGAGGCAGTGGCGCAAAGACTATTTGGGCTGGTCAGACCACAGTAGCCATTGGGTGGTGTTTGTTTGTACAAAGTTTGTCTCAGCTGTGGCATGCAGCGGGTGAGAGAAGGATGATTGTATGGGTAATGAAGACATGTGATGGAGACGATGCTGCTGTTGGGCGGCATCTGACAAACAAACTCCATCTCTCTATCGCATGGTAGCTGTACATAAGTAACTACTACTAGTAGTAATTGTAGCTGCAGCCACTGGGGATATAAACCTGGGGCACAGCCATGGCTGCATAAGCTCTCCAGGGCTGCTCTGCTGCAAACAGCTCCTCTTCAGCTGCTGCAGTTACCCCGCCCCCGCTGGCTGCGTTTTGCTCTCCCCACACCATCATCATATCATATCAGACACCAGACACCATCCTCTACCGCTGATGCTACCATTGACCACTTCCCCTTCTTTACTTGTCTGCATTATACCTCTGTCTAGCTCCTAGCATCCACGGCCATGGCGCCGCAGCTGCTGCATCTGCCCGATGGCCAGACCTTCACCGTCACGCCCGTCTTCGCCGGCCTCGGCTTCAAGAGCCACGAGATGAACATGCACCCCAACGCCTTCCCCGTCGGCTGGAACGTCGTGCTGCACACCGAGGAGGAGGTCGAGTCGCCCTTTGAGCCCTACGAGCGCCGCCGCCGCAGCGATGCCGACGAGGCTGACGAGGCTGACGACAAGGACGCCCCAAACGAGGACGACAACGACGACTACAGCAACCGCAGCAGGTCGTCGCGGCCGTCGTCGTCGCGCATAAAGACCCGCGTGCACCCCTTTGTGCGCCCGACGCTGCACAATGACACGCTCTTCATCTCGTCCATCTCGAATCCGTCCAACTCCGACTTCAAGCCCGCCGCCAGCCCCACGCGCCAGATCGCCATGATGCTGTGGGTGACGCTGTACTGGTACTTCCACCAGCCCAAGCCCAGCGCCCAGCTCGACGTGGCCGCCGCCAGAGACACGCCCGACGATGCAAAGCCGAGAGGCGAGTGGCGCATCAACATCAAGCGCGACGGTGTGCTGCGCGGCCGCAACCTGATCCCGAAGCTGGAGCGCATGGGCCTGATTGCAGCGGCAGACAGTTCGTGCGGAACAAGCCTTGACGATGGCGGCGACGAGTGGGCGCGCATGTTTGTCTCGCAGCGCATGTTCTGGCAGATCCCGGGTCACCTGTTCCTCTTCACGCTGCAGCCCAACAACCGGGCGTTCTCGTCCGTGCCTGGGTCGCCGGTGACTAGTCGTCCCAACTCTCCCATCCATAGCGAGTCGAGCCAGTACCCGTCCTTGGATAGCCTTGCGCGCATGGACAACGACCTTCCCGGCGCACCAATGCCGACAAGCGTCCCGACGGCACATACCGTGCCCCTGGGGCCCTTCTACTCGTCTTCGCATCTGCCGACGTATTTTCCTCCGCCGCCGCTACAGTACACCTTCACAGACGGCGTTCGACACCCGGTGCGGCCGAAACCCCATAGGATGGGGGAGATTTTCTATTCGCGTTTCGTACCTAGTGTTGGACGATACCTGTCTCTGCGGGTTGCCTCGACGTCGACGAAGCCAGTGCCCTACCTGGGCCCCATTGGATCCAAGCCCCAGGAACACGCACACTTGACCTCTTTAACAGACATGCAGCTCCTCCACACGTGGATGGCGAAACCCCGAGTCAGCGAGTTCTGGGGCGAATACAAGCCCGGCTTCCTCGAGGGTGTGCTCGAGAAGCGGCACTCTTTTCCGGTCATTGCTGCGTGGGATGGCATTCCCTTTGGCTACTTTGAGATATACTGGGTGAAGGAGGACATTCTCGGTCGACACCTGGCCGCGGGCGCTAGCGACTTTGATCGGGGGGTTCATGTCTTTATTGGCGAGGAGTGGGCGAGGGGAAAAGTGCCTTCGTGGCTGACGAGTCTTGTGCATTGGTGCTTTATTGCGGATAACAGGACGATGAGCGTGTCGCTGGAGCCGAGGATTGATAATGGGAGGTAAGCTCAGATTTGCCTTCTTCTGTTTAAATGTTGCTTTTTACTAATACTTGGATAGAATGTTGCGACATCTAGACGAAGCGGGTTTTGGAAAAGAAAGGCAGATTTCCTTTCCGCATAAACAGTCGTGGCATGTCAGGCTGTGGAGGGATGCATGGGAAGGACCAGCATTGTAAACGATTTGGAAGAAAAGTAAAATGAAATGGGCGAATAGGCGCAGCTGATGATAATTTGGCATGTTTTCTTTTTATATAATTCAATAGCATCAAGGAGGGCTGGAAATACCCCTGAGCGAGCTGGGCCTGTATAAGTCAAGATACTCGGCCGAATCAGAATGACTGTTTAACCTACAAGTAGGAAATGTACAAGTGATACGCACGATACATAAAAACATCTAACGTCACACAAGAAAAGAGTTACACAACTCAAGCCACAGTTAATGCAATGTTCAATCTTGATTTGTGGTATGGAAAAATTCCCCTATCCTTGTAAAACCGGTCCGTTATCAATCAATCCACCCTACGCCTTCCACAGTGTTGAATATTTTCTAAAAGTTTCGAATTTTTTTTACTATACATATAAATGGAAACAAATTGTAAGTAAAAGTCACGGATCACTCTCTCTAACCAACCCATCTGCGGGCACTGCGGAACATCCTCAGCCAGGGACCAAACTCGCCCCATTGCTCAAGATCCTCCGGAGGCGCATAGCTGGTAATGTCCGCCATGATGGTACGCTCGGGGTGAGGCATCATGGCGACCACACGGCCATCGGGGCTGGACACACCGGCAACACCCATCGGGCTGCCGTTGGGGTTATACGGGTACTGCTCCGTCACGTTGCCGCGGTTGTCAACGTATCGGAGGGGCACCATGCCAGACTCCGTCAAGCTCTGGAGGGAGTTGGGCGAGGAGAACGAGGCGCGACCTTCTCCGTGGGACACGACAATGGGCAGCTCGGAGCTGTCCATGCCGTGGAAGAAGACGGACGGCTTGGACTTGTCGACCTGCACCTTGACCATGCTGTAGCGGGCCTCGAACTGCTCGCTGGTGTTGTCCACGAAAGTGGGCCAGTCCTTGGCGCCAGGGATCAGCTCCTTGATTCTCGTGAGCATCTGGCAACCGTTGCATACACCCAGCGCAAAGGTGTCGGGACGCTTGAAGAAGGCGGCAAACTCTCTGCGCGTATTGTCGTGCATCAGAATCGACTTGGCCCAGCCCTGGCCAGCGCCGAGGACGTCACCATACGAGAAGCCTCCAGGGGCGGCCAGACCGGTGAAGTCGGCAAGTGACCGGCCATCCAGAATGTCCGTCATATGGACATCAATGGGCTCAAAGTTGGCAGCCCTGAAAGCGTAGGCGAGCTCTGCGTAGCCATTGACTCCCTGCTCTCTGAGAATAGCAACGCGGGGGGTCTTCTTAAAGAGGCCGGTGATGGGAGACATCAGAGACTCAATCTTCTCGGCAGGGTTGAATGACAGCTTGTAGGTAATGCCGGGGTCTGCAGAGTCGGCAATGGTCGAGAATTCAGACTCGGCACAAGCAGAGTTGTCTCTGATCTTCTGCATCTCGAAAGAGGTCTTGGACCACCACTGCTGCATTTCGGTTCGGTCAAGGGTGGTGAAAGTGGTGCCTCCGTAACGAATGTTGAGGTTTTGCTTGCCGGTAGTTCGAACAACACCAAACTTGCGGATCAATCCGGGCGGGGGTCCGCAGGTAGCGAAGCATCGCTTGAAGTTGATTTCGTCGTCAGTGCGGATCTGGAACACAGCACCAAGCTCTTCGTTGAACATGGCCTCGATAATGTCTTCGGGGCTGCCCGACTTGGAAATTCCATCCAACATCATGTCAACACCACAGCGACCAGCAAACATCATTTCAGCCACGGTCGCCATCAGACCACCGTCAGACCTGTCGTGGTAGGCAAGGACAACGCCACTCTTGTGAAGCTGGGAAAGGGCATCAAAGTAGTCTGTGATGAGGTCAAAGTTCTTCATGTCAGGCGCCGTGTCTCCAATAGCGCCGAGAGACTGTGCGAGCGCCGAGCCACCCATAGCCCTGCGTCCTTCTGCAAGATCGACAAACATGAGAGAAGTCTCGCCAACATCTTCCACCCTGCGAAGCTGGGGAGTCCAAGTGCTGCGAATCTCTCGCACCGTAGAAAATGCGGAAATGACCACAGAGACTGGTGCCGTGACGTTCTTCGAGTGCTCTCCATCCTTCCAAGATGCCTTCATTGATGTTGAGTCTTTGCCAACAGGAATGCTGACGTTGATCTTGGTGCACATCTCCATAGCTGCTTGGACTGCTTCATAAAGAGCAGCTCCTTGGCCAGCGTGATTCACAGCAGCCATCCAGTTGGCAGAGAGCTTAATGCGGCGCATATCAGGTCCGACGTCGGCAGCGCCAATGTTCAGCAAACTCTCGGCAATGGCCATTCTAGCAGAAGCGGCGGGATCGATCATCGCAAGTGTAGGCTTCTCTCCCATTGCCATGGCCTCACCAGTCTTTTGCTTGGTATCCAGGTGGAACGACGTAGCTGTTACCGCAACGTCGGCAACTGGGGTTTGCCAAGGTCCAACCATTTGATCGCGCACAGTGAGACCGCCGACAGATCGATCACCAATGGTAATCAAGAAGGACTTGGAACCGACCGCTGGCATCAGGAAGACGCGCTCAACAGCCTTCTTAAACAGCTCAGCTCCGCTCAATTCTCCGTACGCCTTTTGTAGGCTGGCCAGTGTATGGAAAGGAAGCACGTTGGGCTTCTTGGAGGCAACATCCCTCTCCAGCAGGCGCTTAGGGGGGAACAGGGCGTCCATGGGCAAGTCAATCGGCCTGGGGTACTCCTTGGACTCTCTGTCGGTCAGGATCAGACTGGTCTCTCCATGCTCATCTTTGGAGACCACAGTTCCAACGTCAGAAAATCCACATCGCTCACGTCGGCAGATGCTTGTGAAGCGGTTCATGCCATCAGCGTTAACAAGCAGGACATATCGCTCCTGAGCCTCGTTGCACCAAATCTCCAACGGACTCATACTCTGGTCCATACTCTCCACTTGGCGAAGCTCAAACTTTCCTCCGTATCCAGCATCCTTCACAACTGGTAAAAGTTAGAACGGCAAAGGATCAATAATAGGGGGCGCATCAACTCACGCTCAGGAAGAGCATTGGATAGTCCACCAGCACCAACATCGTGGATCATGCCTATCGGATTCTGGTCACCCAGGGCAGTGCAAGTGTTGATGACCATTTGAGCGCGTCGTTCCATCTGTACTATTATGAGTAGCTGTTTTTCATGTGTGTGAATCATTATTTAGTAAGATGTCTGCTTACTTCAGGATTGCCACGCTGAACACTGGCAAAATCGAGATCCGCGTTGCTTTCTGAAGCGTCGCTGCTAGATGCGGCACCGCCACCTAGGCCAATGAGCATTGCAGGGCCTCCAAGAACAATAACGTGGGCGCCCTCTCGAACATGTTGCTGCTCCTTGATAGCATGCTGGGGCCGAACAGTTCCCATACCACCAGCAATCATGATGGGCTTGTGGTAGCCCCGCCAATTTGTGACGCCTGATAGATCGGAGCTAGTATTGGCATCCTCGGGTGTGAGGAGTGTCCTGAAGCAACCTGCGAGAGCGGGACGGCCAAACTCGTTGTTGAATCGCGCACTACCAATTGGTGCCTCCAGCATAATGTCTAAACTGCTGGCATAGTGGCTAGGCCGGCCAATGTCAGCCTCCCAGGGCGCTTTGTTGTCAGGGATAAGTAGGTCTGAGACCCAGAAGCCGCTTAGGCCGGCCTTGGTGGTAGAACCTCGTCCGACGGCGCCTTCATCTCGGATTTCTCCACCTGAGCCGGTGGCTGCTCCAGGGAAAGGACTAGGAAGAAATGTTAGCTTCTATCGTCTGCAGATATATCCAAAGCCAGCCATTTGCCGTTTCTTGCACGCCCTGCAACCAGCGACGGATTACAAGGACTGCAATTGTGCCGGTATGAAGTGAAAAGAGACTGAGAGAAACCTACGAGATAGCCGTTGGGTGGTTGTGCGTCTATTACGAAACCTTTGTTAGAACCGCCTACAGGTAAGAAAAAGCAGCAATGCAAATCATACCTCAACCTTGGTCAGGATATGGACGACTTCCGGAATTAGCTTCCAAGAGCCGGTGGAATAATCCGGCGCCCAAACATTGGCATGATCGCCCTCAATGACCGCCGCGTTGTCACTGTAAGCAGAAACAGTGAATTGCGGCGTCTTGTTATGAGTCGCCCTGATCATTCCAAACAAGCTCTGGTCTTGAGCGACGCCGTCGATGATCCACGACGAGTTGAAGACCTTGTGTCGGCAATGCCTGCATATAACAGTGAGCAGCCCACTCGTGAGAGTCAGACAGGGATACACTCATACTCTGAGTTAACCTGGGCAAACATGAACAGCTCGACATCGTGAGGCGGGCGTCCAAGTTTGGTGAAAGTGTCGACGAGGTACTGCATCTCAGAGTCGTCGAGGCTCAGACCCATCTTGAGATTGTACTCTCTGAGAATCCGCATCGGATCCTCCTTATCCGCGAAGATGTCGACGGCAACCAGGGGAGATGAAGACTTGGACTCGAACATCTGCACCAGAGACGGTGCCTGGGGAGTGAAGAGCTCCGTCATGCGGTCGTGAAGCACATCGCGGAATGCGGCATCTCCGCCTTCGGGCAGGGCATTCTCAAACTCAATGGAGATGCGACGGCCTCGCTCAATCCGCAGGACTCGCTCCCTCAGGCCGCACACGTGAGCGATGCTGGTGGCCTTGGAGCTCCATGGTGAGATGTAGCGAGGCGTTGCGTAGATGGTGACGGCGTTGCCGGCAGCCTCGGAAGCCAGCCCCCAGCCCTTGACGTCGTGCAGCAGCTCTTCGACCTGCTCCAGCGTGTCGTGAGACGACACCTGCAGGTTCACATAGTAGATCCATTGGCCGCGGACGTCCTTGACCTTGGAGGGGCTGGATTTGTTGATGAGCTCCCGCAGCTTCTGGGCATCCGGGGCCGTGTAGCACGAGCCGCCAACAAGGACCTCGTACGGCATTTTGGAGACTTGTGCTGCTGAGAAGAATCACACTGATGCCATGCGACGATTGGACAAACAAAGGCTTTTGCTCCGGAGGCGACGATGCAGCCCCAGGCAAAGCAGAAAAGTTGCGATGATAGAAAATATGCCCCTCTCTTATCAGTCGTGGTGGGGTGAAAATTTTCGGACCGGCAATCGGCCGCCGTCGATCTTAGAGCAGCTGTTGTCTCTGACTCAGGCGGTACCTCTAGCTACTAGCGCTGGGCAGCTGGAGCGAGGTACTCTTTTCTCATTCGCTAACACTGCGCTGGACTAACTCGCTATTGGCGATCATGCGTCACGGCGCAGGTCATCTGTGGATAGCGTTACAAAAGAATGGAAAAAATGTAGGAATAAAGAAAAACAAAGAGTTTCGAATATGGCATTGTATTCTTGTGGCCAGTTTTTGATTTTCTGAATTGTATTGATCTCCTATACCTTTGTCCACGGCGCTGTGAACATCCCCAAAGTAGAAAGCAAAGCAGCATATATGTGATTCATGACTACATCTTTGTGGCCGTTGAGACAATCAATATATGGGTGGTTTGCACATTGATTCACCATTATAGTTTGTTCTGGTGAAACTCATCAAGTTCAAATATGATTCAGAAACTGAATTGTACCAAACATCGCTGACTTAGAGCTAATGAGAACATCCTCTCCTGTTCTCGCATTCATGCCCGGATCCCATTGTTACTGTACTAAAGGAATAATGCAACTTAGTCTATTTATAAATAAAAGTCAGTTTTCATGATGCATCATCGGTAGATCATGTCTTGTGTAGTAGCTGTGATTGTCCACAAACTCATCGTCTCTGCCGCTTCAAAGACAGGAGCATCAAAGATGAAGAGTTCAATACTAAATAATAATAACCAAGCACAATTCATAGCTTTTGTCAATCGTGTCGACGGATGCGAAATGTTAGTTATTGTGAACAAGAAAAGGACAAAGCCTCACATAGATATGGTGCAAAACTGGTATAGCGATGCCTTGAGCTGCTACCTATGTACAGCTCTAGAAGCCATATGAACTGCTTGAAACAGTCGCAACGTGAGTGAATTTGTGTAATAAAGATATTTGGAAAAAATATATAAGAACTAGAACTAACCGTTGCTTGCAAAAAAAATCAACAGACTGGAACTCATCTTCTAAGCAACATTTCTCACGCAACCATTCACAACAATCCTCACGCAACCATCTCACAACATTTTGCACGCAATCATCTCACTTGCTATCAAAGCGGGCATCTTTCAAGAAAGAATAACATCATCATAATGGATCAACTAGACGAGAACGGGCTTACTAGACGAAAGAATGAGCGGAAAGTCAATAAATTCCTCGACACCGAGCTTTGGGTTGGCGAGACACGCCAGCCAATCCGGGTCGCAGGCAAGGAAGCTGTAGACCGACGCAACCCATACGGATACGAATCCGTCAAATTTATTTGTGATGCCATGAACGATTTCGAGCTGGATGATTTCCAGAAGAGAATAGTCTTCGACGAACTCAAGTGGCTATTTATGTGCAAAACATGCAACGTGGGCAAAGAAGCTTCGAGATTCAAATCGCCGAACCCTTTCGATATCAAGGTTCAAAAAGATTTCATTAGCCTTGAGAGCTTGGATGCTTGTAAAAAATGCAGGCGTGGTTAGGCATAATGAGAAGAATGATGGAATTATCAACTTTCAGCAGAGATACATTGATTACAATTTCCAGATAATTCAGGTAGCAATAGGGTCTTTGGAGGGTAGTGGGAAATGAGGCATCAACGGTGGAAGGACAATAATTGGCATGTAAAGGGTTTTCAGGGAGGGTCACATTGATATACGCATGTTGATTTAACAGAAGAGTATTTCATAGATGATATCGATCACGTTCGCAAGTATGACGTAAAGTTTTCTGTGAACAAGAAATTTAACAGTCTCAGATGAGATGGAAAGAAAATCCAACTGGCTTCCACTGTGATTTGTGGCGTAATGAGCAGTGTTTCAGTGGTACAATATACGCCATACATCACATAGATATTGCGCAGAGGCGATATAGCGACGCCATGAGCTATCATTCACGGCTCTAGAATTCATACGGTCTGCTCAAAACAGTCGCAACATAAGTGAATCTGTGTAACAAAGCGATTCTAGGAAAACTATATAATCGATGGAACTACGCGCTGTTGCTGACGCAAAACAAAAATAACCAGATTCAAACACCATCTTCCATACCAATTTTCACGCAGCTATATCCAAACAATCAGCTATTGACCAAGGCACCTACTAAAAAAAAAAAATCATATCTTCACAATGTCAATATCCTGTATAAGCGACTATACTCCACGGGAGAGTGTGCGGATTGTCAATAGAGCTCTCGATACCCAAATTAGAGTTGGGGGCAGATTGTCGTTAGTCCGTGACAAAGGCAGAGCTAGCAACCTGCGTACTGAAGACGGATACGATATTATAATGGCTATCAAAGACGTCATAAGGGATCAAGGGCTGGACGAGCTCCAGAAGGGGTTGCTCTTCGGCAAGCTCGGCTGGAAATTTGAATGCCGCGAATGTCAAGTTGTCAAAGCTGTTTCGAAATATGTAGCGGCAAATGCTTTCGATATCGAAGCTAGTGATGGGAAAGTCAAGCTGGTGAGCGTGGGCTGTTGTAAAGACTGCGATGATCGGCATTTCGATGAGAATGACTATAATTACTCTCTTTCATCAGAGAGATACAGCTACTAAGTCTGTTCAGATGTCCCAGCCAGAAGCAGCTTCTCTGGACAATAGTACGAACTGAAATAACAACGGCAGAAAGATAGATAGTGGCATGTCAAACAATTTTAGAGATAGATCAATAGAAACAGGTTGATTTAGGCCCATGGCCTAAGTTCCGCTTAACAGATATGACAATAAATCTAGCGCCATGTTATCCACTACCACCGTAGACGTATACATACACATCTTTGTTCTTGATGTTTTTGTTGCATCCTTCTTTCTTTCCGATACATTGAGGATTTTATCGTACGGATTGACATCCTATAAATAGCTCTGTCGGCTTTGTTGCTTCGGTTAGCCAAATGTCCATTGAGATGTTCATTGATACGAATTCAACGTCCAATGCCTATCACAAAGGAATTTGTTCTAATGAACTTCTCGAAAAGTAAAAGAAGAGTAATTACTGTCTATACAATTTTGTATGAAAGTCATCGAGTCAAAGAAGTTTGACCAATGGAACAGCAAGGCGATTAAGGGCCCCATAGATGTCTACCACCATGACAATCGTACTTGTTATTCAATACAAAGACAGCACATGAACTATTTGGCTGTGTTAAATGTATAAGTATGCACAGATTTAAAACAAATAGTTGTTTGACGCCTAATATCTCTGAACAGTGAAGAACGACACCTCGTGCACCGCCAAAGTCCAAATCCAGCGGCAAAGGATCTAGCCGAAGTTGAAAAAACAATGGTAATTTGTATGTGCGAGATTAAATAAGGCTACTTAGAGAAACTATATAGATTATGAGAAATGGGCGATGTTTTCCCTAAAACCCGCCAACAGAGTCAACAGCCAGCAGAGTCAGCAATCATCTTCCAGCCAAACGTCTCGCACAAATCCACCTCCAGCCATCAATTATTAAAGACAAAATAGGACCAACTTTCACCAGATTATCATCATTATGGAAAGATATACTATCAAAGAAGCGTATTTCCACCCAAACGACATGATGGGCGACAGACACAATTTCGTTATCTACGAAGATCCCCGACCAGACCCAAAGGATGACGCAGAAAGAGAAAGCATCTTAGGCAAAGTGGAAAAGGACTTGACTAAACATCTCAAAACCAAGATTAGCCTTAGTTTCGGAACCTTTACCCTCTTGGAGACGCGAAACTTTTACAACAAGGTAACGACTTCAGATAAGAGACTACTTGTGGGAAAGTGGCTTGAGGCTTGTGTAGGAAGGGATGATAAGTGGTTATTTGATCAGAAGAAGATCTTGGATTTTCTTCAATGGCCATTCAAGTGCCCTGGATGCCAAATTGTAAGGCTCTCCGACGGCTTTGCATACAACAAGTTCACTCTTGACGTGCCTGAAGATGGGGTTTCTGAACCTGTATTGAGAAGCAGGGCCTGTTGCACCGGATGTCCAGCATTGAGGACATCAGCTTAGCCAGAAATCCTGTAAAGAGACAAACAGTTGGAACGATAACAACTATAAGAACGAATGAATTGGGATTTGGTAAGAGAAGGGATAGAACAGCTGAAGGACTATTGGAGATGGGCGACTTGTTTGTACTTGAATAATTGTGAAAAACACATCAGTTCGTTCGGGATCAGTTAATTTGGGCATGCATTCACTTTTGACTTATCTTTGTTTGATCATAGATTCTCTAATATTCCGTTGATTTGACGTGAGCTGATTAATTGCTCGGCAATTCTTTTGTCTCTTTGTTGTTATTTGATATATCTCTACGTATCTATTGCATTCAGTCTGGAATCACCGTTATTCAGGCTTCCTTCCTTTTTTTGGTCTGTATATATCTATCTCCTTAGATTTATTGCATCTCTTACATTGTTTATCAATGGACTATAATGAACCTTAGACAATTTGGATTACGCTAAATAGCGTCGCAATGCGATAGAGTAGACAAGAATTTAGTATTGATTGGAGGCACAGGATGAGTAGAAATAGCCAGGTAGGCACTGTATTTTTTACTCGCTGATATACTTACTACTTTTGAAACATAGTATAAATGCCACTTCAAATTTTTAAATTCTACTTAGTATTGCAGAGCGGTATTACCGCTTGCTGCAGCCAAGAGGTGTCATCGCCACCAGAAAAATTGGAGATGATAGGGTGAGACCAGGGATGGCTGTTAGTAGCTGCTCCTAGCAGTTGCCTGACTTGAATATTCCTTTATTAGTTGAGTCCTCATTAAAGCCAAGACGCCTTTATTCCTTTCATTTTGTATGGTCATCCATCTGCTTTTCTTTCAAGCTCAGCTGCTGCAGCTAACAGAAAACCGGTAAGAAGGTAACCGTGGAACTATACCTAATTGACGGCAGGGCTCTGCCTAGTACGTAAGGAGAATTACCGTAGCCGTCGTACAATTCCGAATATAGAACCTTCTGCCTCACGCTAGAGGGAGCAAATATTGTCCATGGGTTTTCTTTTACAGCCGACATCCCGGGCACTCTTGCGCCACCAATAATGCGGGTGGTATCAATCCTCCGATCATGCGGTGAATATGGGAACTATCTCTTTACTTCTGCCAAATGATGACAACTTTTTTTTATACATAGATTGGACTGGAAGAGCTATTTTTGCACATGTGGTGGTATACATGTTTGTAATATCGCATCTAGACCTTTGGCTTCCTAATAGGTAGCGGTAGCATTTGGGGCGCTTCTGCCCGTATGTGGAAAGTATATAGGCCTCCAGCTGGTAAATGAGCTGCAAGGTATAGAGCATAGTCCAAACCGGTGTGCAAGGCTCAGCTTCTGGTGGCGTACATAGAACGTGGTGGTGTCTTGCCCTGTGAGATATGCCAAAGACAGGGTGCATGTATTACCGTATCTAAGACAAGGCCATCGGCTAATATACACCACCACTACGGAGAAGAGAGCGCAAATTTTACATCAGATGGTGCAGTCTGTGCATTACAGCCGCAGCGAGATGCCGCTAGCTATTGTTCAGGGCGCCAAATATTCCATAAATTATTGGTTCGCCTGCAGGCTCCCTGCAGACGGTGGAGATGAGCTGCCAAGCGGATAATAATAGACGCAGCTTTGATCGTGAAGCAAGGGAGAAGGCAGCTGAATATTGCAGTTCCGTTTTGCTCAGCATGTAGTAACACAAGCGCGTTAGAATTGCTACCATTACTTATTACGACCAGGATTCGTATTGGTTTGCTTACTAGCCTCAAATGATGCATCTTAACATGCTTCTTTTTAGCCCAAAGCGGGCTGCCGTTGCGCCTGGATTCTTCCACGGTAGCACAAAGCCGGATCTTTATGCTGTATTTGTGCTATGAGTCCATGGCGGTGGCGTGTGTACATGTAAGACGTGTTATCTCAACGTATATTCTACAGCAACTCCACTGCCGGTTCACAAAGGCCTACAGTACTACCATAAGGTTACCAATTCGTATGCAGCTCTAATGCTGCGCCATCTTGGATCTCGCTGAGATCGATGGCTATCAGTCACATCTACTGCAGGCTACATGTGCTGCTACCACGCTTAATGCCGCTATGCGCCACCAACCTGGCAGGGACGGCTTCCCGTCAGGCACCCGGAATTAGAGGCCGCGGCTAGATCTGATTAGGCCCTGGCTGAGCGGTGATGGCTTTGCGCTAGACTCGGTCGACCAAGCCGCGTGAGACGCTTGTTCAACCCTTTAAGCCGCCAGCTCTAGACTTGTTTCCCTACGTCGTAGCTACGGAAGCCTGCCGAGCCCCCCGGTTGATTGCTATTGCTCTCACTTGGAAATATGGTGAGTGAGATCAGGCCTGCGGGCTTCGCTGCTCCCACCGTCCACGTCGTACCGGCTGTGCGGCTGCAGTTTTTCGATGCACCATCAGCCCGTGTCTCCACCAGTCTGCCGGCGAGGGCAAATTTGTAGAGAGCCAAGTGGCAAGATACGGGTCCTAAAGGGTTCCGAGTGGGTGAGCATGGCATGACAGCTGCTTTGTGCTGTTCCGTGGCCCGGCCAGGATTGTTCAGCTCTCAACTCTCAGACATGGGTGCTGATATCGAGTACGAGCGATATCCGCCTTGTATGCATGAGTTCTCTTGGCGGACTAGCTCAGAGTCTTATCGCCTCGTTTTCCTTAAAGATGGGCACTCTTCCGCCGTTTTGCTTGCCGTTGATCACAACTAAGCTCCGTATCCATCATTGATAATTGCAATCATGGGCTTAGCCGTGCTGCTGTTCACGGCCTTTGTCGGCCTGGCCAAAGGGCTGGCGTCGACGGATACCATAACCTGGGGCGGTGACAACTCTAGGACTGGGTACCAAACGTAAGAATGCCTGATACTTTTCGTTTCTCTCAACGAGTGGCTAATTGCAAATAGGAACCATAATATGGACCCCTCTGTCGTGGGGAGCTCTTCATTTGGCCAACTGTTCCAGACTCTCCTTCCTGGCACCTACGGTGGTTCAGCCGAGCAAATCTTCTCTCAGCCTCTCGTTTACACTCCCAGTGGTGGAACTAAGCAGTACGTGTATGTGGCTACAACGCAAAACAATGTCTACAAGCTCGATGCAAAGACTGGCGCGATTGTGGCTTCGAGAAACCTACACATTCCATTCTTGGCTGCCGATCTCGATGGATGCGTCGATATCAACCCCAATATTGGTGTTACTGCTACTGGTGTCATTGATCCTGACACTGATACCATCTACTACACCTCAAAGACATATGCCAATCAAGCTGCGATAAACACACCGCAGGGCCTGGCTGCTGGCCGATACTTTATTCACGCACTAAATGCCAATGACCTCACTGAGAGGCCCAACTTCCCAGTTCCCCTGGAAGGAGTCATTGCTCGCAACAGTGACGTGCGAATGTTCAATGGAGGCATTCACCATCAGCGCACTGCATTGCTGCACACCGGCCAGTTCATCTACGCTGGATTTGCATCGCACTGTGTTCAGTATAACTTTACTGGCTGGATCATCGGCTGGGACAAGACCAGTGGAAAGCTGGTTGAATACTATGCCATGGAAGGCAAAGGCGTGCCCAATGATATTCGAGGCGCAGGAGTGTGGATGTCTGGTGGAGGTATTGCATCTGATGACGCCGGCTCTATTTGGTATGCCACCGGCAATGGCTACGCGTCACAGTTGTCCAATGTCCCTGTCAAGGGATTCAACCCCCCTACTTCCTTGGAGGAAGCCGCTGTGCACATGACAATCAACACCGACGGCAGCTTAAATCTGATTGATTTCTTTATGCCATGGGAGAAGCAAGCTTTAGACGGTGCTGATAGAGATCTGGGTACGAGTCCTCTTGAGATTCTCCCGAGTCAATTTGCCTGTGGCGACATAACGCGCATCGGTGTTGTCACTGGCAAGAGTGGCAAGACGTATTGGCTCAACATGGACAATCTCGGAGGCTACAGAAACGGCCCCAACAACTTGGACGCCGCTATTCAAGTCTATCAGAACGACAACTCCGTCTACGCCGGTGCTGGTGTCTATCCTCTGGAAGGTGGCTACATTTACATCAACGTTATTCAGCATCCATCCAACGTCTTCAAATTCTCCTGCAATGCTGGCGTCCCTTCATTTACCAAGGTCGCCGAGAGCCCTGAGACCAACGCATACGTTCTCGGTGTTAGTCACGGAACAACAACTTCTCTCAACGGCCAGCCAGGTACAGGCCTCTTTTGGGTGACTGATGTACAGGGCCTGAATCTCCGCATTTATAATGCTATTCCCACAAATGGCAAGCTTACCATGATCAACTCGTTCAACATCCCCGGTGTCATGAAGTTCACCCGACCTGTGTTTGGCGATGGTATTGTATACGTCGGCACCAATCAAGGCCTGTTCTATGGCTTTGGATCGCCCGTTAACGCGCCTCTCAACTGCACCTCGCCTGTTGCCTTTGGCAATGTCAATCTTAAAGCAACCAGCAGCCCGCAGTCGGTTAAGTGCACAGCCTTGATCGGCCTCACCGTTACTGGCGTTGCGCTTGATTCCAAGAAAGACTACAGCATCTCAAGCCTTCCTACCACGCCGCTTCAGTTGAATGCTGGTGATTCTTTTACCATCAATGCCACGTTCAGCCCTACCACCGTTGGCCTCATCTCAAATGACGTTGTCGTCAATACCACAAACAGCGTCGCTGGCTACAGTCCCAATACTCACGCTCGATTAACCGGCACTGGACAGAGCGCTGGACCACTGCTATCAGTTGCGCCAACTACACTTACCTTCCAAGGTGTTGTTACAGGACAGAACCCAGATGGCGTCACAGAGACCATGATCCTCACCAATCTAGGCAATGGGCCCCTTACTTTCCAAAGTATCCTGTATTCCAATGTTAGCTCTACTGGCCCGTGGCAAACATGGAATGGCTCGGGTAACCTGATAGTCGGTGAATTTGTTGTGCAGAGTATCCCGTCTTCCCTTGCAGCGGCAGCAAGCGCTACTATAACAATTACGTTCAGTGGCTCTAAAAGCGGCACCTTTTCCGGCTTTGTAATGTTTGCGTCTAATGGTGGCAACCAGACGATCTCTATTGCCGGCTCTTCTGGACCTGCTGCAGTCGCGCTGCTAGAGTTTCAGACCCCCGATGCCTCGGGCTGGGTGCCATATGTTAATGGCACCCCCTTTACGTTTGGAAACGTTACTGAGAACAACGATCGCTCACTCAAATTCCGCGTTACTAACAAGGCACCGCCAGGCGGCGTCAGCCTTTCCCTTACCGTCTCCAAGCCTCCTTTTGGCCTCACCGGTCTCATTCGAGCTGTCAACCAAGTAGATCTTGCAGAAGGAACCAATCTGGCTCCGGGTGAGAGCGCAAATGCTACGCTTACATGCACTGTCCCCAAATCCCAATGGAACGTCGATCCTTACAACGGCACTGCACCTTGGACAATGAACACCAACGACCCAACGTTCGGAAAGCAGTTTATACAGTTCTTTTGCAAAGCTGTCTCAGAGCAAGCTCCCCCTCTGTTGCCTAATAGTGATCAGGGCCGATACCGCTATGTCGGATGTTACAAAGAGAATAACCCAGGCCGTCAACTGTCCACTCAGCTTTATGGAGACGACAATAACACCAATCCCATGTGCATTTCAGCATGTGCCCAGCAGAACTTCAAATACTGCGGGACACAGTATCATACGGAGTGCTGGGCAGGAAACACGATACCTAGTCTCAAGGTTGATGACTCTAATTGCAACTACTACTGCAACGGAGATATCAACCAGGTCTGTGGTGGAAACGGTGACGGTACTGAGGCCTTTATCTCTCTGTTCGCCGACTCTCTGGCTACTAATTCAACGGATCCTCCTCCTCCTCCAAGTGGCGGCCCGGTGGTAAATCCCGGTGTCGACGGCTACATCAGCATTGGATGTTATACCGAAGCTACTAACACACGCGCTCTGCCCTATGAATTTGATACGGATAAACGAACTGTGAAACAATGTGTAGATGCTTGCAAGACTGGCTCCTACACCTATGCTGGTGTCGAATACGGCGGAGAGGTAAGTCATGTCGTTTATGCATCCCATTTACCGGAGAAGATCTTGTTACTAACTTTGGGTGTAGTGCTGGTGCGGTAATTCATTTGGCGACGGTGCAGTTTCTGCCCCCATTGCAGATTGCGGAATGACTTGCAATGATAACTCCACTGAGTATTGCGGTGGCCCTAATCGTCTCAATGTCTACAAACTCGGCACCAGTGCCATTTCCACATCAACTGCAGCCGCTTCTAGCATAGCTACCACTGTTCCTCCTACCGATGGAAGCACGACTGTGGTCGCTACTAGCACTAGCTCGAGCATCTCGTCAAGTAGCCCAACTCCTACCGGACCATCAGTCAACCCTGGCTTTGATGGCTATTCCAGTATTGGCTGCTATACCGAAGCTACAGATGCGCGGGCTCTGGCCAACTTCATGGACACTACCAACCAGACTGTTGCAAATTGCATTGAGGCATGCAAGTCAAATAGCTACATCTACGCGGGTCTTGAGTACGGCGGAGAATGCTGGTGTGACAATTCGTTCGCAAAGGGATCTATTCCAGCTCCGATTGGGGATTGCAGCATGACTTGTAATGGCAACTCGACTGAGTTCTGCGGCGGTCCGAATCGACTCAACGTTTATCAGCTTAAGAAAACATCAGTTACAAGCTCTACTCCCGCGACTACTGGCTCTTCAAGTACTGGCTCCTCAGCCACTGTCCCTTCAACCACTGTCCCTCCGACTACAGTCCCTTCGACCACAAGCTCGGTGACAACTACTTCTATTGCCACTCCCACAGGACCTGCAATCAAAAAAGTAGTAAATAACTACAAGTTCCAAGGCTGCTGGGCTGAGCCGCCTAATGATCGTGCTATCATTGACCAGATGTATGCAAACGACACAATGACGCTCGAATCCTGCGCTACTTTCTGCAAAGGCTTTACATATTTTGGAACCGAATATGGACGAGAGTGCTACTGTGGCAATGTTTTGAAGCAAGGCGCTGTCAAAGCTACCAATCAAGATGATTGCTCGTTCCCTTGCGCTGGAGACGGCACAGAATACTGCGGCGCGGGATCTAGACTGGAGCTGTACATGCTCTCACCTAATACCACCGCTGCCACCGCTGCGTCAGCATCTAGTACCTCGGCAGCCCCCAAGAGTTCCGGCGCATCTACTGCTTCAGGAGCAGCCACTTTAGGAGCAGCCACTTCATCAGGAGCAGCCACTTCATCAGGAGCAGCCACTTCATCAGGAGCAGCCACTTCATCAGGAGCAGCCACTTCATCAGGAGCAGCCACTTCATCAGGAGCAGCCACTTCATCAGGAGCATCTACTATTTTAGGGGCGGGTACTTCACCAGGAGCAGCTTCTACTTCAAAAGCAGCTACTACTTCAGGAGTGGCCACTTCATCAGGAGCATCTACCTCATCAGGAGCAGCTACTACTTCAAAAGCAGCTATTACTTCAGGAACAGCCACTTCAGCAGCAACGTCTGCATCACCATCTCCGACTGGCCCCATTATCTTCCAAGGCGACAAAAACTATACCTACTACGGATGTGTGTCAGAGCCTTCGGCGGGTAAACTGATGGACAACCAAGTTTACAACAATGCCACGACTATGACGCCGCAAGTCTGCTTATCTTATTGCGAACAGTACAAGTACGCCGGTGTTGAATACGGCCAAGAGTGCTGGTGCGGCAATACGCTTAATCTTGCGGGCTGGTCCGGTGCTACGCCGGGGAAAAATGTATCAAGCTCCCAGTGTAATATGGTGTGTCCTGGAAATGCCACAGAATATTGCGGTACTGGCAACATACTCCAGCTATATGTGAGGAAGACGCCTGTGAGTAAGCGATGGTAAAAATGATATGGATGCAGTGGGTTGTGAGTAATTGGATCATAAGGCAAGTTTGTTTCTCAATCATAGATTAGAATATGTATTTATCATTTGGGTTTTGGGCTAGTGATGGGATATGGGTATTGGATATATACGAAGGCAATGGTCTATACACATGAAGTATACGGGTTATTGGGAAGGCAGTAGATAGATAGTATGCAATCTTGTTTTTTTGTTTCATATCAAAAATCTGAAATCTTCACATTGAAGCATCAGCCTTGTTACCGTGTTGCGTAATACAACATATCGTGAATCATGCTTAACCGACTTCCTCAATCTCCATTAATGTTCGTTCCATATGAAGCCGGGCATTTGCATCTATACCGCCTTGCCGTCCAACAGAATTTCCACTTTCTCGTTGTAAAACGAAATCAAGCCTGCAATGGCAATGCTCTCTTGAATCGGGTAGTTATAATACCAGATGATATCCTTATGCTCCTTTCCATCTATGACGACATTATAGTACTCTGCAATGCCCTTATAAGGGCAGACTGAGGTAGTAGTGCTAGGTCGAAGCAGAGACGGGTCAATGGACGCGAGGGGAACATAGTAGCGAGTTTTGAGGCCAGTCTCGTGAAGGTGGATGGCGTAGGAGGATTTGGCGATAGTCTTGCCGTCGACGCGGACTTCGAAAGCACGAGTGGAGTGGAGGAAGTCGAGGCGCTTGAACGGATCCTTGGGGTGGCCGATGATACGGACATCTTCCTCAAGCCATGTATCTGTATCACGAAGTTAGCATGCAGGTGACGAAAGCTGTCGCTTTAGATTGAGATGAAGTTGATCTTACCCATCGCACCGAACTCTAATCTCACAAGGCCTGCCAAGTCTCCCAAGCTAGGATCATTGTCAAACCTCAATACTCGATCTGTGGTCTTCTCCGGAACGCCCGCCTTTGCTGGGACAGTGAGTTTAACAATGGCCGCGGTCTTCGCGCCTTCACTCTTGATGGATTGATTGTCGCTGAGAGTGCTGTCCTTGATCTCAGAAGAAGGGATGTAAAACTGAGGGTACCATTCGTGTTCCCAAACCCAGACTGCTTTAGTGGTATCTACAATGGTGGTCTGGTTGAAGACGACGCGAACTCGGCGAGCCGTGGGGAGAACTTTGTTGGCGCCATTCTTGAGGAGACGGTCTGCGAGCTCGACGAGGCTGTTGGTGATGATTGTATTAGCCAATGTTATAGATGAGATGATGGGAAAATGCAGTTATGAGAGACGCAATTTTCGAGCGAGAGTAGTGAACGTACTTGGATCCCATTTTGGTGACAGTTAATCGTTAATTCAACTTGCAAATGATATACAGAACTGGCAGACACCGAAAAGTGGTTGTAAAAATAAAGACATAGAACAATGGTGTGAAGCTTTATTTAAATTCTACGAAACCGATCTTATAAATCAGGAGCTTGCAGCGCTTCCGTTACGCATCATTTTTCTGCTTCCGGCTTTGTAAGTTTCCCAGCGTGAAGGCGTGTAAGACCCCGCAAGCTCGTGGTTTAGACGCGCATGACGCAATGAGGAAGGCTGGAGAGCTAGGGAGCTGACAGATCTTTTTGAAGAGAGGAGGGGGAAGCGGACGTCTAATTGGCGGCTTGCATTGAACGGTGCGATTTGTAAGAATTGTGGGTGGAGTGGCGGTAGCTGTATGCAAGCTAGTGTTGGCCAATGCCCGAATTTGGAAGTTTATACCAAACAGTTACGAAAACTATCTGAGGCTATTGATGACAATACAGAGATAACCGGGCGTTACTCAGGTTCTTAATACTCGAGAATGAGGAAAGCCGGGTTGGCAGTTAGTCTGGCGGTTGTTGACAAGAGTATTTCTTGGGCTTGCAGGTAGCGCCGACAAGACCGAGCTTGTATCAATCAAAGAAACAATTATTTCATGCTTGGGTGTTGTGAACTAGCTATTGCTCATTTTCGCCTACTCCTGTGTATTTTCGCTATCGTTTCCTATTTCCCCTTTGTTAGTCTTATTCCCTTGAGAGAGCAGAGATGACTGCCACGGAGTCCAGTCACCTAGTTTATTTGGACGGGGTCTCTGAAATCTAATGGTGAATATGTCTCGATTTGGGGCTCTTAGCTTTATTACAGACAAAGAAGCAGCGAATGGTGTTGATGAAATGTGCTGATAATCGGAAAAATACTGGGTGATACTCTGGGGGAACCCAAATTAGTTTTTGGAGTTCCAGTAAATGCCCCCGAGGAGATCATCATGGCCGTACGAAGCAACATAACGTTCGTTACATAACCTCGATGTTACAGGCTCTGAGTGGCTGAGCTCATGTAGCTTCTCATTGTCCAATCTCAGATTAGAAGAGCCCGATAGCTCGATGGTCGGTGCGTCAAATTCAGTATAGCCCTGGTCAGTATCCATATGTAGCGTTAGGTTACCGATGAATATATCGAAGAATATATCGACAGTTATTGTAGTTTTTTTGGTATGCCAAATGAATTGATTTGCTAAGTTCCAAATCTCGATATCAGTAACATATTCGTCGAGATTTATTCCGGAAAATGCTAACAGCTTAGAATTGGCTGAGAATGACATACGTCGTACAGCCTGCTTCTCACAATTCGTCAGCGAAAACATTCGTCGGCCAGTTTTCACGCTCCTCGATAAGACCGTCTCAAATAATTCTACTACCAGTAGAGTGTAATCGGGTGAAAATGCCAATGAGAGGTGTGTTGTCTGCTTCTAAAATTGCTGTAGAAGTCTTGATGGAGAAGAAGTTGGGCTTGTTTTGAGCAGGCTGTCATCATTGCCGCATAGATCATTGTTATAGGTGCCGTTGAACTTACCCATACCAGGCTTAACTTCTTCTTCTTTCGTTGATTGTTTCAAAGAAAAGTTTCCAATCGAGCCAGTATCAGGCTCCGTTCTAGCTTGGGGTTGGCTAGGGTAAAGAACATGGGTAGATTAGTTTTGAGAACCAGAGGGGTTTTTGAGAGTCCAGGGGTTGAATAGGAATACCATGAGACCATATGTTGATGGTGACGAGAGCGATAGGCAGTGTCAAGAGTACTCCTTGATTGACCTTGTTATTCTCTCTTTTGACACGGGCTCGACTAAGTGCACGGAAAAGCCATGCTCCAAAGGCGCCTAGAACAACAGGGAGACTAGCAGGCACCGTTGAGAGTATTCCTTCACTCATACTACTATCTTCGGATTCGCACGGTCTCTCCGCAAGAAATTTCGTTTCAAACTCGACAGAATGGAGATGGAAGACATTTTGTGATAAGGCTCCGTAAGCTCGAAATATTTGTATCAAGATTTGGCCAATGTAGCATTAATAGAGTCAAACAGTAGTAGAGAGGTAGAGAGAAGACGAGAGCGTATATAAATAACTTTACTCCTTATCTCCGTGTAATACAAGTAAAACGAGAAAATTGCGGCACCACTACAGCCCATGCCTAAATATCTTAGAAAGCACGACAGATTTTGAACGACATCAGTCAATCTACTCAAGACTCGTTTGCGGAAGCTAAAAGCCAGCATATCGTGCATAAAAGTGTCCACTACTCTATATATAGAGTCGTCAGCCAAGCCAAATTGCAGAGAGCCTGGAGGCAAAACACAAAATAATGCCTTCATCAGTCATTGAGGCGTCACTGGATTCAACAAGCGTATCATACATACAGTGGCGCTTTGGGTTTAAGATGACCTTTTGCGTACGATTACCCGACAGAGTCATTAATCCTCAGATTCTGCAGTAGGCGTGACAGACCATGTTTGCGCTGTGAAGAACAACCGCCCGTCTTGCCTCAGTTGCTCAGGGTCAAAGTAAACACACATGCCAATGTTTTCGCTGTTCAGCCAAAATACACGTAGGACCATATATATCTCTGAACGATTTGGTGTCGCGTGTGTGCGCCTCATCTGTATGCACCGCATTAGTCTTCGCAAGGATAAGACCATTGGAATTATACTTACACGCTCGTATTGGCTGTTGCTCATGTAAAACGGAGTTTCGCGTGGCCCTGTAGTAGTTTTCACCTCTATATAGTACTTTGGCCGAGCAGTATGCCATTCATCATGATTGAGATAACCGCAGCCGATAAGAGTATTGGTGAACTGGCCCTCGATATCATCGTAAACCAGGTCCGCGGTTTCTCTACCACGCCAACTCGCTAAGCTGCGATAGTTGGGATGCGCCCGAACGTAACCTCTGATTGTGCTTTGCCAGTTCTCAATGCTCCAACGGGGCAATTCAAGGGTCGATAACAACTCAAACACCTATGATAAGAAAACTAGTTAGCCTCCATAACTCATGTTTCGCTATTTGCAATACTCACGAACAGCTCGCCCGCGGCCCCAACTTTCTTGTCGCGCTCCAGCTGATTCGCTGGTCGAAAACGAGTGACGATATCCAATCCATCAAAACTTTCATATGTGTCATCTCTGTGCGATACAGGCAAATTATTGCGCAATTCACTCATATCAAAAGAGCCTTGAGCGGGAAATGATGCACTCTGAGCTGCGGCAACCGCCCTATCCAAAAGCATACCATATTGCGTATCGTCGGACGGCCCCGAAGATGCCAAGTCCTCGCGACTCTCTATTGAAGCCAAAGGTGAATCAGGAGTGCTCGAATGGCCCGAGTAAATAATTGGACGACGCCGATAAGCAGGTATATCTTCTTGCCCTTGACCAACCCGCGGCGAGTGACTTGAAAGACGACTTTGCCGATTGACAGTCTCAACTATTGTCTCTGAGTCTCTTCCTTGGATTCCTGAATATGGTGTTTCTGAGGTTTGAGCAGAATCCGTATCTGTGGACGGACGACTCGGGGTGGACTGTTGATCTAATGGCGTCCCTTCGCTTGGAGTGAGGTTGTTCAGCCGTATTGACGACTCCGGCCTCTGCTTCTGCTCTTTCCCATGTAGTTGTTCTTGACTTTGATCTTTTTTCTCTTCCAAATCACTATCGTCTTCCTCATAATCATCCTCAATGTCCTCGTTTGGAACTTCAACTGGAACGATTCCATTACGGTTGCAAATTTCGCCAAGAACAGAGCGATCACAGACATCACATGCTAAGATAGCAGCCAGAGTATTAACCATTCCGCTCTCAACTGTGTCTAGTATTTGCGTCGTAGGATCTCGCATTATCCACTCTGCAAATTTTCTCGGTAGTACCGAGCTGAAGCAGACCGCCTGGGGTTTTCTCTTTCGAGGCACATAAATGGTGAGCCCTGATGAGGTGTACTCAATATGCTCATCTCCGATAACGTTCTCAACGCAGATTTTCTTATTATCTTGAGATACAGCGCGGGTAGAAGATATGTGAGCTACTTCCATGGTCTGCATTGCCCGTAAAAGTTGGTAAAATCTGGGCGGATCTGCTCGATAACGGGGGCTGCTGAAGGTTGCCGCAATACTAGATTGTGGGAGTTAGATATTCAGCGTTCTCAATCACATATTCACAATCATGCGTTACATACCGAAGAATAGGATAAGCTTTGCGCCTCAAATCTCTACTTTTCGTCGAAATTGGTCGTCCTGTCTCGGAGACAGAGGTATCTTCTGTGACACAGGCAGAGAGATATCTTCCTTGAAGCTTAGTCCATTCAAAAAATGGTTTCAGACGATGAATGCTTTCCAAGTCAAAATCTAGCATCGTGATCTTCTCTTTGAACATAGAATTTAGATGATCTGTATCCGGGATAGCAAAATCCACCTTCGCTGATTGGATTGAGATTTCTCCATTGCAATGTCTTAAAGGAAAAACGTTGTTATGCAAAATTGGTTGCGGATCCAAGGGTATCGGGCTTGTTTGCAGTTGGCTGCTCAAGGATAAGATGGCATTTTTCAAGTCATTGATGTCGCGCTTCTGGGATGGCTGCTTCAATTCATCATATAGCATTTGAACGGTAAGTGATGTAACGCCTAGCATTCCAACGAAGAAGTCTTTGAGAGTTTCGTAATCCGAATCCAATGTGACTTTAAATAATGCACCACTTGTAGTGTTTGTTCGATCGGCAGTGCCTAACCCACCCTCAGAAGAACCTGAGTCCATGCCAAATGCGCCAGCACCCCTGTACTTACCAGGTGGTCGTCTACCTTGAACGTAATCTGCTAATCTCAGCTCATCAGCAGACCATTTCTTGTAAGGATCTTGGAACGAGATATTCTGGTAGGCTCTGGGAAGATCGTCCAAGCTAAAAGGTTCATCTGCTGTATATGCTTGAAAGGAGGCGACGGCAGTGCCTGGACCCAAAGTAGCAGTCGCACCAAGGCTACCAAAGCCTGTGTCGATATCGGAAGTGGCGTTGCTGATACGAATCTCAACTGGACTAGACCACAGGCAATCAGAAGTCTTGCACCATCTCCATTTGCCCCGACTTCTCGCATATATAAGTGGTTTCTTTGCAAAGACGTCTCTGTGTTTCTATCAGCCTATTTTCGAAAGTCGCTGATCTCGCGTAAGACCGTCCAACTTACCTCAACTGTATTTGAGGAGGTTTCAACTTTTTGAGGTACATGTACAACTGTTCGATCCGTTCGAACTCATTACAGAATGTGGCCTTCAACGTTTCTAACTCCTTGACGATGTCGGACCAAGAGGCAGAAGGTATCTCAACAATCTTGTGAAAGAGGCGTTCTATATTGTGTAACTGGTCGCCACCAACGGCATTCCTCGAGTAAATGCTTCTGAGAGAATGCTTGGACAGCATGTCCGGTGGTGCGAGCCACAAGCAATCGGAAGAAGATGTCCATATGGAGTTCTTAGCACCAGGGACAAATATTCTCGCTCCTGTGAAGAATTTTCTAAATAGAGCTATCAGCAATTATACCACACTTGGGACTCATTGGCGCTTACTTGATTGCGTGTTGATCCTGAGGTTGGTTTCTGGCCAAGGTCAATTTCGCATAGATGGCATCGTATAAATCTATTATTTTTTGGCCTTGGCGAACTAGTACGGCTTTTGGGTGCGAAATCTGAATATAGCGTAAAATGTCTATATAGAAGGCCATGTTTTCCTCTCTTTTGACATCGAAACACTCAGCGAGAAAGCTCCATCCGGCGCTGAATTGGTCAGCTGGGCCGGTACTCTCGATTTTGAGAAATGGAAAATTCTCTGAAAGATCCATATACTGTGATACGCGGCTGCGAAGGCTCTCAGATGGGAGCCACGTATCTGCGAGTGAGATGACATAGCTCACTCCACAAAGATCTCTCGCGGGAAGGGCCTTAATGGTTCGCTGTAGTATCTGGTTTGCTCTGATTTCTGAACTCGCGCCCCCCCAGAGATGCCGAAGAAGCCCAAGGAACAGCTCTGGGCGGTGTCGGTAAACATACATTACAGCTTCCGACAAAGATTCTCCACTGTCACTGACAAGCCGTAGCTGCTCACGTATGCCTACAAATTCCAAGAGCCACCTCTCCCAAGATGGATGGTCTGGAACAGGCTTCTCTGGGGCGTTTTCCATATATATATTATGAATGAATTGAACAGAGAAACCAGGAGCTGGCCCATTTGGTGCAAGAAGAGACTCTGGACTGAAAGCGCGATTTTTTCCGGGAAGGTAAATGTCGACCTCATGTGGCCGACGACGATATCCCTTGCCATCCACAACCGCAACCTCTCTAAGCTCCGATGTGGTAGATATCTTAGGCTGATGTGTAAGATATAGATAATGCAGACAAGCCTGAAAGTGGTTCGGTAGACGGAAATCAACTAGCCGACTGAAATCCTGTAGTATCAATACCCTGACTGTATTGACTTCCGCCTCTGAAACACCCAGAAGCCCATATAGCCTTTGACGGGCGATACTGGATGTCGCGGTAGACTGTATCACCCAGATATCTAGTGTTTCAGGAATAACTACGCCTTTTGTCATTGGGAGATACACTCGACCCGACACAGCAGAAGTCCACTTCCCATTTCTTAGAGGAATCATGGGTAATTTCTTTAATTGATCAGCCTCAGGAAGACCTCGATCAAACCACGAACAAAGAAGATTTGCCAGGGCGGAATGCCAGCCTTCAGTCATCTTCGTTTCGTGCATTTTCGGAGTAGGACTGCGAAGATCAGTTTCCAGCAATGCCAAAAAATTATTCGCTGAAAAGTTCTGAAGTCCATAGGTAAACAAAGCTGTCATTGTTAACCCAGAATATTTTGGTGAGATGAATGGATCCTTGACCGGGTCATCAAATATAGGTTCACTCTCCCCATACGTCGCATCTTTCTCAAGGTTAAACACATCAGTGATGACTCGCAGGTCTTGTCGATGACGTGACCTAAGAATAGGATTCGTCATTACAAGTCTTCGGATTTTAACATTTAATTCGGCCCAAAACGTATCCGATGCACCTTCAGTGCTTGGAAGAAACAGCGGCCACTCATAGCATAAAGAGGAGTGTTCACAAAACTGTTTGATGGCGTTAAGGAATGCCTTTGCTATCCAATCAAGGAGATTCTCATTTCGTGTGGAAGTGGTGATGATGTCTTGGCGATTGGCGCTGGTGTCGAAATCGGAATGAATGAGAAACTGAATGGCGTGAGTCTTGGATCATCTTGTGTAGGGAGCTTAGGATATAGTGAGGCTATATGTGATCTTACCTTGTAATCCGATTCTCTCACGGGCAGAAATGCAAATATTTCTTGCTTCTTCTTTGTACTAACAAGTGGCTTGAATTCTGCTGTGAGAGGGAATGCTAGAACTACTTCAGCAGAGGTCGAGAGAGTTTGAGTATCATCCGTATTAGGGAGGTCGCGGTTATCGCTTCTTGCTAGTCCGTGCGCTTTTAATGTCGTGGTATGGTAAATTTGACTTTCTTTCCTCGTCTCATTATCTTTGATAGAGTCTGTGTCCAAAGCCACTCGGTATTTATCGACCTGGCGCTTCCGGAACTCTTTCGATGTTTCAATTTTGCCATGCTTGCCGTAGAATACAATTTTTACTCTCTGAAGCTTTTTTAGAAATAGTAAGGATGTTTGTTGCAGGTCGTCCAACTGTTTCAATATGATTGCCTTGAGGCGTTGAAGTTCGTCTGGGTCTCCTTCATCATGAAAATAGAGAGTCATGCGCGTTAAAGGCCCCTCTAGCTTCTCATCAGTCGGCGTCCAAACGGGTCGGACCATGCCCAGTCCTGGATCATCCCTTTTATGTCTGAATTCGAATGAGAAGTTCCCAGATTGGATATGTACCTTCCAAGCAGCAATGAACACAGACTTGAAGCCGATACCCTTTGCGCCAATGTAGCCATAGGAGGTGGATTTGGTGCTCTGCCCAACCGCACAAATAGCCACCAAGTCCCGCTCGGTAAAGCCATCTTCATTACATTCCACAACAATACGATCTTCATAGACGTTGAAAGAGATGTAGGGTTTGTCAGTGGTCTTGGAAAAGCTGTTATCTTCTGCGTTTTGAAGCAGTTCAAACACAAAACGAGCGCCACTGCCATAAATTTGCTTGGCCAGACTAGGGCTTATTAGCATGTTTGTAGACCTTGGGGACTTTGTGCAATACAGACGTCTTGATAGAATGCGCCGCGGTATTCTCCATCGCAAGCCAGTTTTCATCAATCTCGCGACGATATTCCGGCTTCCACTTTTCGATATCGCTCATCATTTCTTCATTCAAGTACCCATACTTCCTAGTTAGTCGGCGTACAATCTCCTCTGCCTTTTCTACTGAAGCCATATTTGCAATACTATGCACAACTGTGCTCGTAACGCGATAACTTGTGTGTCGTATCAAAAGGTATTGGAAGGAGGGCCGATGCGTCAGGTGTGCACATTGGTCCTGGTCTTGTAAAGGAAAAACAAAGGTCAATCTCAGCTTATGTGGTAGTCCGAAACTAACCAACTGGGTATGAGCCAGCGGCAAGAGAGAATTTTAGATTGGTCCATGTAAAAACAATAAAATTGAACTCCGCTTCATGCAGAGATTCGCATTGGTGGGGCTTGTAACCATCGTAGAGCCCCGCGAGACCCGTCAACGGATACGGCCCGCGGGCTAAACGACGAGATTAAACTAACATCAAAAAGAGCCAGAGGAGAGCATTCGCGAATAATTGATAAGGAGGCGCTCAATCACCACAACGGCTCCGGGAATTGCACCGTTTTCCTTCTCATCTAGATTCTCTCACTTGGTCACGCAAACTGTGAGAATCCTTGTTGGATGGGAGGGGTTCTCGGGCAAGCCGACTTCATGATGTGTTCCAACCAACATGCATAATTCCCTGTCGCTATGGGCTCCATTGTGGCCCTGGGCTCTGATTAATTAGAGAAACGTGGGACGCACTTGTGAGTGCTACTGGAGAATGGCCAAGGTTACGACACATACAACTGCGATCGGATCAACGAGCTTATCATTAACTACCTATGATGATATAGATTTTACACGCCCGCTTGTTTCATACCAGATGTAATAGGATGCCCGTGGCGGCAAATGTGATTGATTTAGCGCTGTGGCTTATTCTGGGGTAACCCCATATCGTTGATCCTGGCGGCAGAGACTGGTTGCCCAGGCTCGATGTACACTAAGCCTGCACTATATTGGTTAAGGTTGAAGAGGGAGCGAGAGACAGAGGACACTGGCACGATTGCGTGTAACCTCTCATGTTATACAGTAAATTACCTATGAAAATGTTGTTCTCACTCACGTTGGTAGTGTAGGTAGCGAGGAGAAATGGTGGAATTATTAAGGTAGCCAAGGAGTGCTATGACTTATGTCTACTGTGTGTATGTACGACAAATCTAAATCATTTTAGAGAAGTAACAGATACATGAAAATGCAACATTTGTAAAAACTACAAGGCAACGTATATGATATACTGATGAGCCTGAAGGGAATTCAAAACTAACGTCTGGCGAGCAACGCTTTATTGGCGTAAGACCACTAGCTCGAAAACTTTGGTTGCGGCCCTTGAGCCAACAAGCTGCCAGGCCGTAACCGAGAGAGATGACATGGCGCGTACTTGGATGCATACGAGAGGTATACTCTGCATCCCTAGGGAACTTTTGAACCTGCGAGGAGAAAGAAGGATAAGGAACCGTGTCAATTTTCGTTCATGATTTGCTGTGATGCTAAAAACGATTCGGCCTCTACGCATTGTCGGAGGGTACCGATAGGGCAAAGACCTTTAAGCCGGCATAGCCATTGCTGAATAGCGTTTGTGCAAACATTTGACCAATGTAAAGATGCCGACGGGGCTAGGAAAGCATCCATTTTGATTCGGGGCTTCGGATGCTTTTTGGACTGGGACTCGTCCTGCGCATCAGTGACATATGCATTATCGAGACCTGCCCGTCAAGAGACAGTTCCAAGCTTCAAGCAGTGATAGAAGATCGCGCGACGTTTGCCGGGCGCCTTCTCGAATCCCACTTTCCACTTGGAAGTCTATGGTAGCTTCTTGAGAACATTCGCAGGCTTCCGCAAACTCAATTGCTGGGGAGCTTCGACGCTACGCTGGATATCACTGGTGGCGCTGCTTATGCAGCTCTCAGCGAGCATTCGGTCCAGGATCTGTGCTGTGCGATCAAGGTATCCATCAAGTTCGGTCGAACAAGAAAACAAAGAGTGAAATTTGCTGTTCTCCAATCATTACTGGGTCAAGAAAGCGTTCAGTTCCCTGAGTAGCGTTAATTGAGAGAACAAGACAGAGACTTTAACTTGCTCGAGGACAGAGAAAGCAATCGTTTTAGCAATCGTTTTGCAATAGCATGTACCACTGTTCCAACTGCAAAACAAAATTCAATGCTGCCGCCATATTGTGGCTGGGCAGGCTGAAGACAGCAAAAGGATTTTTTCTTTGTTAGAAACTAGGTGGTTCGACCACCTACTAAGTAATCGACAAAGAAAATGAAGGATCCTCTGTCTTTCTACTGAGCGGCTTCGCCGTGCAGCTTATTCCTGATTGCCTCAACAAATATGTACCTGAGCTACCTCTCAACTCACGAGTTCAACACACGTGTCCTACAGTAAAGTTTTGTGGTGGCACCGTCACTTAGAACTTGAACTTTCTATTATTCTCTCTCCGAGATCCTCATGATACGATCAAGCTATTTACCGACTTTCTAACAACGGCGATCAACGTCTTCTCCTTACCTCAATACCCAATTTGAATAGCTCAAGCACATCAACAACCGAGATAGTGCAGCGCCATGCCTATCTCAGCCCTATCAGAGGAGTGCAAGGAGCTCTTCATTAGACGTCTTGTATCCGTTACATCCACCCCTGAAGAACGGACAGCAATAGAAAACCACCTGTTTAGACTCAATCTATGGGCGAAGTTCTATGTTGCTCCCTCCAATAAGCGAGACTCGTTGACTGTCGCTTGAGGAACGCCGTGGTATCACACTCTCTGATGCAAGATTTACTCACGCACCTTCTTGACGCCCTCAACAGTATGCATTCTGCCACCTGCAACGTAAAAAATGTTTTAATGCAACGTAGGTGGGTCCATCATAGTGCCTATAATGTAGTTTTAGGATATAGTATTTTCGCTTCTCATCGCATCATAATGCTAATATCAGAAACTACATATCAAAAATGTAGTGAGATTCCTTACACGATGGTGGGTCTAGATTACCAGTTCCATAAGGCTCAAACCCGACACGGGCACTATAGGTGTGCTTTGCTACAAGACCAACAAAGAAGAAAACTATCAATTAGCGGTTTCAAAGGAAGAATGCTTCTGCAGTCGAAACGTACTGTACAATGATAGAAAGAGTATTTGAAGAAATATCTCCGCCAGAAGAATTATAGAGTCTAGAACACTAGGTATAAGGAACAATTATCTCCATATCTGGCCAAGGCAGAGTTATCATCATTGTGGTTCTACAGACGCATATCCGTATGAGCCACATTTACAGACACAATGGAGTAGAGTTATATCCTGCTCAAACGTCTTAATTGATTTGACTCATGTCACTCATTTCGTTTTCGTCCCTCGGCGCAATGGAGAAAGAGAAAAGGCTGCCGAGCCGCTGTCAAGCTGAACCGAAGCCACCCGCGTTATCCTTTCAGCATTGACTCGATAACCGAGGCGTTTTTTTTCTCGCTACCCCATAACACAACACGCGGCAGGAGACAGCCGCGTTACGCATCTAAATGACAGCAGATTAGATTGCCGTTAGATAGCACAGCTCAACAAAAACCGAAACCGGATCTGGATGGAGTCAAGAGTGTGCCCCGCTGCCGAAGATCCGCCAATGCGGAGGGCCGAGAAAGTAAGCCGCAGCTAGACAAGACAGCCAAATAGACTAAGAAGACGGGAATAGAAGAGAAAGGTTGAGGGAATTCGACTAATCCTAAGGAGTTGCGCTGAAGCCCCTAATCGAGTTGGTTCGCAACTGTAGTGCCACATGCATGCACTGTAAACTCAGAGCCTAGGATTGCACGCACTGCGCCGTTGAATCAATCACATCGAGCCAAACCCCGATCTGCCCACTCTTTTCAGCTGCTGGATAGTAACGAGTCAGAGCTGTTCTCCGTTTATCAATCAGTCAACACTATTCAGCCCTCGCAACAACAGCAGAGACACACACAACAACAACCACAACAATGAGAGTCTCAACAACAACTCTTAGGGCTGGCCGATTGGCCCAGTCCTTTTCACCTTCTTTCAGACAAACTCCAGCCGTGGTGCGAATCAGCAGCCGAGCCAACAGCACCGCCGTCGACTCTCCCGTCAACTTTGGAGCTGCCCCTCCCCCTCCCCCGCAGCAGCAGAAATCGGGCCTGGATGGCAAGAAGCTGGTGGCAGACGCTGTGGCAGCAACGCAGCCGCGCAACAACTGGACCAAGGAGGAGATTTCGGCCATTTACTACCAGCCTCTGCTGGAACTGGCCTACCAGGCCGTAAGTCATCAATTGATGGTCTACGTATAAATCAAAGACGTTGAAACTAACTCGACTTGATCCAGGGATCGCTCCATCGCCGCTTCCACAGCCCCGGCGAGGTCCAGCTATGCACGCTGATGAACATCAAGACGGGCGGCTGCTCCGAGGACTGCTCGTACTGCGCCCAATCATCGCGATACTCCAAGGACACGGGCCTCGAGGCTAAGAAGATGGAGTCGGTCGAGTCTGTGCTGGAGGCCGCGCGCCAGGCTCGAGCCAACGGCAGCACGCGCTTCTGCATGGGCGCGGCGTGGAGAGACATGCGCGGCCGCAAGTCTGGCCTGAAGAACGTCGTCGAGATGGTCAAGGGCGTCAAGGCCATGGGCATGGAGGCGTGTGTGACGCTGGGCATGATCGATGCCGAGCAGGCGCGCCAGCTGAAGGACGCTGGACTGACTGCCTACAACCACAACGTCGACACCAGCCGCGAGTTCTACCCTTCCATCATCTCAACCCGCTCGTACGATGAGCGTCTTACTACGCTGAGCCATGTCCGCGATGCTGGCATCAACGTCTGCTCTGGCGGTATCCTGGGTCTCGGTGAATCATCAGAGGACCGAGTTGGTCTGCTGCACACTGTTTCCACGCTCCCCAAGCACCCGGAGAGCTTCCCAGTCAACGCCCTTGTGCCGATCAAGGGAACTCCATTGGGTGATCGCGAGCCCATTGCCTTCACAAGCATGCTGCGCACCATTGCCACAGCACGTCTGCTGATGCCTGCGACTATTATCCGTATTGCTGCTGGCCGCAAGACCATGTCGGAGGAGAAGCAGGCGCTCTGCTTCATGGCTGGTGCCAACGCCATCTTCACTGGTGAGAAGATGTTGACGACGGAGTGCAATGGCTGGGACGAGGACAGCGCCATGTTTGGCCGATGGGGGTTGGAGCCCATGCAGAGCTTTGACAAGAAGCCGGTGGACCCCTCAAGCGCATAGATGAGCGTTCACGAGCTAGTTTTTAGCGATTTTGTTTTGTTATGAGAGATAGGAAATGCAAGAAAGGATATAAAGAAAAGGACATCTCGCAAAGAGTGTCACAGGATGGCACTAGTGAGATTATTACACATATATAAGCACAATTGTTTTATATCAATTTCTATAACTTGCTCTTTATGGCTCCTTTTATCCATTCTTCTATCGCCTTGCATAGCCCTTCCACCTCTTCCACGGTGTTTCCAGCATGCAGGCATACTCTTACTCTGTCCTGCCCAGCTGGAACTGTTGGTGCTACAATTGGTCTCACAGTAAAGCCCCTCTCTTGGCAGTACTGCGCCAGATTTCTTGCTCTGCTTGTAAACAGTGGTAGGATTGGCGACTGTGGCGTCTCTGAGTTTATGCGAAATAATTCTGGTGAAGGATGATGCTGCTCAATGAGACCAGCGAGGAGATTGTGCATATGGAAGATAAGTGACTGGAGATGCTCAAGAAGAGGATCGGCGTGGCCCTGTGCTAGGAAGTCGTAGGTTGTGCGTATGCTGGCGAGAGAAGGGAAGGCCATGGCAGTTGTATAGATGAAGCTCCGGGCATAGTTGATGAGATATGATCTCGTTACTGAAGAACATAGCACAATGGCTATTTTCATTCAATTAGTATGTTGGAAAGAAAATGAAGGAATAAGACAAAACTCACCTCCAGAGCATCCCATGGCTTTGCCAAAGGTGTGCACACGGCCCCATATCCTGCTTTCAAGCCCAAGATGGCATACGAGTCCTCTTCCCTGAGAACCAAATATTCCCGTGGAGTGCGCCTCATCGACAATGATGTAGCCGTTTCCGAGAGGCAGTCTTTTTTCCACGCACTCAACAATGTGTTTTAGCGGTGCTGCATCTCCATCCATACTATACACTCCTTCAACTGCTATGAAGATGTTTTTCTTCCCATTCCGCACATCAGCCCCTTCTGCGCCCTCTGATAGGCTTCTCAATAAAGAATCGAGGCATTGAAGCTTGTTCTTCTCAATTGATGTTTCCAATGCTGCTGCAGAACATTCATAGACCTGGTTGTGTGCAAAAGGGATTCTTTGCGCTCTGCTGAGTCTCATGCCATCATGAACACTGGCATGGATCAACTCGTCGTAAGCAATGACATCTCCCTTTTGCGGCACGCAGGCAAATAATCCTGTGTTGGCTTCAAATCCAGAGTTGAACAACAGTCCTGCATCCGCGCCGTGAAACTTGGCGATTCGATCTTCTAGATCCTCTGTAAATGCTGAGTTGCCATCTAATAGCCGAGAGCCTCCAGATCCAAGACCAAAGCCGGCTTCGGAATCTGCTGACTGCAGGTAGGGCTGGATGAAAGACAGGTAGGCAGCTTTGACAGCCGGATTAGACGAAAGTGATAGATAGCTGTTTGAAGAAAAGTCGACAGAGTTGGAAGAAGGAATTGTGAGGCGACGAAGGCGGCCTTGAGACAGGCGTAATGAGAGGATATTGGCGAGAGTCTTGTCGAGATTGGAGGCCATCGTTGCCGGCTTCGTTTGGCTCAATTGGTCGACTCAATCAGGCTTGTCTCGTCAATCGAACTTTTGCTATCCCGTTTGATATGACATATGCACGCTTTGCCATAAACAACAACCCATGCACATGAATACAGTCACATTCGGCCTGTATCGGCGTCTGCGCAAAGGAATCCCGCTCACGCAGTAGTTGCTCATCACATGGGTTTAGAGAAAAAAATAGTAGCAATATCTGCTCCACTACACCTAGCTATACCCAATTGTCAAGCTCAACTGTAACTCTACGCCTTTAAAAAGCCCATCTACCAATTAAAAAGCCCGCTTGTACATGTTAGGGCAACGTTGACAGATTGCCTCGGGTATGCTAACGAATAGACAGCTTTGTTGTCCGGCTCTAATAGCAATGAGGGATTTCGAGGTTCCCAGCCCGTGTCAGTTACTAGTAGGTATCGAGTTCTCCGGCCATTCAACCCAAGAGCTGTCATGGGCTGCAGAAACCCCCACTTTGGCCTGGACAAACGGAGATCGGCACGGCCCCCAACAAAAATGACAAAACGAAACAGAGGGAGAGAACAAATGCATTTCGCAATTCGCACTGCCAAGAAAGCTTCAGCTTAGTGGCCGCCATTACCCTTCTGGGCTAATTCTGTATTCCTAATTCGGCCCCAAGAGGGACTCATCGGTTTTCAACTCTCTCTCAGCCTCAAAGACAACAAAAAGAGTCAAAGAGGGAACAACAAAGGAATTCCTCCTAATGTCTCTGATCTAGAATCTCAATCAAGCTCTGTTCATCACCTTCTTTTAATTGGTCGTCATGCCACAGCCGCCACCGCCGCTCGCATCGCCGCTTTGGCGCTCCCTGCGCGCGTACCAAATCTTCGGTGCCAACACCGAGGTGGGGAAGACGGTCTTCTCAACACTGCTTTGCAAGGCTGCGGCTGCGAGGACGACAGGTCGCGGCGTAGCGTTCTTGAAGCCTGTTTCTACGGGGCCGGATAGCGAGGCTGATGATCGGTGTAAGTGATTGCCCTTTTGAAGCTAGAAACAAGAAAAGAGAGAAATTGCAAGTAGCTATCAGAAGTGGGGTTAACGATGAAGATGCAGATGAAGAATGATACAACTCACTTGAGGCTAATGGTGATAGCATTGCTGATTAACACATCTATCATCTATGTAGTCACATATCAAAATTCGCCCCAAATGTCTCTAACAAGACTCTCTTCCAATACAAAATCCCCGTTAGCCCACACATCGCGGCCAAGCTCTCCAACACCGTAAGTCTGTGTCCAACCTTTCCAGAAACAAGGCATCCGAACTCACTATTGCCTCCTCCTCATCCTAGACAATCCCTTCCAACGATACCCTCCTCTTCCAATGCAGAGACTACGCAGCTCAATGCGCCAACATAGGCCGGAAATGGCTTTTTGTTGAAACTGCAGGAGGCGTTCACTCACCTGGTCCATCAGGGACAACTCAGGCGGATATGTATGCGCCTCTCCGTTTACCTGTTGTTCTTGTTGGTGATTCTCGCCTAGGGGGTATCTCTCAGACGATATCAGCCTTTGAGTCACTTCGCATGCGGGGCTATGATGTTGAGTCGGTGGTGCTGTTCAAAGAGGACAAATACCAGAACTTTGACTATCTTTCAGAGTACTTCGCAGAGCATCACGATGTGCCCGTCGCTGGGGTAATCGAGCCGCCTGAAAGAAAATCAAGTCTTGAAGACGATGTCCGAGCAATGGCTAAGTACTACGAGGAGCAATCCCAGGCTAAAAATACGGGCGATGTCATCTCACATCTCGATAAGCGCCATGAGCAACGCATCGCATCCTTGGATTCCATGGCTTCTCAGGCTCTCGAGAAAATCTGGTATCCCTTCACTCAGCATAGTCTACTCACTCCCAAGGACATCAACGTCATCGACTCAGCCCACGGCGACTACTTCCAGACTCTCGCCCCCTCATCTTCATCGTCATCTTCACAAAACGACAGCCTCCTCCGCGCTTCATTCGATGGCTCAGCATCATGGTGGACTCAAGGCCTCGGCCACGCCAACCCCAGACTCACTCTAGCAGCCGCCTACGCCGCCGGCCGTTACGGTCACGTCATGTTCGCCAGCGGCATCCACCGTCCAGCTCTAGAGCTCTCTTCGACCCTTCTCAAGGGGATGAACAGCCCTCGCCTCGACCGTGTATTCTTCTCTGACAACGGCAGCACAGGTATCGAGGTGGCTCTCAAGATGGGCCTTGGAGCAGCAAAACTTCGATACGGATGGGCCAAGGAGGAGAAACTCGGGATTGTAGGCCTCAAGGGTTCGTACCATGGTGATACTATTGGTGCTATGGACTGCTCTGAGCCGAGTGGATATAATGAGAAAGTTGAGTGGTACGATGGAAAGGGCCATTGGTTTGACTATCCGACTGTTCTGTGTATCGGTGGCAAATGGCGCGTCAATGTTCCTGAAGAGCTGAGACAGGCATTGGGCGAGGACGCAGATTTCGGCTCGCTGTCAGAAATTTTTAATGTTCAAGGCCGAGAGCAGAAGGGTCACCATATTCGATATGAAGCCTTTATTAGAGAATCTTTGGAGCGACTCGTCAAACAAGGCCGTCGGTTTGGTTCGGTCATCATCGAGCCTGTTGTTCTTGGTGCTGGAGGCATGGCATTAGTGTAAGAATCTACCTTCCCATCAGCTCTTAGAAACCTCTTACTAACCCTCTATTCACAGAGATCCTCTTTTCCAGCGCGCCCTCGTCAACGTCGTTCGAAAATCCCCAGATCTCTTCCGCAAACCTGGTGCCGCCGTCGAGGAAACCTCCAGTGACCCCAACGCATGGACTGGCCTTCCCATCATCTTTGACGAGGTCTTCACTGGCCTCTACCGTCTCGGTCGCTTTACTTCTTCTTCCTTCCTCAACACATATGCCGACATCTCCGTCCACGCGAAGCTTCTTACAGGAGGCCTTGTCCCGCTGTGTACAACGCTCGCTTCGGAGAATATCTTCCAGTCATTTAGCTCTCAAGATAAGACTGATGCACTCCTCCACGGCCATAGCTACACAGCACACCCTGTGGGCTGTCAGGTCGCCTTGGAATCCCTGAATGATTTGCAGAAGATGGATCAAGACGGGTCATGGGATTGGGCAAAGTCACAAGGCTGGAAATCCTCCGAAGCGTCTCTCACAAGCGGCCAGTCCTCTACCAACGTCTGGTCAACCTGGCCTCGCGATCTGGTAGAGGATCTTTCCCGCCAAACAGATCGCGTATCGGGCATCTGGGCTCTCGGCAGCGTTCTTGCAATCCACATCAAGGACGCATCGGGAAGCACGGGATACTTTAGCAATGCCGCGCAGGACCTTCGCGATACCCTCATTGCGGGGGATTCGGAGGGCGCCAATGGGTCATGGAATGTGCACTGTAGAGTGCTTGGAAACGTACTGTATCTGATGGCGGGGCAGAAAACGACAGAGGAGAGCATTGCACAGATTAGTTCAGAACTGCGAAAGGGACTACAGGCCTAAATTTAGATAGGCAGATATAACAAGTCAATAATAGTGATGAAAGACATGGGCTTATAGTAAAAGGACTATTGTGAAACAATACATGAACAAATATATTTTCAAAAAATGCCGAGCGAAGCCTTTGATCGTGTTGAATAGCTCTCCTTTACTTTTCCTTCTCTTTGTTCGAACTACAAAGTCAGCACTTGATGTACTCATTTCTGTCACCCCCTATTGACTTCGCTCTAGAAAACGAATCGCATCTTTATCACACATAAGTAGAAACGTTTCGACGATCTTTAATCCAAGCGCCAAACAATGGTGTTCAAATGAAGATGTGCAGCAACAAGTGTAAAATATACATCTGACGTTTCCAGAGCCTTTGGCGTAACACTCACTGAATTGCGGCGAAAGAACAAAAAGATGTCTAGAAATGCCACTCATAAACAGTGATTTATACCGCTAATGATTGTTCCTTGTTGTAAAAGACGCGCAAGTCTTTGTATATAATATGGAAGGTCAGATCAAAACTCACAATAACTAAGTAGGTTTAAACAAGATAGTGTCGCAAGTTGAGAGCTGTAACAGCAGGTATTGGCAAGTTAAGAACTCCCATCATTTCAGCCGTTTTCGCAACTCAAATATCCTTCGTCTCAACACGTGAGATGGTATGCTTTTCTTCTTAAGCAGACTTTCTCCTCAAAGCTAGCTAAAGCTACAGCCTCGATTCACTCTTCGCCGAACAGCTACTCTCATTGCACAACTCCAAAATGGCGGGCTTTGATCTCATCTCATCAGTCTTCAGGTCATTATTCAATCTTATTGCGGTAAATAGTGACGAAACAGAAGAGGAAGGTGAATCTCGTCAAGAATGTAGGCCGCTTAGTGATGTGCACATGCCCCTGCCGCAAGATGAGGGAAGTGGAAGCGACGAAGAAGGGGAATCAGAGGAGAGAGAGTTCCGTGACGCAAGTGAGAGTTTCGAGGCCGTTGAAGTTATTAACATGGATGACGAATATGAAAGTGGCGAGGAATATCTGGAAGAGTCTTGTCTCAGACTCATCGTGGCTCTGGGTCGATGTATGCCCCCCACTGCTCAGTCCATGATGACCACTGCCCGCTCCAAGGTTCCAACTATTTCGGCTCCAGAATACTCCGACTCGGATTTAGAAAGCATCAGTGACTATTCCGATACAGATGGGGGTGATAGCTGGTCAGTCATCGACGAGCGATAAGATTCAGGAACCATTCTGAATCAAAACTAACAGTTGACTTGCATAAAAGAGTATTCGCTCACGGAGAATTTGAGTGAACCAGGCGCGGAGATTTTTAGATGACTCGAGTCCGCGGAGACTCCACCTCTCCAATAAAGCGGCTGCTGAGTTCGGCAAGGCAAATCTGGGGATAGGGCAGGCTATTCGGTGTTTTTCTGTTTCTATTTTGTTTCTACATTCGCTTCTGTGCTGGATTTTTGAAGTAATTGGCGGCATACCCGATGAATGTATCAATTCACTTTGTTTTGATTAAGTGATTTATAATATCTTTCGCGTAACTTGCTTGGTGATGCTGCAGGACATGAGCTTTTGACTTGACTCGTGAGGCGTAGTCGGAACGAGTCGGGCATTGTAAAGGCGACTTTAGTCGCCCGTACAGACCGTAAAGGCCGTAAAGACAAGTTATGAGTAATATTAGTTAAATAAATATGATGAGCTATTGCATCCATGTCCGTGTACTTATTGTCCAGGCTGCGCTAAAATGCATCGGAGCACCAGCTACAATAGCTTACACGTAGCATGTCACATCCGAGATGCAGCTCTAGGAAATGCCACTCTCTCTATTTGCTACCTTTTATCGAATAAAACGTTTGCTAAATAAGAATATTTTTATGAAGAAAAAGTACCAAAGTTAAAGTCATATTTCTATCCTGATACTACTGGTAATAGGATATATCATGGGGTGATGATGCATGAACTTAATATTCCCTTTCCTCTAATCTTACCCAAGGTAAAAGCATCATCAATCAGCTCCACGACTCTGGCAATAGACTGCTAGCCAATCAGTTTCAGCGCATATCCAATTCGTCTACTGCCGCTCCCTCTTCCCGACTCGCCCACTTTTTTGCCTCACCTTGCAAATCGAATTACTGCAGTATCTCCGTCATTTCAACCCACAGAGAGGCGGGCTGCTACCAAAATAAACAAGGTGAGAAAATAAAGCCACAAGCCATCGCCCGCAAATGCTGATTGCCGACTCCTATGCCGGTAACAAGTTCTAGCTCGGGGTCTCGGATTGGTCTTCGCCCCAGGCCAGTCCTTGCCCCTCTTGGAAACAGCAGGCCTTGTAGGCTGTTAGCCTGTATTCCTCCATCTTTGCGGCGTCAAAGACCGCCACATGCGGAAGGCTTGTCGTGCTTTGGCTGGGCGGCTAGAAGCCGCTACCATCTACCGATTTCGCACCCCTTGACGCCTGGGGCAGATTGCGGGGTTAGCCGTCCAGGGAGTTTTGTATATATAGCGAATTGGCCTGGGATGGTATTTGCGTTTGGAATCACAGCAGATTTGTCTGAGTCTGACGTGTAGTTTATCTGTCTCCTCATCTTTCCTCTTCTTTGTTTCTTTATGCATTTCTCCAAAAATCAGACTTCCAAGTGTTGATACACATCACGAAATACCAGCATAAACTTTTGCTGCCGGTCAGCGTTGCTGACGGAAGAATCAAACGGCGACTTATCCACAGGAGCTGCTAAATAGTCGGGGCTCCATAAAACCGAGAGCTTCGACCATCCGACAACCGAAGCAACTTCACATTTTAGTGTCGCGAGGCCTGTGCTCTAAGAAAAGAGAAACGAGCCAGCAAGAGCTCGTCAACGCAGCCATGGCGCTGATTGAAAACCTCCTGTCGCCGTGGACTCTTGTAGCCCTCGGCGGATTGCTGGTAGCGTCATATCTCTACGACTTTCTTGTCACATATGCGCCACTTCGTCGCTTCCCAGCTCCCTTCCCAGCTCAATTTTCAAATCTATGGCTTTTGAGTGTCTGTCGCCGGGGTAATCGCTATGCGACTGTTGACAAGATGCACAAGAAGATGGGCAAATTCGTGCGAATCCAGCCCAACCATGTCTCTATTGCCGACGACGAGGCGATCAATGCTGTCTATGGCCACGGTAACGGCTTTCTGAAAGCGTATGGCGCACCCCCGTTGAACCTCTCTTTATAAGTCAAACTGAGTAGGACTTGACACTTACATGCCACAGTGAATTTTACGATGCCTTTGTCTCTATCCAGCGCGGTCTGTTCAACACGCGCGACCGCATTCAGCACACGCGCAAGCGAAAGATGGTTTCCCATACTTTCTCTGCCAAGTCCATCGTTCAGTTCGAACCGTATATCCACCAAAACTTGGAGAACTTTGTTAAGCAGCTGGATCGCCTGGTAGACACGAGCCAGTTCCAAGACAAGGATGGGAAGAAGGAGGCCCGCTTCGATTGTCTTCCGTGGTTCAACTTCATTGCCTTCGATGTCATTGGCGATCTTGCTTTCGGTGCTCCATTCGGCATGCTCGAGAAGGGCGTCGATCTTGCGGAAGTTCGAGGCTCACCGGACAGCCCTCCCATTTATGCGCCTGCTATTGAGATCCTGAACCGTCGCGGTGAAGTGAGCGCGACTCTTGGCTGCTTCCCAGCGCTCAAGCCTTATGCCAAGTATCTGCCCGATCCTTTCTTTAGCCAAGGTCTCGCCGCAGTGGAAAACCTGGCCGGGATTGCAGTTGCCTGCGTGAAGCGACGCCTTGACAACCCCCCTGATGTTGAACGCAAGGATCTTCTCGCTCGATTGATGGAAGGCCGTGACGACAAGGGCGAACCACTTGGAAGACAGGAGTTGACCGCCGAGGCCCTGACGCAGCTCATCGCTGGAAGCGACACCACCTCCAACTCGTCATGCGCCTTGATGGACTTTGTAGCTCGCAACCCGCGCGTCATGGAGAAGCTGCAAGCCGAGCTAGATGCTGCCATTCCTCACGGTGTCGACGTCCCAACTTACGACATGGTCCGCGACCTGCCCTACCTCGCCGCTGTCATCAACGAGACTCTGCGCCACCACTCGCCTTCTGGCATTGGTCTGCCTCGTCAAATCCCCGCGGACTCTCCAGGTGTTGCCATCTGCGGCGAATTTTTCACTGCCGGCACTGTCCTCAGCGTTCCTACCTACACAATTCACCACTCCAAGGAGATCTGGGGCCCCGACGCCGACGACTTTAAGCCAGAGCGATGGGAGAACGCCACGCAGCGCCAAAAGGATGCCTTTATCCCTTTCAGCTACGGGCCCAGAGCTTGTGTCGGCCGAAATGTGGCCGAGATGGAGATGAAGCTGATTGCATCTACTTGGGCGAGAAGATATGGTGCCAAGATTCTGCAGGGCCCCATGGAGACAAAGGAGGGCTTTTTGAGAAAACCATTGGGACTGGATATTGCGCTGTACAGGAGGTAATTCGCCTCTGAAAGGGAACGGGAGGAATTGGATTATGGCTTTATTGAGGCGTTTATGGGCGAAGGTTGATGCATGGTTTAGAGACTTGATCAAACGCCCATGAGAGACTAAGCTGTATCTTATTGAACAAAGAAGGTAAGGGAGCGCAAGGTCAGGGTATTTTGTTATCTCTAGCTTAGCATAAAATGTAACAATTCCATGTAGTTATTTCCATTCTTACTCTACTTCAAGCCAACTTTAGCAGTGAAGCCTTCTCAGTAAAATAGATATGCTTTGCCGCTTTCACATGTATAGGCGCACACGGCATCAATAACTCCTGTGGCCACGAAACTCTATCTGTATTTTTGTCCAATCACAAGTATCAAGTGTCACCAGAAGAGGATCTTGCATCTCAAAACTCTAACAAACGCATGCGGAACGCTCGATTAGAATTTCGCAGGCTTTATAAAGATATTTTACGCAGTGGCAAACATCAACAAATGAATCCTCTCTCCTCTGTGGCGCAATTGGCTAGCGCGTCTGACTGTTAATCAGGAGGTTGGAAGTTCGAGCCTTCCCGGAGGAGAATCAAGCTTTATTTTTGCTTTTTAGCCAACCGTTAGTTTCTTTTTTTTCTTCAGTAAATGAGGTAGGCTCTTATTCCACATGGAAGCTTTGGAATCAAGGTTCAAGGTTACTATAAGAGAGAGGTAATAATTAAGAAGAAATGTGTACGCATATGTAGAGCTATGTAAACGACTGCTATAGAACTCCTATAGAACTGGGCACGCTGTAAGACCACTGTCGGGCTTCCTATCGCCGTGCTGTCTAGAAAATGTTACTGAATGTATGCGATATATATCTCTATTCATTCATTGAGAGCACTATTTTAGAAGCATCCCCATATGCATTTGGCACTCTGTAGGCATAGTTGATGGCTTATAAATTCTATAGCTGACAATTCCAATTTATTGTCTCTCTTACTTGAGTGTTACCGCATTCGTGCAGTTGCCGTTTTGGGAACATTATTATTTCTAATAAAAATCTATCTTCTGCATGTTTCTCATTAATCTACGTTTGAAAATAAAATGAATGAATTATCAGAGTGTCCTAGAAAGATCTTTCAATTGTATAATACCTAATTACTTAATTTGTCCTAGGTCTTTGTCCTGTTTGCAGCGTCATTAACCCGATTCTTCAGCTTCTAGGGTATTCGCAGAATCTTAATTTGCGCCACTCCGCTGCAGCGCACATTCAAAAGCCGATTGCCGTTCTGGTATTCCCATCTAAAATAGGCACTTTGGCCGAGTGGTCTAAGGCGCCGTGTTCAGGTTCTGTCTGGTCTACCAGATGATCTATTCGCGGTCTAGAAATAGGCGAGGGTTCGAATCCCTCAGGTGTCACTAAAATTACTTTTTTGCCATTAGTTGCCCTTGCGCACATTCTCTCTCTCTCTTTTTGGCTATGGACATTGGGACTTTACACACAGATGCATTTTTGTTCATATTGTCTTGTGCCAGCTGATGTCTTTATACCTGGGGACTACGTATATAAGTTGAGCGATGATGCATCTACGGATTCACCTGCCCCTAAATCTCTGTCTAATCATAGAACCAAAATTTGGAGGATGACTGTATCAAATCGTGATTCTTGATCCTAAACATGGATATGTATAATGAGATAATTGAGATAGTTAAGTATTAGGCGAATGACGCAGTACTCTAGAGAACAAGAGAGATAAGTCACAGTCAAAAGGCTGAATTTGACTCTACGGGATCAGTCGCACTGAAAATGACAATTTCAGTATACAATTATCAAGATTCCTACTACTACAAGAACTTGAATTGAATAGAAGATATCACGAAAATAAAGATGATGTTTAATTTATGTTTATTGATCTTGAAGCTTCGAGAATACACATTCGTGTGAGAGCTTCGCACAACATAGTAAGTAACCTCGCTGACGAAATGCCATCTATTTCATCATCATACACTAGTATGAACATCAAAGTCGACTATCTTGGAACAGTATTCCGTTAATAATGCTCGCCGATAGTGATTAATCGCTTTGGCGAAGGAGGCTTCCGCTCGCGCCCGCCTTGGCGTCCGCTCTGCCTCCGCTCTAGACTATGACGAATGCGCGACCAAGATCCAGGGGCAGAGAATATTCTCTCTATATACCGGTCTTAGCGATGCTAAATCCATCGGAATTAAAACATCTTGAAACTTATTCCCTTGCTTGTCTTGATCTTGTCAATGCAGCCTTGGATTTTTGTTGATGCTGCTCAAGTTATGAGGCGGGCACTAGAGCGGACGAAGAGGCAAAGGGCGGGCTGTGGAGAGAAGCCATGATAGATTGCACCAAGTGAAATCAACTATAAAAAGATGAATTGATCTGATTATCGTCTGTTTGGAAAATCATCTTCATCTACTCCATCAATCGACATACGCACAGAAAAGTATCATCATGGCATCCACCCTTGTGCCCAAGAAAATATGGTTCATCACCGGCGCATCCTCAGGCCTTGGCCTCAACATGGCCCTGTCTGCCCTCCGCGCCGGTCACCGTGTCATTGGAACCGGCCGCAACATTGAGAAGGCTGCAGCGCAACATCCAGAGTTTGCTCAACTAGGCGGCCAATGGCTCCAGCTCGATGTATCTCAGCCAGGCGCTGAACGAACTATACAAGACATCGTAAAACTGGAAGAGCAGCGTTTCAGCACCAGGAATGAGCAGCCCCACTGGGTTGCTGTGAATAACGCTGGAGCTACTCTGATCGGCGCAGTGGAAGACATGAGCGAGAATCAGATCCAGCAGTATTTACAGACCAATGTGTTGGGCTTCATTCGTGTATGGAAAGCTTTGTTGCCGACTCTACGCCGCAACCGCACAGGCACTGTTGTCAGCATTTCATCCATCTTTGGTTTCGTCCCAAAGCCAGAGCACATGCTCTATAGCGCTGTCAAAGCGACTACCGAGTCTCTGACCGAATCGTACGCTACTCTGCTCGAGCCGTTTGGCATCAGGACTATGTTTGTGGAGCCTGGCGGCTTCAGGACCCCCTTTGCAGGCAACAACTCCAAATCAGATGGCGGTATCTCGGCGGATTACGAATCCAAGATTCAAGCTTGGATTGGCGTTTTGGATGCAGCGCAAAGGGATGATACAATGCTGACGGGAGATCCCATCAAATTTGGCGACAGAGTTGTTGATGCTGTTGAAAGCCAAGGTTTATTTGAGAGTATCTGGGCAAAGCACGATAAAACTAAAGCTTTGAGAATCTTGCTAGGAACAGACTGTTATAGCTTGTTCAAGGAAAGGGTTGAGGATTTGCAGCAAGGATATATCGATATGGCTGAGGTGGCTTATTCCGCAAATGTAGATGAGTAATGTGGAAGCGCATTTTATCTTCAGTTAGATAGAAGCAGGTAGTTGAAGTCTCTTCATTAAACCTAGATGTTCGAAATATCTGTAATGAAGTAAGAAGTGAAAAAGAGATGTGGAACAACGCCAAATCATCCGGATGATGGCGTTAGCGTATTTGATGCGGTCTCAGAGCTAATCAGACTGAGAATACCCGCCTGGTTGAGTAACGCGAGATATTCCGTTGCAAGGTTCCAATTCTCGCCAATCAGCTTCAAGTCTCGCACAATATCTTCCAAGGCGTTGTACATTTGCGGTTCGTGGTCTTCTCGGACAAACCAGGCACACTCTGTGGCCGAGTGGTACAAGCATTGCGCTATGAGAGGGCACTCGATATTGGCGCGCGCAATGGCCGGCACGATATTGGAGGAGATGAATATGATCCCGTCCAGACTGGCCTTTTGCATCTCCGTCTCCATGGCCATTCGGCTCTGCTCCACGAAGGTTCCTGGCTCATTGCACCCGTAAAGGTTGTAGAGGAGAAGACGAGCAGAGCTGCAAAAAGCGAGTGCAATTATGGCGGATTTGCGCAAGACTCCTTCAGAGATGTGTCCTTCGATAGAGCTATGCAGTGATGAAAGTGCTGAATGAAGCGCTTGAGCTTCTGGGAGGAGATTCTCAACTTCCTGTAAAGCCTTTTTGCTTGCTTTATGGTGCATGACTCTACTAAGCATATGTGCAGCTTGGCACATCTTGGCAAATGATCCAACAGACGTTAAGCTGCTGAATGACGTGGTGAACAATGGCTCGCTGGGGACAATCTTTCCTTCGTCCCAGTCATCGTCGTTAATCGGCAGCAACTCATCCCGGGCGGGTTCGGGCACCGTGATTGGCAGATTCGTTTCAATATTCATGAGCCTAATCAACAGTCAGTAGTGGACATTAGCGGGCATAAGGGCAAAAGAGTAATCACCTGTCTAGCAAAAATATTGCCCACCACGTCCGGCGCTGTTCCTCCCGAAGTGTCCAAGTCTCGGCGCTTTTAAAAAGTTTGTTGTTCTTTCTATCATGGAGACCCAGCAGAAGGCCTAATCTTGACGCTCGACCAAGAGTCGAGTACGCAACAGGATAGATGGCATGAGACAACTCATAGGCTGCTAAGAGGATGAGAGACTGGGCTAATCTCAAAGACAAGAACCCCGCAGACTCTGCTTCTGAACACAGTGATCTGGCTAGCAAATATGAAGGAGAGTCTCTAGCCCCATTGCCATCTCTCGTGGTGAATGCTTTCATGCAAAGCAGTAAGATGGGGAGACAGCCATCCGCGTCATCCGAGCCGTTATTCAGCTCATTGAATAGACGTTTCCGGCTGACCATCGGTATCCATTCGTGCACCGTTGAGAGATATTCTTCGCATAGAGCGGCTCTATCATCTTCAAGATGTTCGGCCACTATCCCATGAATATCCAATTGGCGGCTCCATGAGAAAGCATTGACTCCCTGGGACGCTAAATCATCAGAGTCTAAGAAAAAGGCTAAAGGAAACTCTTGGGCAGGTCTAGGGAGGCACATGGTAGAATTGCCGTTCGAGTGCATCCTAGATGGAATTGTGCCAACATGAAGAGCCTGATCAATGCGACTAGCCGCTTCTGCTGCTATAGGCTCGGCGTACTCGCAGGCCTTTCCTAGACGATGGCACTTTGTTCATCGTTAGCTTTGGACAATTGATCATGAGTATTCCTCGCAAATTAGACATACCAGAGAGCACTTAGGAACTTCCCGCGTGCACTTTCTCTTCAAGCGCCTGCGACGAGTCATGTCAGCCCTCAGACGATTTAGATAGCCGTTGGAGGTGAGGTGTGGATCATATACCGACAAGCTCGGCAGGCTTGGGACGAGTAAAGCTTTGGTGGCATTGTTACGGTATGCTATTTGCGTATAGAGGTCTATTAATTTCTCAACATTGGTTCAAGAGAAAATCATTCGCTGATCGAGTCGTTGGTTATTTTGTCTTGCGCGGAGTTAAGCTCGACGGTAAGATTTCGCCGGAGAGTTGGATCGAAACGGCGATTAGTCATCGCATTGATCACCCGTTTGCTAATTTGAGATGGATGACAAGAGCAGTAGCTTTCAGCAGTCTTGTTCAAACAAAGGAGTAATGAGAAAGATACAGCCTGTTAGCTAATAATCATGATGAAGTTAGCATCAATACTTGTGGCATGACTGCACTGTGTTTGCTCTGTGATGAGATGCATTTCGCTCTCTGCACGATTCAATTGATCAGATAGAGGGGGATCAACCTTGACGCTTGCTTTTGATGCATCTATCTATGCCTAAATATCCGGACCCCTTAGCGGCTCATTCGACTTATCAATCAATGTCGTTTTCAGATCCGGCATCTTGTCAAAATCCTCATCAAAAGGCCACATGGGCCTTCTTATCCGATGATGTCCCAATCTCTTCAAATCCTGATCAACACCGCCCGGGGTCAATCCCAGCATCCAACCCTTTGCCATGTCATACAGCTGCGGCTCAAGATATCCAATCTTCACGATAACAACATCAGCTGACCTCGGAAGGAGATTGAGATCGGTAAAGTCCTTTTCCTTATGGTATGGCTTGCGGAGCTTTGTCAGAATGGCGTACACTGAGCCGACCTGCAGTACGACTTCGGTTTCAGCATCTCGATCGCCATGCTTGATCGAATGAACGCGACCAGTCATTGTGAGTGGAGGCGCGTGAATGTCATCAACTTCTGCGCCAGCAGTCACTGTAACAATGGCGTCAATGCCCGCAGCAACGGCCGTTTCGATAGCCTTGGGCCCTGGAACGCTGGCATATATAACTGTATATCCAGAATCAGGCGATTTGAACTCTGGCCGCTCAAGCAACTTCGTCAGCCCCCAAGTCATGTCGCCCGAGCCTCCAGCCGTCGGATTATCGCCAGAATCAGAGATGAAATACGGACGCTCGTTAGGGGGCGACTTGACGGCCGCATCAAGACACTCTGCAAAGCTACCAGTAGGCGCAACGAATTTAAAGTCGGCTCGCGCATCCCAGAATAACTTGGCCAGCTTCTCAGCTCCCTGAGAAACCGCGCCTTCGTCCCATCCCGTAACCACAATGGCAGCGCGATTCCTCGGCTCATCAGCCCAAGCATATCCTACCCAGATTGCCGCATCCAGCACGCCATCCACCGCCTCGACTTCGGGCACAGCAGCGTAGATGTGTTTTGCCGGCTCGTCTCGCGTCGAGGTCTGCTCTCCGGGAAGCAGAATGGGGACGGGGATCCAGGCCTTGAGAGGTCGTCTGCCAGGCTCTGTGCCCTTGAGCACGTTGACAAGGTTGCGACATGCGCGCTCTTTGGTGTCCATGGCGTCTTCGTGCGGTGCCATGCGGTAGCAGGTGATGAGATCGCACATGTGCGCCAGTTCTCGCGAGACGTTGCCGTGGAGATCCATTGACGCCGATACAATGACATCTGGTCCGATGACAGCGCGGACGCGTCTCAGGAGCTCAGCTTCGACGTCGTCCACTTCTTGCACGCACATGGCGCCGTGGATATCAAACCACAAGCCATCGACCTTGTTCTCCGAAACAATCACCTGCAGCCTCTCGATAATCTCCTTGGAGAGCGCCTCAAACGCATCGCGAGTCACAATCCCTCCAGGAAGCGCATGTCCGATGAGGGCGCCCTTCCATTCTGCCTCTATTCCCAGCGGCGTATCGCCATGGAGAAACTCGTATCGTTCGACAATCTCGTCGCCGCGCTTGGGGTGAAAGGCCGGGGCAAGGGTGACGGCAGGGGAGAAGGTCGACGTCTCGCAGGCAAGGCCGGCCACCGCGATAACAGGCCGTTTAGACATTTGCATTTTGTCTCTGGTGGGCCGATAACGCTTACGCCTGGTCCGTATGATTATATTGCTAGCGCTGTGTTGCTGTTATCCTCCTCTACCTCCTCCGCCCTTCTTATAGGTTGGCCCTTTGCCAGCGTAATATTAGTCTATCTCCAGATGTGTGGAAATGCGGAGCGGCGAGGCCAGTTATAACTGCTATCACGTCGCGTTCAATGGTTATCGTCGTATTCTCCGTGTCATCAATGGTTTCGAGAGCTAAGGAGCCGTTTATCCGCACAAGTTTCTTCTCAATGGAACTTGACTAAGCTGATATGAAGTCTGGTGATCAGTGGGGGAACAAACGCGGGGTATCGCCAGCGCGAGGAGGCGAACCCTTGGAGTTGAAGATAAGTAAAACATTTCCAGAAAAGGTAACTGACTGCAGGTCTGCCACTTTTACCCGACGGCCCTTGTCTTGGCTAGTTGAGCCGAACCAATATGAAGCCGTTATCAAAGACCTAGTGTCGACCGCTCTCACGATATCTGGGGATCGGCCGTAGAATGCTCTCTTTCTGGCAGTGTTATCCGCTATGCTGCCGGCACCCGATGAACCGTTGTCGGCGAACTTTTGCTCGGAAAGATTCTGAGCTATCATGCGGTGCCAGCAAGTTGGTGTCTCGCATCAATGTTACATCCAGCAGATTAGCTTTAGAGTAGCATTTAGTATATATCTCCCGACGACCCGCTGTTTGTTGGGTAAGAGAGAGGCGGATTGATTCGTTTAGTAACAGCGAGGGAGGGTAGGAGACATTCATAGTCTCACCGTCGTTGCTTGTCGAGCTTTCGCTCAGATTTCGTCAATTCGGGGCATTTTGTGTAAGTGTGAACAGGGCAAACAGAAGCAGAAATCATGCTTCGCAAAACTCCGACTGGGACTTGGATCCCAGCCTGGGTCCCAGAATCCACCGCCACGGTCTCGGTCCTTCTGCTGGTCTGCTCCATGGTCCAGTCTGCCACCGGTGGCTATGATGGCTCTATGCTCAACGGCCTCAATATCTTGCCTTCGTATACAAACTATTTCCATCTCGACAACCCCGCATTTACCGGCCTCAACACCGCCTCTGTATTCATCGGCGGCTTCTTTGGACCCATCGGGGCTGGTGTCATGACCGATCGCCTCGGTCGCCGGCCCGCCATCTTCTGGGGCTCGATGGTCACGCTGCTGGGAATTCTTCTGCAAACTGCGGCGCAGAATATTGCAATGTTTGTTATTGCGAGAATCATCCTGGGCTGGGGCGCCGCGATTTCTTCGGTCGCTGGAGGCGTCTATCTCAGCGAGACGTTTGCGAGTAGATATCGTGCATGGGGCGTGGGAGTAAGTGCTATTCTCTTTTGTGACGCGTTTATACAGAGAGAGAGAGAGAGAGAGAGAGAGAGAGAGAGAGAGAGAGAGAAGAGGCGTCTTTGGAAACTGACTATTTTCCCTTTTTATTAGATCCTAAACAACTTTTACTATGTCGGCGCGTTAATTGCCGCCGGAGTCACTCTCGGCACAGGCCAATGGCAATCCACCTGGGCTTGGCGGCTGCCATCCCTTCTCCAAGGAGTCTTTTCGCTTGCGTGCATTCTCGTGCTGCCATTTATTCCTGAATCGCCGCGTTGGCTGGTCAGCAAGGAACGCTATGAGGATGCCCGTCTATCTGTCGCCCAAACGAATGCCGATGGCGACATCACCAACCCCGTTGTGGTGGCTGTCTACAAAGAGATTGTCGATACTCTCGAGTGGGAGAAGAAGAACGACATGACCATGAGTCCTCGGGAGATTATCAAATCTCCGACAGCACGCAAGAGAACGTTGATTGGCGCTTCGGTCGGACCCTTCTCATGCATTGCTGGAAATGTCATCGCGTCCTACTATCTCGGAAACGAGCTTGATACGGCGGGCATCACGGACCCAAATCAGCAACTCAAAGCTGTAAGCACGCTGCTTCATGTCTTGGAAGAGGCGCCCAACTAACTATCTGTATAGAATGTTGTTCTCAACGTCTGGTGTCTCCTCTGCGCATTTGGAGGGACTCACCTAGCAGCAGTCTGGGGTCGAAAGCCCACCGCACTGCTTTCACAAGGCCTCCTCATCGTCTGCCTCTTCATCATTGGCGGCCTGACCAAGATGTACCAAGACAATCCGGATGGCGCCTCTAAGAGCTTGGTCTATGGTGACGTCGCTGTGATGTTCCTCTTTCAGGGAATCTACTCCATCGCCTGGACACCTTTGTTGTATCTCTATCCGCCCGAGATCATGAACTACCCCATCCGAGCCAACGGACTGGCATTATCAGGATTCGCTTTGAATGGATTAGCGTGAGTACTCGTGTATCTCAGAAGTGACTGACTAAGCTAATATATTTGCTTCAGCTTGCTTCTCACATTTGTCATGCCCATTGCGCTGACAAACATCACATGGAAGACGTACATTATCAACGGATCGTGGGATATCGTCACGTTTTTCCTGATTGTAAGTCTCGTTTACAGTGTTGAAACAATAAAAGTGGATATGATGCTAATCTGGTTAGTATATCTATTGGGTAGAAACAAAAGGAAAAACATTGGAGGAAATCGACGCTATTTTCGAGGGAGAGAAGCATTCATCTGTGCCCGATATCGAGGATATCCGGACAGGCAGGAAGACCGTGGATGTAACACAGATAGAGCTTGAGCTTCACGAGGATGTTGGATTGAAAGAGCATGAAGCTTGAGGCAAAAGTATTCATTACGTACGACTTTAATATTAGTAAGAATCTAAACCAAGTGATTTGATGACACAGATATTCAAGTTAACCACATCACAGATCCGTGTTATAATTTTTTTTTTTTTTGGCACAGTATTCGATAAACATATTGATATTAACTCCTACTCTATCTTTTTCAGACCAAATAGTATATAAACATTAATCTAAAGAAGAATTATGCACAGAGAGCGCGCTATTACACTCTAGCAAAAAGACAATACACTTGCTGGCCAACCCCCCTCCTCCATTTATAGCAACACCCCTGCATTAGTACCCCTTACCATCCAAGGCAAATGGTCTCCCCTGGATATGCGTTCCGCGCTTAGTATGCAGCGAGGCCAGAAGCACCATCACCAACAGGGATGCCCTGTCCCGCGCCGAAAGAGTTGCTAAGAGTCTTGAGAGAACCATCGGCCTGGATCTTCCAGCCGGAAATAGCACCGCCGCCACGCTGGAGGTTGTACAGGTACTGGCCATCGGCGCTGAGAGCAAGATCGACGGGCTCGGTGCCCTCACCGGGGCTGGCAGCAACCTCCTTGATGAGAGTGGCAGTGCCGTTGGCAGCAACCTTGTAGCTAGAGATGGCGTTGGTGATGAAGCTGGCTGTGAAGGCAAACTTCTCATCGGGAGTCACAATGACCCAGCAGCCGTCAGTCTGCTGGTTCTTCTCGGACTTGGTGACGGGCTTCAAGAGCGGGTTCGTCTCGGCCTTGTTAAGGTGGTATGTTGACAGACCAGCGTTGCCCAAGGCAGGCAGACCAGACTCCACAACATAGAGTGTGTTTGACTTGCCAAAGATGGCTCCGAAGGGACGGAGGCCGGTGGATGCATAAGTTGTTTCCAGGACAGCATCGCCGTTGGCTGCCACTGAGTACTGGTCGATGGTACTGCCGACCTTGTTGGTGACGATGAGGGTGCGGCCGTCAGGGGAAAAGGTGACGGTGCCTGGAACGCCAATGGGAGTGCTGGTAGCAATGGTGGAGTTGGTGATGGGCGAAAGAGTGCCGGTCCTCTGGTTGACCTTGAAGCCAAAGATGCCTGTTGAGGCAACAGAGCCGTCCAAGGCATAGGCAAATCCGTTGCTGCTCAGGGTGATGGACAGGGGCTGGTCACCAGCATAGATGCTCTGGATCTTCTTCAGGCTGGAGCCGTTGACTGAATACACGGTAACCTCATCACTGGCCGGGTTCACGGCATAGAGGAACTTGTGATCAGCACTCAGCTGAAGGCCACCCTGAGAGTCAAAGTCGACACCCTGGCCATGGCCGCCGGTTGGGTATTCGCCAGTCTTGGTTAATGTGCCATCGGCGTTGCGGTTGAAAGCAATGACTGCGTTGTTGACGGCGTTGGTCAGGGCGAAGACTGCGCCCTTGGTGGTTCGAGAGTCAACGTTGCTTGGAGCAGCGAGGACGGTGGAGATGCCAGTAAGGCCAATGGAAGCAAGAGTAGAGAACTTCATCTTGAATGGATTATAAAGGAAGAAGTTGTGAAAAGGGCTGAAGGATTATTATTAAAGATGGTAGAAGGTGGTGAAAGAGGCGGATGTGAGAGAGAGAGTTGATTGTGTGATGATGAAGCAAAAGAGAGCAGCGTAGGAGAATCATCGTCACTATTATATACTTTACAACTTCTTGCAATCCCTCACGAAAACCCATTTATCTAACTGAATTCCATCTTGTTGAGATCAACATCTTACCAACGTCCAAGTCATCGTCAGCACCAGTGGAGTCTAGGTACCTGAGCAAGTAAGGCTGAGGCTGAGACCCCAGGCCTGCGAATCGTGGAGTTACCGTTACCTAATTGCACATCTTGATTCCATGATCCAAGCTGGCGGTATGCCCTGCATGTTCACTTTGGGAAGAGCGCCCCTTTTAGAATTTCCTTGTTAGGATCTGTCGCTGTGCTTTTGCCCGCACCAACTCGGACGAGGGGCCATGTTCCTGGGTTAATTACCACAAGTAAGCTTGTAAACAAAGAATGGTCCGCGTACGCGCCTCCATCAGCACTCAATGGCTCAAGATATTTTGTTTTCCAGCCACCTGAGGCTGTTTCATGCTACCCAGACAGCTATTGCTGGTTGTACGTACAAGCCACTCAGCACGAGCTGTATGGCATAAAATTGTAGTGCTGGGATCTGCAAAGCGCCCCACGATTCCAATTTCTATGTGTCAAGCTTATTCAGCGGGAAAAGGCTCCTTTTGGCTGCAACGGTAACGCTAAATTTCCTTGATCCAGCTAGAGTCTATCTTCGATTTTCCTTAAAGTCTCCAGAGTTGCTAAGCAGCGCTCAAGTTTATGCAGCTTTGGGAGATAGATTGAGCTCTTTCTGGATAGCTTGTAATCAACGCGCGACATTGAGAGTATGCGCTTTTGTCAGCGAGAATCTAGCAAATACGTGTATATAAAGCTCTGTAAACGACCCAAGATGTGTGATGCTCAATCGAATAGCTTCAGTATATTCAACGAGTCTTTCGGCAGTGGTAATAAAAGCCGACAACCGGCAAATTAGACTACCTCATCCCACATTATCCTGACATCTCTGCGGAGCCATGGCGTCCAAAGTATGCATAATTTTATTAATAGACCGCCATTAATTTCACTTAGACGAAGACCACACGCTAACAAACTATCGTTTTCCTATTTTCCAGTTTACCGTATACACTTGTGGCGGCTCGCAGTGGGCCCAGGTGTCCCATCTTGCATTGGCGGAAAAAGGCATCGCGGAAAATGAGTATGATGTCAAGGAGGTTGATCTATGTAAGACCTAGGCCCTTCCGACTAGGCGCAATTCAGTAACATTTGGAATCATTAGTTGCCGCCGACAATTTCAACCCTGAATACTTGAAGGTGAACCCCAACGGCACCGTGCCAAGCATCACTTCGCCTTCGCTGGACAAGAACATCATCGAAAGCGTGGATGTCGTCAGGTGGATTGATGGGCTAAAGGGAGAGCGCACTTTGGTGCCCGCGGATGCCGCTGCCAAGAGCAAGGCGCAGGCTATTATTGATCTTGTCCACTCATTCGATGGCAGAACCGACACTGTCCTCTTCAATGCCCGCAACGATGAAGAGATGAATGCTAAGAGAGGCACTGGCTTCAAGGATTACCTGGTGAACCGCCAAAACAGGCTCATTAAGGAGAAGGAGGCCAATCCAGGTCATCCATTCTACGGACCCAAGATCCTTGACAATGGCTCCCTCGCCAAATTCTACACTGAGCCCATTGGAGAGGAGCACAAGCAGTTCTACAAGGAGACCGACGAGGCCATGAAAATCTGGGCCAGAGAGCTGGAGCGGCTGGACTCTCTCCTGGTACTGCCATACGCAGTAGGCAATTCTGTCACGGAGGCTGATATCCACGTCACAACATGGCTGTCGCACGCAATGTGGGGAGTCGGCTCGGATTTGACCCAGATTCAGAATTTCGACACCCTAGAGAAGTTTATCCAAAAGTCCGCCCCTGACTTCAAGTTTGGTATGAAGACACGGGAGTGGTGGGCCAATATTACCGCCACGGAGTCCTTCAAGAAGGTATTTCCGCAGCTGCATTAATAAAGCGTTGGAATTGGGAGGGCATGAGTGACGATAGAACGTCAGCAATGTTTGCAATGTTTAGGAATAAATACCCATGTTGTGATGATTCCAATAGCCAGCCTTAGAAGCGTCTTTATCCGTGGCATATACTGAAGAGAAAAGAATATTCTCTGCCAATGTTCATAAATCGAGCTAGCCTTAGTCCATTTCTTAGTGTCCCGCCTGTCCAGTCGAGTACGTCTTGTATTCAGAGTCATTGTTACGAAAAAGAATATTGATCTTGTCCAACTACATAGGAGCGAACGGTGCAATTCTGTACTGAGAAGACTCATGTCCTGATATAGACATCATGGTACTAGTATGATGATCTAACAAAAGGATGTTAACGTTTGATGTCCCAGTTGACCAGGGGAAAGCTGAATAAATGGATAAAGCCCACTTTGTTGTAGCCGGGGCATCTGCAAGATGACTTACCAATTCTTATTTGTTGAGATAGGTGAGCCATCTATTATGACAGTGGCATCAAAGTTAAATTTGGGGTAAGCACCAAATATAACCGGAAAGATGTTCAACTATATTGTGCGTGGCGCACTTTCTCAACATCCTGCATTATTCTCGGGCGAATCGGCATTCTGACCTCCCTCTTCCTCCGTCTCACTCTCTTCCTCCTCCTCTCCTCCTCCCTCTCCCTCTCCCTCCCCTTTTTTCTCCTCATCCACTTCCTCCTCCTCCTGAATTGGAGAGAGAGCCCTGCTTCGGGACCATGGCGAGGTGGCAGGTTCTTGCGAGCGAAGACTCTCATTCACTCCAACGCTCGAATCCTGTTGAAGGAAAGGTGCATTGTTAGCTAACTGATACAAAGAGAAGATAGATTGCTCTAGATTGCCCAGAACCAACCGGATATTCTGTCTGCTCTTCGTCGGCATCGTCCAAACTCATGCGACGAATGCCAGCCTCGAGCTCAGGCTGAGAGCTATCCTCGATTTCAGCCTGTTTCCAGACCGGCTGGGAGAGAGGGGATGGTGGGCGAAGTCTTTCACCGGGGGCCAGAAGCTCAGTGGGCTCTCGTGGCAGCTTTCTGACTCCCTTGAGCGTGTTTCCCAAGCGAACAATTGCCGCGGCACTCTCGTTTGTCAGCCCGTACGACTGGACCTCTGCTTCGACCTCTTCCTCAGTCCTGGGCCTTCTTCGTGACATTGTTTATTATATTCGTGCTCAGATAAATGGACCGAGGAATAAACAAATGAATTGATGCTATCTGGAAAACAAGGGACAAAGAGAGGTAAGAAAGAATTGAACGTGTGTTCTCGAAAAACGACACGCCGCATGGCAGCTGTCAGAAAAGCGTCGAAACACGTCCAGACCTTGGTAGACGCGCAACGCGTTGCATACTCATTCGTGTATAACTACTAATGCGCTATTAACTGCACCAAATTGACGTTTTCAACGAAAAGTCTCAGCAGAGACTGAAAGCTTTCGAGTTGCGCCTCTTGAACCCGTTCCAGCCCTCATTTCTTCTCTATCCTCTTCAAGCCACAGCCCAGCAGCATTTGCCCTGTTTCCTCACCAAATAGGTTCTGAGCAATCATTTTGCTGGATCTCTGCCAATATTTTGCAATCTTCTGTTTCTGCAGAGCCGCGTGAAAGTGCAAATCCCAAGCCCCTTTTAAATCTGCAGCATCCCTCATAAATGCATACCAACCTCAGCCTAGAACACTCACTAAGGCGTCAGCTCTTGTCCGGTCGAATGCAGGCGATATTCATTCTGGTTTTAGACCCATCGAAATTCAGCTCCTTCTTCCATACTCACTGACCATACGTAGCGATGCTATCTTATACATACAGATGCTGCTCTATTGCGCTTGACAGAATCTGGCTCGCGACAGCCTATCCGACCCTCACGATACATACACGAGGCACCCACTTGTAGTCGAAATCAATGCAAAAGGATAATCGACCAACCGACAAATACGTCATACTCTCCTTCAGATGCCTTGGTACGCATCCACAAGAAGTCTCACACCTCCATCTCGTTGTTCTCATTTATACGGCCCACGGTACTACAACTATGCCACCCAGTGCGTCAGGCACTTCAAAAAGTATATTCAACAGTCACACATGGCTATGTTTACTCTGCTGCACCAACTGGACGCATCGAAAAGATCTATTTCAGGCAAAATCAGCTTCAAACACTTCCGAGGGCATTTGCTGCCTTGGAGTTTAAGAACATAGCGGCCATAAATGGGGACTAATTTAGAGCGGGTACATTGAGAGATGAGGTATCCTTTAATACCAGCATGGAGAATGCGGATCCACAATCTTCTGAACCATCGACCAACGTCCTTACTCTGCCCAAAAAGCCGTCCACTGCTCCAGAAACTTGTTCTATGGCATGCGTTATGAACAAGGCCGTTGGGAGGATTTTTAATGCTACCACCCCACCCGTGACGTACCTTGACGACTATTTCAAGCCCGGAAACTCCACCATCAAAGTCTTGAAATGGAACAAGTTCTGGAAACTTTGTCGCTTGGTTGTCCACAAGCAGAAGATATACGAGACTGTTTTAGCTAGGGAAAAGGACAAAAATTATCAAGAACAAGGAAGCATGAAAGATTGCCAAAAAGAATAGAAAAAAAACATACAACAGCCGGTGTTCGCTGATGGTCACCCACTCAACTACTAATCTGCCTCTCATTGGCTTGACTCTGGGAGAGCGGACGGGATCCCGTATATTCCAATGGATATGGTCGTATGTGCTTGGAAATGGAGCAAGCATGTTTATATATTTGACTTGGCGGCTCATAGCTTCTTCCACAACGTGGTTGGCGATATTTGCCAGTCTCCAAAACGAACTTCCTCCTATTTATAATCGGCCTTCACTATGAAGCTAACACAAGGGGCAGCCATGGCTCCTCGACTGACACTGCAAATTTGTTCTCCGATTAGGCCGCGTTTGGCACGGTGCAATGGTTCCGTATATAATCACAGAGCCTTCCACGACAGAAAAGCTGATTTCATCACCCTGAATTCGAACAGATCCCTTCAAGCACGCAAACTCAAGATCTTCGTAGGCGGTCCTCAAGAGGTCTATGTTGTAACTGATAAGGACGTAGGCTTCGCCATGAGAGCAGCTGCAGTTAAGCAGGCTGGGTCCATCACTCGCTTCAGTCCCGGATAAAGTCCTGCTCACGTTCCACCATGCCTCTCGGTGTTTCATTCACGGTGTGTTCCATTCTTGTATATGATACAGCTTGACGCCTATGTATTAGCATCGGCTACAGACCCTGCACAAGCCGGGGAAGTGGGGTGTCCAACCGCGATAGCTCTTCCGAGGCAACGACCCTTGAAGGAGTCGAGAGTTGATCGTTCGGTTATTGTTGTATTAGTTGGGAGCCATGTAGGATATGTCAGGACTAGCAGAGAATGTCAATACCACATGCAACTCACAGTCTCCTTCTGGTAGTGTCGCGGCTGCGGATCCATGGCCTGGTAGACTTGAGTCTTATTGACGCAAAGAAGAATTTTGATCTTAGTTCCACGAGCTTCAATACATACAAATACACGGCAAGTAATCCCCAAGCCCCCTACAGATCAATCTCCTTCAACCGGATGTAGCACTGTGTCGGCTCCCTCGCAAACCTCTGCACCGCCTCATAGCCGCCCAGCTTCTCCGGGATCGGCAACATGTCAAAATTCCACACGATTAGCGCGAAGTGAATTTTGAGCACTTGCAGCGCCAGCTTTCTCCCGAAACATCCCCTGAGCCCCAACCCGAACGCCAGCGACGGCCCAGCCATCGTGTTGAACACCTCGGCTCCGGTGTCCGGATCCGTCTCGAGCCAGCGCTCGGGCAGAAACCTGTCAATGTCATCGTCTGACCAGGCGCGTGTCAGCGCTGACCTGGCTGTCTGGCGGGCCCCCGGGCTGCGTGCCTCGTCCGCAAGCCTCATGTTGGGTTCGAGGTAGCCTGGGCCATTGGCCATGAGGAAGACATTGGTTCCCTTGGGGATATGGCGGCCCAGGACGGTGGCATCCTGCTGAGCCTGGCGGACAACAAAGGCGATGGTGTTCGAGTGGCGAAGAATCTCCTCCACTGTGGCATCCAGGTAGGGGATCTGTGCGTTGCTAAGCTCCGCGTAGGTCAGGTCGCGCTTCTCCTGGACGGCAGCTGGGAAGGCGGAGCGGAGAGCGTCACGGAGGCGGCTCTGCGCGGCTGGGTTGTCCGTCAGCATCTTGACGCCCCAGGCGATGGTGGTAGCAGATGTGTCGTGGCCAGCCATCATGAAGCCAAAGAACTCGTCGGCAATGGCGCCCTTGCGGTAGTCGGGCTGGCGGCCTTCTTTGGTCGCCACGTCGCGTTCGCGAAGGAGGACGGAGTGGAGCGCGCTCTTGGGCTTGATGGTAGGGTCCTTCTCGATCAATCGGACGGACTCTTCTACCTTGTCCCGGATGTACTTGTCCTTGATACTCTTGGCCTTTCTCATGTAGGGGAACTTGCGGATGACCCATGAAGTCAGCACTGGGGCAGGAGAGAGCTGAGTGTCCGTGACCGAGTTGGCCAGGGTGAGCACAGCCGAGAAGATGTCCGGAGTGTGGCCTTCGGGGAAAGCGAAGGGCTCGTCGACATCATCGGGGAACACAGGCTCAAAGTTGTCCAACGCCTTGATACGCTGGATGGTGTTGGTCTCGTCCTCGAGCAGGCCAAAGGAAGAGGCAAAGATGGAGTCCAACGCAGAAAAGGTGACATCGTGGTGGGCCGAAAAGGGACGGCCCTTGGCTATGGTGCATTTTATCTTCCACAACTTCATAAGGGCGTTTGCGGCCATGTACACCTCCGGAGCGCTGACCTCCCGGATGAACGTTGGGGCCATCAAGTGATTGATCAAGCTGCGATTGTTCTTGAACCGAGAGTCGGTCGAGATGAATTGAATATGCTGCTCTGGCAAAATACCATTGATAAGCTCGCCAAAGATTTCACTGCGGTCGAATACTTTTATTCTCCGAAGCAGGATATCTTGGCTTTCGAAAGGGTCGGTCACCACGACCCATGGTAGTCCCCCGGGCTTGATAAAGGCCTGCACAATAGGGCTTTGGAGGCGAGTTGTAAGGGACGTTAACCAGCACTGCTCTCATCCAAGATTACATGTTAGCAATCTGCATCCGCCTGGACTGATGAACAGGCAGCTCATGTTGTGAGTGAGTAGTGGCTGCGTCTTACAAATATGCGTTGTGTACGCATCACATAGCCCATCATCTCGGGCACATCCCCAAACATCTTTGCTGCCGCATCTTTGTTGTGTGGGATATCAGGAATCGGCTTCGGCAGGATCCGTCGATAGGCCATGTACAAAGCCACGCAAACGATCCCCACGACCCAAGCTCCTCCTGAGGAGATAGTCAGCGCCATTGTATTTGCCAAAGTGTTGCTTTACTGGATGCACGCAAGTCTGAGATTGGAAAACCACGGACGGGAGAAGCAAATGGGATGTGGCTTCCAGATGAAAAACCACCAAACCAGCAGCATATAACTTCAATTTGAAATCCCGCCATCTCTATCGAGTTGGCTATACGAAAAGGGCCCTGGCTCGCCCATGCATAAGACATGAGCGCATTTAGGTCGGGAGGAGCACTATGGAACGTCTGGGTTACATCAACAACGATACTGCGGGGTCTGGCCGCGCTTCGTTTCCTCCCCCTGCTCAAGAGGCAAGATTTGGCTAAACTAAACGGTAACAAGCATCTTAGCGCGGGTTTGCCTAACCGCCAAAAACGGAATCATCTGAATACCTCAAATAGAAGACACCACACTCAAGACAAGTGCTTGACGGGATCCCGTATATTCCAATGGATATGGTCGTATGTGATAGTATGCATTGTCAGAAGCACTTGTAGTACTCGTGTTGTAAGACAGCATTCCAGGAGCTTCTCTTTTGCGCATGTACAGTACTTCAAACCGAGAGAAGCCAAAGTTGATAGCCAATGAGATGTTTCGTACGGAAGAACGTAACTGAACATACCCACCAACCAAGATCGCTTTTGGACGACCGCTGACGAGTGCTATGAACGATGTCGGTTCCGTTTGTTGTAGTGCTTCGTGAACGACAATGATGCCAAAAGCCTGGCAGCGAGGAAGCCGAATCCCTTCTCCAGTCAACTCGCGAAGAAAAGGCACACAAGCGCGCTGGAGACTTACTATTGCTGGCCTTATAGAGGCTCCCTTGATCCGCAAAATGCGGGCTCCTCTGGGCACTAAGCATATCCAAGCCATAGTGGACACAATGAGGCCGAGCTTTGTTCAGAAGTAGAGTAAACAAGAAGGAGGCTCCTGAGGCTAACATCAAGCGGAGAGCTCGTGATGCTGATCTATCCCCAAAAACACCCGGGTGCATCGGTCATCCAGTTGCCCATGTATCAGTCACCTCCCCGACGTGATACATGGCCCCCTGCCTGTCAGCAACGCCAGAGCTGGTCCATAGCCAATGCAAATCTTCCTGAGAAATCGCGGTATCCTGGTCAAGAAGCTCTGCCAAACCCAACATCTGGTTGGGCGAAAGTCCGCTCACTGCGCTTGTCTCTTCTAGGTGGGGTGGCAGATGAGAGGCTTGTTTGGTTTGATCGAAATTCTGTGCAAAATGCTCAGCGGCATTCGTCGTGGCAGTCGCGGTAAGATATCCCAACTGAGATTCCACTGGAGTCGTTGCTGATAATTCCACATTGAGCAATCTTAAGAATTCCAAAAGCCTCTCAAGCTCATCTTTCCGGAACTCGGCGATAAAACTGCCCCTAGCAATCATCTGATTCAACAGGTAAAAACTGGTATCAATCTCCGTCACATCTTTGAAGGGGCAATGGGGGATGATTGCCATCAAAGCAAGGATAAAGGCAGATGAGAATGTGCTGTCGAGGTCGAAGGGAAGAAAAGACTCTAGATAAGCAAAACGCATAAGTAGTGTGCCTCGGGGTGAAAGCCGGATAAGAAAACGGGGACTTGATAAGTTACCTAATAGATGCTGTGTTTGGAGAGATAAAAGGATACGCAGTGATTTGGTCGCAGATTCTTGTGAGGTCTTGAGTAGAGCTTTGATTGGTGCTGCTAGTTGACGGTGCTCACGTTTTGCACTGATATTCTCAAGCATCTCTCGTATCAAGCACATGAGTAATGGGCGAGTAGCGAGGACTATACACTGCAGTGAAGGAAGAGCGACGATTGTTAGCACAAAGGGAATAGTTTGGCGTTCGGCCTATAACATAACAATATACATACCTGGTGATAGTATAAGTTTAACGTGGCTGCAACTCTAGAAGTCGGCCCCGAGCGATCAAATCGGAACTCAAATGACTCCTCGAGGTCACTCGCGAGGCCTGCGAGATTTCTCAATACTTCTTGGGTGTTTTCTAAAAAGGAAAGCCCAAGCTCTCCATTTTTGCCATATACATCTGTGGAGACCATAAGCCATTCTGTTTGTCTGTATATACCGAGAGGGTTACTCACTCTCTAAGACATTGGCCAATAAGCGCGATAACGCGACGTGCAGCGTCAAGGATTTGGAAAAAATCGAGTTGTGCCCAAAGTCGGGTAATGAAACCATTATATCTTCATCATGGATCATATTGGGTGCTCCCATGAGGGACGAAAATCTCCGGTCCAGGATGTATATCGTCCACCAAACGGCCCGGTGGCGTTTGGCATCTTCCTCGGTGAGATCGTCTCCAACAAGCTCCCGATGCAGTCCCTGGCTCAGAGCCATGCGCATTGCCTGGCCAATCTATACCATTGCGTAAAATCAGTATCCGGAGCTGTGGGGAGGCTCAAAGAATCACTTACATAGAGGAAAGCGCTGTTTCGATGATCAATTGACTGCAAGTATAAGGCGAGGCAGCACAGTATTTCAATAGAAAGAATAGGGTCTTGGTAAAGGCCAAAGGAATTTGGAAGAAGCTCGATAGCGCGTGATATCAGCTCGAACCCTCCAGGTCTGTTGCCCATGCTCCCGGACAGCAGCGCTTGGCCAAAGCCCATGATCAAGAGAAAGTGGACGAACCACAAGTGACCGCCCGGGAGCGGCTCGGCCTGCGGTCCTCGATCGTAAAATTCATATAGCCCATCCATAAATGTTTTCTCGTGGAACAAGTGGTACAACTGGCCCAAGTGAAACCTGACCGTGTTGGTCAAATACATGGCATAATCGAGGGAGGGGATTTGGTCCATGTTCAGCGGGCCTCTCGCTCTCACTGATGGCCATTCGACAGATCGGCCATCCGGGTTGAGAGGCACTTCTGGAGACTCCGAATGCTTCAGATGGTCCTTGATCAAGCGCATGACCTGGCGACTGTAGGCCCACGTTGAGGACGGGCCAAGAAACCCTATCATTGCGTCAGCAATAGCAGTGTCATGACGGGATAGAAGCCACTAACGCCTCCTCCCATTGACATCACGGAGGACCTCCGACTGGCCACTTGCAAGGGCATTATGCATTGTCATCAGGCTCTCTCTTCTCGGCCCACCGCTCAAGGCCGCTTCACCATTGACTGCTTCAGCATTGGCCGCGGGCACCGCTGCTGGAATTCTGTTGGCGAACGGCGGCCAAGTTTCATCTGGAGTTCCCGCTCGCTGTGGTGAGTTTCCTGAGAGCCGTAGTGAGTTGGTGTTGTCCGATGGCTGTCGTCGGCGCCGCTTGGCAGCTTTCGGGCTGTCTCCATCCCGTGAGACGATAGATCTCCTCTTCAGCTCAGTCAAGTATCTGGAAAACGGGTGCGGTTAACATCACGCCTACATCAAGAAGGAAAGAGAAATAGACACATGCCTTTCAGAAACCAAGACTTTCCGGTCATTAGGCAAGATGCACTGAGTCTTGCGCCGGACGCATGTCGCGCAGGGCTGACGCCCGTCACACTTCACTTTACGCTCTCGACACGCGCTGCAGCTGTCTCGGGGATCAGCAAGGCCACTGTCAAGAGAAGCAGAAATGGCTCACGCATTGTTCCTACGCTTGCTCTGCGCGGAGCTTGCGTCTGTTTCGGGTTCCTCTCCGGGGGAACTCATTCCAAATGCCGAGACTTTGATGGCCGGGTGTGAGGTTGTCAGCGGTGTTCAAGTATATCTCGGCCCATGGAATCGCAAAATCAGTGGGTTCCCAAACCATGGGGTAATGCGAGATTTGGTGGGGGTTTGACTACCTACAGTAAGCCGCCTAAAACATGTCCCGACAATGCCTTGGAGCCTCCTATATGTATACAGCCCACTACGCGTGGCGTGAACCAGGTATATGTACACCTCAGTTTGCTTGGGTCTAAAATCGAAGTTGGGTGCATCCAGAATATCTTAAGAGATAGCATATCTTCATGTCACTCAATAGGGGCTTATAGCCACTCTGAGGCCTAGTTGGATTAATCGTATGTTTGGACTACGGCTCTGTTTTATAGGCCCGCTGCGATCTTGTCCAGATCATGCACTACCTCCTTCGTCGATCTGGCTAAGAGTCCCGAGTCCTGCTGGCCTAACATATAGCCCACGCCGAGCTCCTGGATTGCCCAGTTTTGTAGCTCCGGATTTTCGTATATTCCAGCAAGTCCCATCACTCTGCCATGTTTCTTACAGGCTTTGCTAATGGCCTCGAGTGCCCCGCGGAACTCGGCGCTCTTGAATTCACCAGGAACTTCCAACTCTATGGAGAGATCATTAGATCCAACCAACAGCACCTCAACTCCCGGAACCGCCGCGATCTCATCAATGTTATCGATGCTTTCTCTTGTTTCAATCATCAACACGACCGAGGATCCCGTGGCGTTCGTCTCTTCGATGATTTTGCTGATTGGGGTGGTATTCAGACCAAACGCAGGGAGCTGGCCGGTCATCGATCGTCTGCCCATTGGCGGGTATTTGGATATTGACACGGCCGCCTGGGCATCGACTGAAGCATGGTATTAGCTGATGACTGGAAATACTGGATTTTCTAGACGCTCACTTTTGCTATGTATATGGGGGAATATGACCCCTAGGGCTCCTCCGTCCAAGACGCGCTGCACAAACCCATCTCCGCATTGATATGGAACCCGAACAAACGGTGTAATTCCAATATGAAGTCCTGCAGAACAAAGCGCACTGGCCTGGTCTAGAGATAGAGTGGAATGTTCCAATTCGATGAAGAGGGAGTCGAAGCCTGCATTTTTCGCAAGTCTTACGATTTGGGGATTAGTCACTAATCGAATACCGAGTGCCTGTTTTATGATGTATAGAGAATCAGTGAATGGATCTCCAGTCATTTCGATCAGAAAAACCTACTGTGCATAACCTCTTCGAAGCAGCACAAAGCTGCAAGCTGTTTGCCGCGATCGTGCCCATGTTGCGTGTGAAAACTCCTTCCAATTCGCTTTGGTCAAACCTCATAAAGTAAGTAAACTGAGAGGCTTGTGGGCAAGTTCTAGACAATTATATCTTTGGATCGATCGCGGCTCAGAAGCCCGAAGCCCCTTTGTCCCATAACTTACTGGACCAGCGAATGCCCATTTACAGTGACTTAGCCTTGCTCCAGAACGTCGGTCTGACGAAAATTGCCGTGGGCATGCTTCTACATCTCTCTCGGCTTGCTGACCCGAGCTCAGCTCGGAGACTTTAGCCGAAGCATTTCTAGCACAAGGAAACCCCACGCTAGCAAGTGGGTGCCGATAGTGTAAGAATGGCAGGCATCCTTAATCTATATCACTTAGCTTTTCTTTTGTTTTCTCTGATGTAAGTTGAGGTATCTTGGAGAACAAACGAAATCGATTAGTAACAGTCTTACAAGATGCTCAGAAGCATCTTTCTTTGCCCAAAAGACCTCGTGTGCTATAGAAATATGGAAATAACCTATATTAAATATTGGATTGGTGGCGCGATAACAGTTTAGTAGGCCGACTGATTGAAGCTTAGTATCTGTTAAATAGTCGACGACCTCGAGAATATATCGATTCTACCAAGATACTTGGCCGATGAGCACTACCGGCATATTATCTCATTTATTAGGAACAGGCCTTTCACACAGCCACTTGTTCTCCACGCTCTCCATGTTCCACTAACGCCCATACCCTAACTCAGGTGCGTCGTGTGGGGTTATCGTGCCTCAATTGGTTTGAAATAGCAACTTAAGTTGAAGAAAGGCTTGGATCTGGCAGCCAAAAGACGTGAGCTGATCCAAGTGACCATGAGACATCAATGTTCCATTATCACGAGCAGTCACCAATATGCCGAACGAGACGTTGAACACCTTCCTTCTACCCAACCTTTTTCCTAATCTCCATCATGTTCATCATATTGATTGCTTGATTGGAAGCCGGCCTGGACGCAAGATCACACCAGCACCATCTGCGCGCTGGAGGAAGCCAAGATCAGAGCCATACTCAAGGCGTCCAGCTTTCTTGATCGTCTTATCCATTGCGTCCTCTAGCCCGGCAAGTAAACCCGAGACCAAATATTGATTGAGGCACAGATGGCGCTCTTGGGTGGCGCTCTTGGGTGGCGCACCAAGTTCGGCCTGCATTCCCGAAAACTCCAGGTTGATGTAAACATCGTCTTATCTTCTTATCAATTAGAGAACGGTTTTGTTGCACCCATATAAGACGACCAATAAGTCACACTCCAGAAAATCAAGATGAGATTGCCGTTCTCCTACTTGTATTATAACTTGAGTGTGTCTGGAGTTCGCTTCGACTGCTTTCCCCCCTTTACCGTCCATATTTTGCATTTCCACACTTGATGTGATCTATAGCAAAGATGGCAGCGCTCGTAGACGTCGAAAAGCTGAACCAAGATGGCCTCGTAGAGACCATATCGACCCGAGCCGGAGAAGGCGCGGAGCTGAACCAACTGAAGCGCGAGTTCACCCGCGCCAAGTCTTGATGTTCTCCATTGCTTGCGCGATAGGTACAGGGCTCGTTATCAGCTCAGGGGCGGCCCTATCGGAGGGGGGCCCAGGGAGTCTTCTCATCGCATACCTCATGGTAGGCGGCGCTGTCTTCTTCGTCATGACTGGGCTCGGAGAAATGGCTGCATTTCTCCCCATGAACAAGGGCTTCGGAGGATATGCTAGCCGTATGGTTGATCCGGCGTTTGGGTGTGTATCCATCCGCTCCAAAGAGACATGAATGCTGATATGGTTCTCTGTTCAGGTTCGCAACCGGCTGGAAGTATTTCTTCAAGTACATCATCGCGATGCCGTCAAATCTGACAGCAGCAGGTCTCGTTGTTCGCTACTGGAGGCCTGATCTAAACGTCGGGATCTGGATTGCAATCTTCGGAGCCGTCATCATTTTTATAAATGTAAAACATCATCTTTGGATCATGGTCCGTATGTCCGCTGACTGACACGTGGCTTCACAGTTTCTGCACGTTTCAAAGCTCGGTGAGACGGAGTTCTGGCTTGGTCTATGTAAGGTTCTGATCATGACCATATTGATAATCTCTTGTCTGGTGGTGGCCCTCGGCGGTGGTCCCAACCACACGAGAAGCGGCTTCCGATATTGGAGGGACCCAGGTGCCTTCAAAGAATACCTCGTTGAAGGAAGTCTCGGGCGCTTCTTGGGTGTCTGGGCCTGCTTCTGCCAGGCCTGCTTCGCATTTACTGGGACGGAGGTCGTAGGAATGACATTTGGCGAGACGCCGAACCCGAGGAAGAACATCCCCAGAGCTGTGAAGCAGACTTTCTGGCGGATTGCTGTCTTCTACATCCTGGGCGTCATTGTCCTAGGCATGGCCGTGCCAAGCGACAACGAGTTGCTGATCGGTGCTACCAAAAAGTCTACCAGCGCTGGTGAGTCGTTCCAACCGCGGCAGCCGCAGCGCCACCAGCTGACTGCTTGAATAGACGCTTCGCCCTTTGTTGTGGCTGTTCGTATAGCTGGCATTTCAGTCTTCCCGGACTTCGTAAACGCCTCGCTGCTGGTCTTCACCCTCAGCGCAGCATCCACAGGTGAGTCCTGACACTATATTCGTGGCCATGATACAGAGACCTTTCTGACCTGAGATCCTTCTAGATATCTACTGCGCCTCTAGGTCTTTGTATGGTCTTGCAAGGGACGGACAGGCCCCACGAATCTTTGGGAAGACCCGGGAGAACGGGAACCCGGTTTATGCTGTGGGCATAACGTGCCTCTTTGTAGGCCTAGGCTTCCTAAACGTCGCCAAGTCTGCCGCCACTGTCTTCCAGTACCTCATTAGCCTCGTCACCATCTTCGCCGTTCTCAACTGGATGGCGATCCTGGTATCCCACATCTCTTTCCGCCGGGCGTTGAAGGCGCAAGGCATCGCAGCCAAGGACCTATCATACACAGCTTTTGGCCAACCTTGGGGTTCATACTACGCTCTGACCATATCATTGCTCGTCATTGTGTTCAGCGGGTATGACGCCTTTACTCCGACCTTCCATGTTGGCAAGTTCATCTTGAAATATCTGGGCGTGGTAATCTTCGTCGCCAACACCGTCATCTGGAAATGGTGGAAGGGGACAAAAAGGGTGACAGCAAGCACCATGGATCTCGTCACGGGCAGTAGGAAGTACCAGGACAGGGAGACTGCCTCGGAGAAAGAATGGACGGAAGGTTTCTGGCATAAGATGCTTCACAGGTTGAAGAAGTAGGTCATTAAGATATTGTAGGAAGCAAAGTCCAGGCCCTGGATATATGCAATGAAGAAATCAGTGTCGAGGCTTTCCCTTGAAAACAGAAGCATTGTGCGTGACGACCGATAGCCTAATCCTCGAATGCGATTGAAACCTAGGGCGGCGAATACATCTCTCATTTATGACACTCGGCTCATACAAGATTGCAAGAAACCGCACGGTCAAAATCGTCCCGCTATCTTACATTCACCCAGTTGTAATTTTTGAATTGAATCTGTGTGATCTCGTATTCAGGAAAGTAGGTACAAATTATCAGTGTCAAAAACTCGCAAATTTCCGATCTTGCCAAGGGTTCGCAGAAGTTCTGAATACCACTCAGGGCCTTTATATATCACGGCTCCACAGTCTTCGTTTTGTAGTCACAGCAAGGACTAAGGAAATTCTTGATATTCACACCAATTCATGATCCGATGTACAGTGGCAGTAGACTTACTTAGCAGGTCGGCAGCCCTCATGGCCAAGTACGAAGCTGGTTGGGCAGAAAGCAATTGTGTGACAACAGTTTGCCACCCCGATCCGTTCCAAAATCTAATCTTCGCAGGCTTGTTATCGTAATTGCGAAACCATTTCGCTGCCGGATCAATTCATCGTCGAGATACCGGCACCACAGCCCGACGGCCACTATGCTGCGTGGGCCTTCGGTAGTTATGGCCGAGCAATATGATCGGTTTAGGAAGTTTTAAGCTCGGCCTTTGTCGCCGAGCTCCACATCAGCAGCGACGTGTGGTAATGCTGAGGAGGCTCGGTGCAAGACCCAGGGATTGTTGTTGACATTCGGTCTCGGGGTGCGAAGGAGGGAGAAATATGTGACTTGCCGTTAAAAATGTGAGGATGCTTCAGTGAGTTTCTGAATGCCCCAAATCGCCACTAGTCATTCTCGACACCAGACGTTCGTTCAAGATGTTTTTCGAGTCAATCCAGCCTGGGGTTCCAGACCACATGTACGACTTAAAAAAGAAAGCTGACAATGACTTATCTCCGTCAAAAGCTGACCTTGGTATCGGCATCTACCGCAATGAGCAGGGTGCTTACCAAGAGCTCCAATGCGTCAAAGAAGTCAGTCATAAGGAAAGGGTAGAAGGCAACAGTCAGGAATTCTAGCTAATTATATATTGCTTCGATTTAGGCAAAGCAAGTTCTAGCGAAGATGGATATCGGTCACGATGTAAAACAAGCGTATCATTTTTGTGATAGGCCGCAATCTGGCTAACCAAGAGTTACAGTACGAGCTGACAACAGGGAATCCTGGGTATCTCGAAGAAGCGTCCGGTGTAATTTTTGGCCAGGGCGGCATCTCGTCAGCCAAGGTGAATTGCCATCGTCGCACGTCCTTGAGAGCATCCAATCTAACCAAGTGGCCTTCCCAGATAGCCTCTGTTCAGACAATCTCCGGAACTGGAGCGGTTCATCTCGCCGCCCTATTCATTTCTCGGTGCATATCTCCCCATATCAAGGTGTTCGTTGGTGTTCCAACATGGGGCAACTACAAGCCTGCCCTTGACCTCGTCGGTCTCCAGACTATAGAGTATCGTCATTACAATCCCTCGACTCGTTCATACGATCACAATTCGACCATGATAGCCATTGAAGAAGCGCCTGCAGGCAGTGTCTTCATCTTCCAAGGGTGCTGCCACAATCCAACTGGTGCCGATCCGACCCCTGAACAGTGGTCCGAGATTGTAGAAGCCCTCAAGGTCGGGAGTCATCTCCCCTTGTTCGACCTCGCGTACCAGGGCCTCGGCCAAGGGCTAGACGAAGATGCCTACGCAGCCCGTCTTTGCGCCAGACGAGGACTTGAGTCACTTGTATGCCAGTCCTTTTCCAAGAACTTTGCCCTCTATGGCGAGCGGTGCGGCACTCTTCATGTTGTCTGTAACGACAGCAGGGCGGCAGCAAACGTGCACGACCAAATGCGCTGCCTCATCCGCTGGGAGATCTCGTCCACCCCAGCATACGGATCGCGCCTCATCAAATTTGTCTTGCAGGATGACCACTTGAAAGCTGACTGGTAAGCCACGCACACGTTCATTGGCAATAGAACCATCTGACAGCGTTTAGGAAAGCTGAGCTCTCGGCGATGAGGGAGAGACTTGCAAGTCTCAGGCTGCAGCTGTTCGAACAGCTCACGAAGATTCTCCATGTAAGTCGACTTGAGCTTGCGAATACTACAAATACTCACAGAAGAACGCAGACGCCCGGTGATTGGTCGCATATCGTGCGGGAAAAAGGATTATTCTCGTAAGGGTCGCACTCTTGGTATGTCTGAACATGACTAACGCCAGCACAGTTATTTGAAACTTCCTGAATCACAATGTGAGTTGCTGGTGGAACAATATCACATCCATTTACCGAAGAATGGGCGTATCAATGTTTCTGGGCTAAACCCGAGCAACTTGGGCTGGGTGGCTCGTGCCATGGATGAAGTTGTTCGGGGAGAGCGTTCCAACAGGGTTGTTCCTTCACTATGATAGATCCGATAATGTTCATAACCTTCAGCTTGCAGAAGTGACAAGTTCAACGATAATGCCTTTTACCATAGTCATTATTTGATAATGGCGGCCGATAACGTTCTCATCGATGTGAGCCGCGACAGGGAGTGTGCAACTTGCTCTTCGACTACATCAAGGCATACGCACGCCAAATTGCATTTTCATGGGATCTTGATTGAATATAGCTATTTCTAGCTCAGTTCGGCCAAAAATAGCGAAGCGAGTCTAATCTCCTCAAGCTTTCCAGTCCTGGTGTCGTTAAGGAAGCCCCGCGCTTGTTTCCAAGCACGGGGATTGGGTCGTTTCTAAGACTCCCTAGTAGTGGCAGCGTTGGCTTTGTTTTAATTGCAAGTGAGGACTAAACCGTAATTAATCTCTAGATTTAGAGCTATGAAAAGCAGAACAATGAAGATATTGCACTCGAGAAGAAGTGCTTGATAGGATCCCACTTGTTCCAATAGATATGGTCGTATGTGATGGTGCTGACGTCTGGAATCACTTATAAACAAAGTTCCTCCTTTAAAAGCAAAAAGAAAGAAACATACAACAGCCGGTGTTCGCCAATGGTCACCCACTTGACTACTAATCTGCCGGTTAGTGGCTTGTCTAAGGGGGAGCAGACGGGACCCCGAATTTTACACTACCTATGGTCGTATGTGCTAATTAGATGAGAAAATCTACCTTATAAGGATAGGAAATCATCTACTAAACTGGATAGATTAGTATACTGCTCTGATCGGAGTTGAGTCGTAGGGCATCTGATGCTATAACCATGGCTTTTCCCGTCTAACTTGGTCACAAGAATCACTAAGAAGCCATGAGACGAGACATTATTGCACTTCGGAATGACTTCGCCAAAAAAAAAAAAAAAAAAAAAAAAAAAAAAAAAAAAAAAATAGGCCATTGGCAGCTGTAAGGGCTCTAAGCAGCAGCAGCTTCACAATGATAGATTAACAACAGCGTCGGTTGCAGTTTAATCGTGAACATCTACACAACATCAACAGCTCCACCGTTGGATATCGGCGAGAGCGGCCAAATTTGGAAAGGGCATTCGGGTTCGTACGCCTCAGAGATTTCTTAACAATGGCTTCAGGACGCATACTTCTCTCTCTGGCATTTGGAAAGCAGCTCAGCTCTAGCAAAAGAACTGACTTCAGCCAGCTTCCTCCTCGGACCAATGGGTCGCCAACCTTGTCTTTGCGAATATTGCAAATCCCAACAACGCATTGTCTCTAGAGAGGAGAGGAGTGATGCCCTGTGTGTGGAAATAATCGCAGGCGCCTCAAGAAGCAGAGGCATTTTCCCGATTGCTTTGTGGGCCGACTATTATTTTTCAGCCACGAGGTGGAGCTCTTTTTGCAAATGTAAACAGTGTACGGGTGCCTTCTACGGTGCGCAGAGGGCAATGGTGAGAGTATTCTTAGCACATATTAATTATCATCAGAATAAGAGATATATCCTGTCCAGGTACGGTGTGAGTGTAGTACCAACATCATAGACGAACAATAGCACCAAGGTTGCAAATATCCGAATGATAAAAGCCCTGTGGACCGTTTTTCATGCCAACCGAGACGATTTGACTTTCAAATCAAAAGATAAAAGGCTATACTTCTTCGCTGATATGCTTTGTTGAGGTGGCTTTGCACGTCGCGTATATCTACTACTTAGAAGAGAAAAGAGGCCGGTGGCTTGAGAGCTTGTTGTAGCTCATCATATCTAAGCTTTGGCACAATATTCAAAGGTGGATGGATAGCTTTAAGGCGCCGAGCAAATGACTCGGGCTACATTGACCCAAAGTCAGCGTATCTGTCCGCAAATGGAAGCATGTTGGGCGGTATTGGTCTCAAAAAGTTGCTATAAAGTATAAACATACATGATCCAAACCATCGTCCTCAAAACATGGAATAGGTAGAGAAACTCCACTCTCCCAGATCTCGACCTAAAGTCAATTCAGGGTCCACGTATCTTCCGCGTAACGGGTCTGATCCACTTGCCAAACTCTCCACCAACGATATCTGTGCCGAGATGTATCTGTGTACATCTGACAAGAATGATACTGGCTAGGCTAAAAACATCATGTAGGCCTATATCAAACTCAAAAGCAATCATCATATTTACATAGTCGCTTTATTTTGAGAATGGGAAGAGTAGTGAGAGTAGAAAGGAGCAGACTCAGACAGAGTGTAAGAGTCAGAGTCAAAGTGAGAGTGAGAGTGAGAGTGAGAGTGAGAGTCAGAATAAAGTTGCAAAAGTAGTCGCTAATATATTTGCAAAGTAATTCTAAGCGGCAGCATTTCTGTATGCACAGCCGGTCAATGTCTAAACGAAAATCCCATCATAATCCGTTACGCCGTAAAACCAGGTAACAATTACTCTGGTCAGTCCATATCTTCCCTCATCATATTAAAAGTGTGTGCAGCTTCTTATCCATATTGTTACAACTTCGCCCACATAGGGTTTTTCCAATCCACATCCAGACTCCCTTGGCTCTCCACCTCAACAGTCCACCCGCTCATCCTCAGCCGTTCCCTTTAGATCTTGCCGAAGATGGAGGTCATCAGGACCTTGGTGATACGGTACGGGTCAGCGTTGGAGGCGGGTCGGCGATCCTCAAAGTAACCGCAGCCGCGGGCGGCAATCTCACGAGGAACACGGATGGAAGTGCCGCGGTTAGCGACACCCCAGCTGAACTTCTCGATGGAGCCGGTCTCGTACTCGCCGGTCAGACGGAGTTCATTGTCCTCACCGTACTCCTTGATACACTCCATGTGGTGGGGCTCGAGGGCCTTGATGGCCTCCTCTATATACTTCATGCCACCCTCGGCACGCATGTCCTTGGTGGAGAAGTTGGAGTGCAGGCCAGAGCCGTTCCATGGGCCCTGGATGGGCTTGGGGTGCAGGGTGACCTTGATGCCGAACTCTTCAGCGATGCGGGCAAGGAAGAAACGGGACATCCAGAGCTCGTCGCCCATGCTGATGCCGACGCAAGGGCCGACCTGGAACTCCCACTGGCCGGGCAGAACCTCGGCGTTGGTACCAGAGATGTTGATGCCAGCATCTGAAACGCTGATTAGCCATTATTCAAGGGATGTATTGTATCGAATTGTGTCAACTTACAGAGACAGGCCTTGTAGTGAGCGTCAACGACGTGGCGCAGGACAACCTTGCCAGCACCTACACCGCAGTAGTAGGGACCCTGACTATAGGAGAGGTTAGCTCGAATTCGAGGACTCTTTGTCAAGACATGCTTGTCTCGGGGAATAAATGACGTACGGAGCAGGGTAGCCGCCAACGGGCCAGCCATAAGGCCGGTCATCCTGACCGAGGAAAGTGTACTCCTGCTCAAGACCGAACCAGGGCTCGCGCTCGGCGTTGGCCTCCATGACCTTGGCGCACTCATGGCGGAAGTTGTACTTGTTGGGAGTGCCGTCGGAGTTCCAGCACTCGGAGAGGACGATGATGTTGGGTGAACCGCGGAAGGGATCGGGGTAGACGGCGCAAGGGCGCAGGTAGACGTCGGAGTCGTGGCCGGCAGCCTGGCCGGTTGAGGAGCCGTCGAAGTTCCAGACGGGGAGGTTTTCGGGAGTGTACTCGACGTCCTTGGCATCAAGAGTCTATCATGGTGAAGTCAGCAGGCATGTTCGTAATACAGGTTACAGTGACGATGCCGTCAACAGCGTCAATAACGTCACACGCGACTCATTCACGTCACCGCCATGGTCCCTTTGGGCGATCACTGGCAAACCCGACACTGGCCGAGGCGCAAGTCATCCCAGGTCTCAGCCCCAGACAGGCGGGTCATCCTTATCCGGGGTGGATAGGCGCAGGCCTGAGGAGAACGAGGGGGGCTATTTCGGGATATGGCCAAGGCAAGGCAAGGCTAAGGCTAAGCTGAGCCGGGACGATACTTGGAGAGTGGACTAAGCACTACGCGGCAGACAAATTACACTGAGCGTCAGGCACTACAGAATCGTAGAAGCCGACAACCAGCGTTTTTGTCCCCCACTTGGTACCAAGCCCAAGCCCCCATCCCAAATCCCGCTTGCCCCCGAGCCACACACCAAAACGCCAGCTGTGGCGTCATGATTGACACGCGCAGAGCTACAGAGCGAGTCCCAGCGATATGCGTGGCGGGGCCAGCGGGACAAGTCGGGGTCTTGCCGGCAAGGTTGCCTTGCATCGCCAAGAAGCAGGGACCAGGGTCGAGATAAGGAAAATGCGCTGGAGGGAACCTACCCTTGATTTTGATCGAGTCTCGCCGCCGGCATCGATCCAGACGTACTCGGCCATGATCTTGTTCTTCTGGTCGAGCTGGAGATATTTTTGCTGGAGAGAGAAGAGTCAGTATTGTTGTCGTCGTTAGATTCGCGCGTTTGGTTCAGCGGGATTGGAGCAGGGTTATCGTACAATCTCCGAAGGAGACGTTGAAGTCTGATTGACAGCCTGTAGCGCGCAAAACATGATTAGCCCAGATTCTTTCAATTGGAGAATATAGCAGCAGTAGCAGCGATAGCAGCAGTAGCAGCAGTAGCAGCGATAACTTACCATGATAGCGGTTTGTGTGGTGTTTGGTGAAATGCGAAAAGATGAAATCGATAATTACTCTGCAGGTCTGCGGAGACGATGCAAGAGGGAGGGTGGAGGATAGACTTGTGTGAGCAAGGTCGGGTATTTAAAAAGAGTAACTGCGCAACCAGCTGGAATGCAATGATGGTTTTCCAAAAAGAAGGTTTCTGTTTTCGATGCAAAACTTTGGGCGGCGAGGCTTTTAAGTACTAAACTGTCTTGAACGCGAGCGAGAAGTGGTAGAGGCCCCAACCACAGGGACTTGGCGCGCAGGTACCTTCACCCCCGGATGGAGCGCCTGGCCCCGTAAAGTCGCACAAGTACGGAGTACTAGGGGATGGGTATCGCCACCAGGAGGGTCCCCCGCTATCTGTGGTGCCTGTGTGACCTATGTGCTGTAAATAGCGTAATGGGGCGTGTCGTGTGTATGACAAGTGCAGTATATGATGAAAGGCGCAGAAGGGGCGCGAGAAGTTGGAAGTTGGAAGCGTCGCCTCTTTGCAGAAGGAAATAGCATAAATGCCTTTATCTTGATTTTGGTCTATTTTCTCTGCTGTCTAGTTATGACGTACATCTCTGCTTCTATCCCAATTTGTGTTTTCATCCCAATCTGTGTTTGCTTCAAAGCTGCGTTTGCTTCGAATCTGTGTTTGCTTCAAATCTCCAGCCCTCCAAGATACCTCCCCCTCCGGTACTCGGTACTTGGTCGCACTCGCCCTATCCGCCGTCCTGCTGTACTCCATCCACAAGTACCTGATAAGGGGCGGCGCAGAGGCAATTGGTGGTGGCTGCTTGGCCCGGTCCCACTGCTGATTCTGGACTCTGAGTGGGCGAGTGGCCGCGGTCCAGAAGGCTTTTGCTCATTGATTCGTGTCATTCGATACTGATTGCCATGGGCCCTAAAAATTTACATAAACGCCTCACCAAGATTTTTTGTTCCCATCGTCACTTATCCTGGGGGAGGGGGGAAGAAGCCGCGAGCCAGTGGCCCAGCTCCGATTACCATCCGATGACAGATGATATGACTGTATCTCGTTTCTGAGGCCCTTGTTTGGGGGAATTCCAACGGCTGCAATTGGTGGCGTACTTGAAGCTTTACATGCAGAGCTGCACAGTATCACCAAACCTTACTTTTTGTGGCCAGCACCTAAATCTGACTGGGTCTCCCTACATCTGCACGTGTAATCTACCTAATCTGACTTCTTTCTCACACATGGATACTTTTCGGCGTGTAGAACAGACCACAAGCACATGCGCCACTCTGCCGTGGCACAGAGGAACGGGATAAAGTTGTGGCCGCGGCAACGCCTCAGCCAAGGCCAAAGCTTGAGGCTGTGCGCAAACACGAGCTGAGTCCGTCCAAAGTATCCCAGGATTAGCCTGTTCGTCCCGTAGAGTCGGTACTCAATACCGCTCTCCGTAATCAAACGCTGGTTTCTAAAAATGGAGTATCGCGAGTAATAGCGCTCTACGAGTAATACCTGTAAGATAGATGCTTCTTCCAGCTGCTGCTACGCCTTCAATTACGGAGCATCCGCGTCGCTAGCTTCAGGCACTCGTGCATCTCATCGCTCACCGTCCCTATTAGCTTGGTGCTTCCCCTTACACCGTCCCGTCCACCGCATGAACAATAGGGCATCGCATCGCTGGCAGTGCCTGTTCTAGGCGGTCCCATGCGCCGAGAACGAGCATCGACCACGTATTTTTGGGTTTCTTTTTACGTTATTGTTTGGTCGCGTCCATCGAATCGGCTTACGCCGAGGAGAGCTGCGCAGGTACGTGTCATGTGTCATCGACGCATCGGTCCAGGAACGAGAACAACAGATGAGAAAAAAAAAGGAGAAGCAACAAGGTCATTGATTGTTTGTACGTACAAAGTACTGGACTTGATGCTCCGTGAGTCTGTTGTGGATTATACTACACGATGCAGAGATAGGGACGCATGTACTCCGTATGCCGTGAGTCTTCCCGAATCGCGCACAGGTCACTCGTCCACCGCATCCACTCCGGCGGTCCATTTGCGGTACTTGCTACAGCCGCCTGTGGCCGCAACGAAGCAAGCCCGTATGCGGTACCTGTGCTGGCGGCGAGGCCGTCCACAAGCGGCAGCCCGACATGTGAGCACAGTGTCGGTCCATTGAAGCTGAAGCTGTGGCGATGCCGACGTCGCTGCGACTCGGGAAACGTTGAGAAAACGAGACAAGCCACAAGACAGATCAGAGACACGATGCACAAGTCCTAGCGGAACTAAGACATGGGGAAGATCGAGAGTTGACGCTTCTAGCTTGGCTCCCTTCCCAGTCGCTTTCGGCTGTGCTTTGAGCCGTTTGGGCGACCAATACAAATTGAAAAAAGCCCGAATAAGACATGCTTCCTTGCAAAGAATGCGACTCTGCTTGCGGCAGAGGGAAATTAATACCTCTCTGTGATTATTAGGCTGTAGTTTAGCATATGTTTAGTGTTTTAAGTGGAAAAGACAGATCAGCAACGGGAGAATCAGAGACCAGAAAAAAACGAAAAGGATAGGAGGGGTGCTGCATTCCGTAGCCTTGCAGAACATGGCACATGCAAATCACTCAAAATCCTCTACGACATTGACCCAATTCGCTCAATTTATCCGCTCGTCCTAAACTCTCTCTCTCCATATTATCTAGGTCACTTGTCATGCTAATAATATCTCGAATGTCCATCCTTTGCACCGTACCAAACTAAGCCGAACTACGGAGTCAAGGGCGCAGAAAATCTCCAACGCGCCTCACACTAGCCTCCACTTGCAAGGGGCGTCTTATCGTCAAGCCCTCATTGGCTGCTCTCCCCGGCTTCTTTGACGAATTCGCATCCGAGAGTTTCTCGATTCTCTCACGCGCCCACGCACAAGAAATAAAGAAGCACACAAAAAAAAAAAGGGAGTGAAAAGTGAAAAAAAAAAAAAAAAAAAAAAAAAAGATAAGAGGTAGGGGTTGAGAGAAAGAGGCCCGAGTTTCTGGCGGCTGGTGGGGGCGCTCTTCAATTCAAGCTTTCCCTTCCCGCGAGGATAACGAGATACGCTACGATACGATTCTCCAGACTTTCTCTCCCCCAAGTTTTCTGCTTTTTCCCCTCCCCCCGAAATCGCTCGACGGAACGGGAGCGCCACAAGACGGGAAGCTTGAATGAAAGGCCCTGTCTGTTTCTTTCATAGCGCGGCTGCAATCTCTTAACCAGGCGTGGGGAAGAAGGATTGAGGGATTGCCTAAATGGTAAATTGCCCGGTTCGTCGGCGGCTACATGTGCTTCATTCTGGCTTGTGATATAGGCGGCATGGGGTGTTGGACGATGACAAGCCTATTGCGGAAGAAGAAGGAAGATGATAAAGAGGGAAGAAAAAGATGCCTCCCACGCAGTGACCCCGGGATCAAACCTATCTCTGGCCGGACCCCCAAATTGACTGTCAACCGTTTTATATCTCTCAACTGGGAAGTGTAATATGCCTCACCCGGTTGGTGGGATGAAGATTATCAAATGATCCCTTGGAGGGCTACCCGTCGCCAGGGTTCGTCACACCACATGGCAACAGAGATAAAGTGGCCACCCTCAGCTCGCACAGGCTATTCCCGAGTTGGAGGTTGAAGAGGCGTGATTCCACGGTTCTATTCAACGTGTCCGGTAAATCCATTTGCCGTTCCGATCAGTGCTTATGGCATTCAGCCCCATGGCTACGGTCATTACCTAAGAATCCGCATCGTAGAATAAGTTGACAATGAGATTAGCGCTTGAGCTACTCAGCAAGTCATCGTGAAACTTCAACAGGCGTTATCGAGCCAGTGAGATTCCAAACTAGTGATTCCAAACTAGTGAAAACAATAGTCATGCAATGTAATACATTTTAGCTCGCTGCCTTTATTTCACTTACTGCCTTACTTCAACTTTCTCGTTCATGATGAAGGGAAGAAGGATTTGCTATGTGTTCATTCAGTCAAGTGACGGCCCATCGTTTTCCATTGGCTCAGCAAGCTGTTGCTAACTGCAATCTCAATATGCACTACTCTACACAGGTGGTAAGCCTACGTTTTTACGAATGACTTCAAAAAGTTACAGTCCAATAGGCTTTATTGTCAAGCATCGTACGTGTACCAGTAACCAATCAACGCAGCATCGCATATTCGTATATGATCTCGTCTTTGTCTGTCCAGTAGTTAGTAAGCCCTTGCAAAAGGCTGTTTCTTGTTTCTATTTCAATCCCATGAGACCGGGCTGTCGGCGTTGCTAACATCCTGCTAGAGCTTACTCCCTACATGTGCCTTAGCTTCAACGCCTCATCGCCCAGCTGTTAGTGAATTCGAGAGATGGCAGCCCGGCTTTGCTCGCTCTTGATGACAATGGCTCCAGTCTGACAAGGCTAAATGAATCATGTTCAATATTCTCAGAAATCTAATATGTGTCTTCAAATTCCACTGTAAAGCTGTTAAGTAGCGCGTCCAACTCACATACGCTAACAGATCGTGGCTTTCGGTCAGCACCATCTTCAATCCAACAGCTTAGCAGTTTCGAGTGCAGCCAATCAGCCCACGTAATTCATGCTGAGTGAACAAACTCGATCCATAGCCTAATCAGGAATCAGGTCATTGTTGCTCTGGTATTAGGCTTTGAAACCAGACAGGGTACCGGTCGTAGCTGTTGGCGGACCTCGTAAAGATGGCTATATATACACGTAGAAGCTGGCGAGATGCTAGCTCTGGTATTCCTTTAGATCATTGCCTTTCAGTACTTACAGTACTTAGCGAACAGCAGGGGAGTACACTGTCTTCCATCGAAATTCAACACACATCAGACTCAGCATGTCCCGCCTAATCGATAGACTCCCCACACCGGAGAAGGTGAAGGAGAAGAAAGTGGTTGTGCTCAGTCGTAGCCGGTAGGCTCTCATTACCTTGTTTTACCTCTATCCAATTAACACGATAGCTCGTTTTAGCGTTGGAACTTTCTCCCTCTACCAAGCTCTCAAAATGTTAGGGTACACCCCTTACCACATGTTCGAAGTGATCACCAACGGCGTTCCCCATCTCCAACTCTTCGAGGAGGCTATACGTTGCAAGTATTCAGGCACAGAAAAGCCATATGGCAAAGCCGAATTCGATAAATGGCTCGCCAACTACGATGTAAAACATCTCTTCGTCCCTCCGTCCCTTTTTCTTCCACCATGTAAGAAGGGATACAAGCTAACGCTATAACAAGGCCGTCGTCGAGATTCCCCAGTTTTTCATCGAAGAATTCATCGAATTTTATCCCAACGCGAAGTTTATACTCGTCGAACGCGACGTCGACGCTTGGGAACGTTCGTTGAACAATACCGTCAAGGCCGTTATGCAGGCTTGCAGATCGTTCCCCATGAATCTCAGTCAATACGTTGATCATTTCATCAGCGGTTTTGTCGCTCTCCACATCACATTTGAAGACGTCATGTTCCACAATAAAGGCATGGAAGGGGGCATGGAAGAAGCAAAGAGGGATAGCATAGCAGAGTATGTGCATGGCCTATTGTTCTTTATTCTTTTCTTCTCCATCCAATTGTAGGAAGCTAACAAGAAGAACTATTTAGTGGGGAAAAGGCAAAAAGACTGGCTCCAAAGGGCCAGCTTTTGGCCTGCACTCTGGAAGGTGGCTTTGGTTGGGAAGAAATTTGTCCCTTTCTTGAGAAAGATATTCCTGAGACGCCGTACCCTAGAGGTAACGCTCCTGCGGAGTTTGAAGGTATTGTTAAAAAATACGTGGGACCTCGCATTAGGAACTCAGTTTTGAAGCTTTTTGGGACGGCGTTGGTGCCGATAATTAGCATCGGGTTGTGGGCGTACATGAAAAGACATTAGGAGGCGGTATTGACTTCTATAGGCGAAGCAGAGCGTAGCACAGAATTATATCCAACGGCGGCTTGGCTTTTATTGTACAAGGGAGGGCCCCTGGAAGCTGATGCATATTCCGGGTAGTACATAGGCCTAGTATTTGTTCAGCGTCGTTACACGGTACTGGTGTAATATGGAGAACAGGATTATTTTGCATACATATTTTACGCCATATTTAGTTGAATTTTCAAAATATGTACACCATCTTCATTCCACTCCAATACTTTGTTATCTTTTATTCACATCGAATGATGTTTTTGCAACAGTTCAGCTTACGCGTGTCTCTCCCTATGCGCAAATAACATTGTTACTCAACCATTCTTCAACGGCATTTGATAGGGCCTCACAAGTAACCTGCAGCAACCTGCAGCAAGACTGGCGCCAGGAATTTTGTACGACCCAGGAGAACTGCCAGGGTGCGAATCCCTGTTTGGTCAGCACTTAATACTACCGCGCCTTGTCTCGTATCACGTTGTTCGCCTGTCATCTTCCATGCCGTTGTACCTATTAAGGAAGCTGGTGTTGGCCTATAAGCAATATGATTCTTTGGTACAGGAAGAAGAAGGAGGATTACGTGCTTCATATGAAATGCCCTTTACTCCCTATCGTCGTAGTAAACCCTAGTAGTTCGTAAAATGGGACTATTTGCACTCTTAAAATTGAATATGTGATAGGCGAAGTAAGCTACGTACGCGCCTTAGAGGTTTAAACATTTGGTGCAGCGATGCATCAGATGGCTAGACACATATTATTCTAGGATATTTATGTTGTAAGTTGCAGCTGAAAGGCTGAAACGCTATTGAACAATCTCATAACATAAGATACTCGACGACGAATACTTGCGCCTAATCATAAATAAGTACGTACGTAGGTAGGCACTACCTAAGTAGCAACAACTTGATCTTCAACTGTCATCAACCTCTTGCCGAATGGCGAACGTAGCAAATAAATGTAAAGCGCGCACGTGCTCTGAGACGAAAGCAGTAGTAGTTCTGGCAGCTGCCGCATTGTAAAGCAGGTCCAGCTCAATACCCAAGCTTCGAGAATGAACTTCAAGTTCCTCTCTTTCAACTATTGTTTACTACGCTGACGAAGCAAACACCAAATCTCGCACTCATATTTGCACCTCGCCCATTTTCATTTATTGCATTCGTTTCTCTACTTCATCGACTAATAGTGCTCTCCATCCTCCTGCCAGCCATGTGGATCAATCCATTCAGAAACCCCAAAACCACCGGGGAAAGTTCATCTTCCAAAAGCGATGGCGGCCCAACAACGAACGAGGATGCTCTACACACTTCTTCTATTCCCTCAAGCATGCCTGCAATTCTTAGAGACAAGATTGAATCCCAGAACGATGCTTTCCCCGTCCAATATTATAACTGCACGATGCATCCCAATCGCGAGGAAGCCGCTGTATTCAAGGATTCGTGCTCGTATATCTCTGGAAGATGGACGTTCAACAATCTCCCGGAACTTGGCGTCGCGCCTTTTCCTTATAAACCTATACTAGAGATTGTGCGGGATCCACCACCAGTTGAACAGATACCAAAGAATCTTGTGGTTCAAACGGGTACTTGTTGCTGCGCTCTTCAAAGGTACGTTCTGTTGCTCATATTATACGACATGGCGACGGCGAGTTGACCCTTTTTAAGCCTGCTGCCGTGTGTGTGTTGCGCGCTGCGTATGCAAGACGGTGATTATCGCGCTCTTTGCCGAAAAGATCCTCGTATGAAACACTTAGGCCTTGCGTTTTCATTCAGCTTTTCACCCTTTTAGGTCTCCCAATCGCTGACGTGCCCTAGTAATCTTGGGCACGGAGACCTGTATCGAATGCGCCTACGCCAGACAGACATGTACCTTGGTGAGCACGGCGAGTGGTTGGAAGAATCGTCTAGAGGGCTAATATGGAATCAGGGTGGCTTCAACGCATTTGAACAAGGTACTGCTTTGACACAAGCACGTGAACTTGCAAGAAAAGCGATTCAGACTGGAAAAGATGAATACCCCATTAGATTTGTAGGTCGACCTACCGTATTGCGGCTGCAGTGAGCTGACGGATGTATGCTGTTTAATAGGCTCTCAATGCGATGCAAGCCGCAGCGGGAGAATACTTGGCTGTAATCTGGAGCCAGGGGAGTCTATATGACTTGATCGCAGTCCAGTGCCTCTATAACTCATCGAGGGCAAGCGGGCCCACGAGCTCCAAGACGACAAAGAAGAAGACGAAGAAGCCGAAGGGCGAGGACGGAAAGCGAATCCAAAAACGGACCGGCAAAGACGTTGACAAGTCACAGCTTCTCAATCAAGGCACCGGCTTGGCGATGGCGCGTAACGTCATGATCCGGGAGATGTTGACCTGCAATAGAAAGATCTCGGAGACACTTCAAAAGAATAATGAGATCTCGGGAACGCTTTGGAAAACAAAGAAGAGTTCGGAGATGCTTGAGATCTCGAAGACGCTTCAGAAAAACAATGAGATCTTGAAGAAGCTCCTTCACAGCCCTACAGAAGAGGATGAGCGGCATGATCCTACCCACTTCCAAGGCTGATGTCGCCTGAAGCTGAGTTTTGCCGGAGGGGGGCGGAAACATAAATTGTTGTGCGGAGTAGCAATATGAGGTGCTGGTATTGGATGCAGCGTGTGTGTCAGACAGCGGAAATTGTGTGCGTTCTGGAATCTCGATTCTACCCAGAAGATCGTACTAGCGGCAGAAACACTTTTAACTACATGTAGTATTACTAATAATAGTATTAAGATTACAGCGAGACAGTGTTTTGGCCGTTGAAACAGACTTGGGTAATTGGAGTGAGACAGATACATGTAGGCTCCATGAGGCCCAGCGTCGTACTATGTGTCAAAGAAGATGGAAGTGTTACAAGATAGGGCGGCTTACGAATAGTCAGGCGCCCGTTCTGATTAGAATTACACACTAAACCAGCGACTATTTCATACCACTTCCCGGAAACAGCATGCCGTGCTATCGAGTTGAGCCTGCGTGCCAGACGCAGCAATTTGCGGCAAAGAGACAGCAGAAGGGGCTAATATTTGGCCGTGGCCCCTTTGCGGCCGCCTTGATCACAATCACACGAGAAGAATGGTGGCGCTTGGCAGCTATCAGGACCCCTGGTCGTGCGCCCTGGAACGGCTAATAAACTCTAGAGCCTAGGTTGATATATGCTTAGCGTGCATAAATGTAACCTTCGCCATTGACCTTGGCCTGTCCATCTCCCGTCGGAGACGCCCCGGCAAAAGAGCCCCGCGTCTTATACCAGAGAATGGGACGGCCGTGGTGCTGAGCGAGGGCTCCGCAACGGAGTCTTGGCATGGCCGACTTGGGAAGGTTGCAAGAATCTGATTGTTTCCCAAGGGAGAAGCTGTCCCAAATATTGGAATCCTCTTATGCGAGTGTAAGTGGACCGTGAGCCTGCCCTTACAGATTTGAAGGGGAGGGGGGGAGAGAGAGAAGCGTCGAGGCCACGAGGACCGCGATGAGGGCCCCCTTGGCAGTGATAGAGGCCGGTGCTAAAGGCCCGAATTTGGCTGAATTGCCCGGAGGAGAAGGTAAGGGGGGCCGGTGAGATTTGTGTGGTGTTGTTTGAAGCTTTTTCGGAGGATGGAGGCATATATAAATCTCCTCCCGCGCCGGCGTGGATCTTGGCGATGGGATCTTGTCCATCCACTGCCTTCTTGAGCCTTGCCCTGCCTTTGCCAGTGCCGATCGTCGCTTGACTCAATCATGAAGTCGGCGTTTGTCTTTCTAGCATCCGTGCTGGCGACGCTGTCGCTGGCTGCCCCTGTCCAGGATGTTGCTGTAGCTCGGTCTGAGCCGACTGATCTGCCCCGTCTGGTGATTTACTTCCAGACGACGCACGACCAGAACAACAACCCCATTTCGATGCTGCCGCTCATCAACGAGAAGGGCATTGCGCTGACGCATCTGATTGTGTGCTCGTTCCACATCAACGCGGGCGGAGTCATTCATCTCAATGACTTTCCTCCCGATGACCCTCACTTCGCTACGCTATGGAACGAGACTGTCATCATGAAGCAGGCCGGTGTCAAGATTATGGGAATGGTCGGCGGTGCCGCCGGTGGTTCTTACAGCACTACTACTCTGGATTCTTCTAACACTACCACCTTTGAGCACTACTATGGCCAGCTTCACGACCTGATTGTCAACTTTGAGCTCGAGGGCATGGATCTCGACGTTGAGCAGCCCTTTAGCCAGAACGGCATCAACCGCCTCATCTCCCGTCTGAGGTCCGACTTTGGACCAGACTTCCTCATCACCCTGGCCCCCGTTGCGACGGCTCTGGAGAACAGCGCCAACCTGTCCGGCTTCAACTACAACCAGCTCCAGACCGACCAGGGCTCCTCCATCGACTGGTACAACACGCAGTTCTACAGCGGCTTCGGCACCATGGAATCGCCCAACGACTTCATCAACATTGTCAACACCGGCTACTCGCCCGACATCATCGTCGCCGGCCAGGTGACCAACCCGTCTGGCAACGGCGGCTACATCCCCTTGGCCGATCTCAACAACACCATCATCACGCTGGACCAAAGGTACGGCCAGATCGGCGGCGTCATGGGCTGGGAGTACTTCAACTCGCTGCCCGGCGACACCAGCGCTCCCTGGGAGTGGGCGCAGATTGTGACTGAGATTCTGCGCCCTGGCCTGACGCCTGAGCTGAAGATTACGAAGCAGGATGCTGCGCGTCTGCAGGCTGCTTATGCGACGAGCGTGGCGGCGAACGCCGGCAAGGATAAGAGCTTTGCGGTGAAGCCTAGTGTGAACTACAGCAAGTGGGTGAATGCTTAAGGCGGTGCATTTCGAGAGATGGGTAGGTAGTTTGTACATACATAGTTGGATACTACAGATCATGTTCATACGAAACTCTACCTGGACACATGAAAGCCATGGTACAGAGCAATAACAAAAAATTAAACAATGCAACTGCTACTCCCCATTGCGCACATGACTTGATTGATGAGAAAATAAACTTAAAAAGTTGGTTGTTTCATGCATGAATTGCGTTTGAACCAGTGAATGGTCCATTGACCGGGGTGTATTAGCATGGTGCTATGTCAACTTGCATGAGTGAGGGGTTGGTTTTTGCGACGATCAAGGTAAGAATCGGGGCGATCACAGGATGGAGAGCCGGGGGATGAAGCTTGATTTTTGGAGAGGAATGGCATGCAGATCGTTTTGGAGAAGTTGTGTGGTTACTGTTGTATTCTTTGTGAGATGCTGTTATGAGGCAGACGGGGATTTTATAGCCAGTGCGGTGATACAAGGTGACGTTACGTAGCTGCACTATTGTTGTATCACAGAGAATACCATGATTGGAGAATGAAGAAGATATTTTGATGGGAGATGCTATACGTGTATGTATTAGCAAGATATGGTTTTTACTAGTACCTTCGTCAGCCAAACTCTGGATAAATCTGATAAATCTCAGAGTGAAAAAGCGGGGCCAGGAACAAAGATAGACTTCAGGTCGAACTTTTAGCATATAAGAAGGTTCATGGTCAAGGGGTTTATGAACTGGTTTGGACATATTCGGTCTTTGAACTTACGATTTATTGCTTTTTAAGGCGTGTAAAATGCTCGGATGGCCGGAAGGGAGTGGATGTAAACATTTGATGCAGGCGCTACTGAATTCTGTTCTTATTATGACTTTTTGGCGACGACGAGAGCTTCAAAGCACAGTGACTGATAAGATTGAAGTAGGTACAAATCCACTCGCAAACATTTGAGTCATCACTGTTCATATGAGCACTCGATATATTTCACCAGGACTTATGAATACCTATTCCCAGCGGCTCTGTGTTATTCATGTAGCTTAGGCTTATTATGATGAAGCAATAGATAGGACACTGATTATGAGCATAGTAAGATGTTTCGCTTCTTGTTTATTTAGACATGATAAATAGTCATTTGGTGGAAAGGTGCTGTTTTGATTAAATCAACCCAATTCACGTGCATGCTTGTAAACATGGCTGTACTCCAACTCTCATGTCTCAGCGCAGTTTACAAAGTCCTACAGAGAAAACAATACATGAAGGCAGTACAAAATCTCAACATCTATACGTGAAAGTAATCAATATTCACTATGGTATTTTTTCATTGACTCATTCCAAACCATCGCTCTCGCTCACTTTTAAATCATCCAACCTAAAACACATTCCAAGCATCTATTCTTAGTGCTTGTGGTCGTGGTCTCGGCTCTTGCAGCACGCGCCCTCCATAGCCGCCCTCGCAAGCTTGGCACGAGTAGCAGGACGGGCAGCAGGCAGCAAGTCTCGGCCCAGCAGATCAGGCTTGGGGGCGGCATCATCGCCGGCCTCACGCTTGGCAATGTTGGTGCTGTAGACCATGTTGAGCCAGTTGCCCAGGCGGTAGCCGGCCTTTGCAATCTGCAGCTCGACGGTGCCAATCACGGAGTTGTAGTAGGTCGGGTACAGGTCGCCCTTTTGCAGGGCGGCGGCGCCGTTGGGCATGACGACGGTGCAGACGTAGGCGTTGGCGTCGCTGGCCCAGCGGGTGGCCGTGGTGATGACATCGTTGACGTCGTCGCCGGCGATCCAGCTGGCGGCCTGGGACTTGTACGAGCCGGAGGTGATGTCGCTGACGAGCGTGTTGGCCCAGGTCTGCGCGTCGGCCAGGGAGCCGCCGCCAATCAGCGTCTCGGGGATGTAAGTGTCCCAGTCGGAGTGCAGGTTGTCGCTGTAGCCCTGGTAGGTGACCTCGATGTCGTTTCCGCCAACCTCGTAGGCCTCGTCGTGGAGAGGCTGCGTCAGATCGCCGACAAAGTGGACGAGGAACTTGAGCGCCTGCTGGACGTTGGCGGCGGAGAGGCGGCCGTCTCCCACGCGCTGGGTGTAGTTGGCCATGGCCGAGATGGAGCAGCCAGAGCTGCCGCAGTCGCGGTCATAGTCGACGTTGCATGAAGTGGGCGGGTTGTCCTCGGCGTCGATGAAGTGGAAGGGAGCAGACCACTTGCCAGCGGTCGTTGCTCGGTAGTCGTCAGCCCACGAGGCGACGTTGGCCAGGTACGAGCTGGAGGTATCGCCAAGGACGCCCTGAGCCCTGTTCATTCGTTTGTTAGTTTTCTTCTTCTTCATCCATTCCAACGATTGAAGCTTACCATGACGCTGTGGCAGAGGTGAGATAGTGCTGGGCAATGTAGGCAACAGTTGCGTGGCCCAAAGCACCCCAGGCTTGGGCGCCCTGGACTGAGGCGAGAGCCGTCAACGCGACCTTGGAGATGGAAGGCATTTTGAAGCTGGTGGCAGATTTTATTCACTGGCGTCTTAGCAGGAAGGGATCTGCATCATAAACAGCCAGCAACTCCAACTTTATATATGCGCTGCCCCCAGAATTGGTGTTGCAGCTTCATCCTCTCCAGCCCGGCCCGCAAGTTGCCGCCGTTGCTTGGCGATGCGATGCGATACTCAATGCGATGCTAGCCTTGGATCTTTGTTCCCTTGTTTCCCATCCAGAGCCGTATCAGATGCCTTATCTCGACCACGATCTGCGTCAAAGCCCAGACTCTGAGCCGTGAGAGGCTGATCTAATCTTCACGGGCCTTTATCCCCCGCGGCCTGCTTGCCCGTTTCAGCAGGTCAACGGCACCGGCATTGGAGCCAACCGGCGATTCGGCATCAGGCAGTGGAGCAGCGAGAAAGCGCATGTGCCATCTTGTTAGTGTGATAGGAGGGAGAGGAAAGCTGCGTTTGCGAGCGCTGCGGGACTTTTTGCTGGCGATTGATTGCGCTGCCGGATTTGGCGTCGGTCTGGGAGGGTTTGTCTGCTTCAGTGTAGGCGAACCGGCACTAGCCAACTTTTTCTAAACTGTAGGCGAGGGCAAGGGAAAAAAGAAAGCTTGTTTTCCGGGCATTTTCAAGATCTGGACTGGATCGAGCGTCGATGGAAGATGCGGCAGGGACAGGGCTGGTGGTTCATATAGTTTGCGGCATGCTGAGGACTGGGCTGAAGAGAAAGGTTGACGAGCCTATGGAAGGCCAGTTTCTGAGCGCGTGTGATCGTCGGCTCTAGTTTATGGAGTTGGCTTCTATCTTGCTTATCATAAAGCTGCATGCAAGCGAGGTAGCTTGAGATGCCTATAGTAGAATAACCACTTTACTGCTCACATGTCAGTGGTGGTGTCTTAATAAAAAGGATAACTGCAGGGCCTATTATCGCGTTCTAGTTGTGGGATATCTGCCTCACTTGGTTTGCTCGGAAGATAAGTTGCAGGCGGCTATAAGCAGACATGCACACGATATTCCTCTATATAGCAACTGTTGCCTATACTATTTTCTTGATCATTCGCTGGCATTGTCCCATACATCGGACGTTTGTACGGCTCGGGCCGAGCTAGCCTTTGAAACTTGCCTGACCAACACGCTGCTGAGGAGCTGGGAATAGGAGCACGTCCCAGATAGCGATTCAGTTATAAACTACCCAGTAACCTTACGAGGCTAACTCAACCATATCAGTACCCTTATTATCGATTAGTATCTCATCCACGCATGAGCTAGATTCAGCTCTTTCTGTTTCTTGCTGTGAAGCGGCACGCTTTTGCCGCTCTGCTCCATTTTTGCCCCTCTCTGCTGCGAGCCGTCTCACTGCCCTGCAACATGCAAAGAACCTCCACTCACGTTATGCTTCGCAGACGCTGCGTAATCATTCGGTGCTGGTGAAAATCCGTCTCTTCCAGCTTCGGCATCGGCTCTCAGTTGGGCCCTTTTTCGCGATGTAACCCCCCCTGCATATTCTCTCAACCTCTCACAACACGCCATTTGCCCCCGCCAAAGCTATCCCCCTCTCTCAGCTTTGGAACCAAAGGCCCTTCAGACTAGCCCCCTTTTTTCCCATATTTCCTTTCCAGCCAGTTGCAGTTGGCTATTATAGATTGGCAAGACCACGAGATCAGAGAGAGGCCGCTCCACGGAATAACAAGTAAGGCGTAAAAAAAGATATTTTAGTGCTACTGCTAGGTACCACTCGTTACTGCCCGTATTAACCAGCCACTGTAGATATGTCAAACAAAATAACCGATGCTCGCCTGGAATGGCTGGAAGACACAAGGCGGCGCAAGAGCATGCTCATCAAGAAGCTTGAGGAGGAGGAGCAGAAAATGATGGGTGAAAAGGACGCGGCGTCTTCTGCGGATGCCGCGGCGGAATCGACACCGCAGCAAGATTCCGAGGGCCAGCTGCCGGACGCGCTCGAAAAGTACCAGTTGAACATTGACCGGTACAAGGAGGAGCTGCTTGCGATTGAAAAGGAGTTTGAGTCGTGGCAGGAAATGGGATTTAGCCTGCCTGCTTCGAAAGGCGTCGAGACTGACGCCAGCACATGAGTTTCTCGTGGGGGGAGCAATCACACGTCCTCGTATCTTTCACTATACATATTTGCTGGCTTGGCGGGTAAATCTTTTTGCCTGAGCTTTATCACGCATATCATGACTTATATACGACATCATGACACCATGATCAATGTTAGATGAATCATTATTTCTTTTTTCCAAGATTGAGCATGCAATTGGGATCGATGGGTGGACATTTGACTGTGAAGATGTATTTAACCTCGGATTTCATGGGTGATTTCTGATGGCGCTAAATATCTCAGGCGGATAAAACGTCAAGAATGGACATGATGATATCTTGAAGTACATTGTTCACGCAAGCTCCCTCTTGGATGACTTGCTCAATCCGCTCAAGACATCCGGTTGCTGTCTGAAAGATAGACTTGATGGCATCCGACGTGAAGAGATCCAGGCCCACCGTATATAACTCGGCCACATAGTCTTTGCACTCGAGGCTGCAGAAGCCATTGGCAATGTAGCACTGCGCGTGCGACCCAAAAGCCGCATCATGGATGCTCTGGCACGTGGCATTGCAAGCCGAAACCACCGGAACGAGTGTTTTCTGCAGGCAGTTCATGGTGCCCCATATAAACGTCTGGCCGTTCTCAGAAAAGAGATCAAGATTCTGGTCGAATTTTTCGCAGTTTTTCAATCCATAGTTGATGGCATACGAGCTGGAGTCGCCGGAGCAGGGCACAGAATCCTCGACACACGTCTGGTAAAAGTCGCACTGGTGAGGAGGCGGCACTTGGCACGTACTTGCGCACATTGGATAGCCGGGACACGAGTTGCAGTCGCCGCAGGTCGAGCAGCCATTGTCCACCGCAGCCTGGAGAAGTTGCTGAGACTGTGAAGACTTCACACTCGAAGTCGGGGTGCCGAAGCGAAGCGAAAAGCTGCTCACGAATGGGTAGCCGTGGGTATCGGCAGCGATGATTCCTAGCAGAGCTGTACCGTCACTGAGGCCGTTGGTGAATTCAATACCCGAATCTGATGCTTGGAAATCGCCATACTCTTCGCCATTGACGAATACAAACACCTTTTCGGTGTCGAGGCTTGAGCATGAGATGACGGCTTTGAACCGAGTCCCCGGAGTGTTGACCGCTTCGGTTGAGACGCCCTCTAGAGTAAATCCTGGGTCACACGAGGGCTTTGGAGGAAGCGTTGAACCTCGTTTCGAAACGCTGCCATCGGCCCAGCATGCCTGAGATAATGTGAAGCCAATGGCGGCGATGTGGTAAAGAGGCTTCATGTTGAGCTTGATAGGCTGCAGCGGCTAGAATCAGTCTTCGTAGCAGTGCTGGAAAGACAAACGTCAGCAGACAATTAGATCTGGAAAAAGTCCCAGACTTCTTCTCGGGCAAACTGTCAGCTAGCAGCCCAGCGTTTCAAGTGTCAAGGATCAGCTTGCACGGGCTCTGTACGTGGATCGTTACATCCTCGGTACTTGCTACCCTGCTATGGCTGTGAATGTGCCTGTAGTAAACAAGATGCATACGTTTCCACCTTCGTAGGAATAATCATCTTCTCAAGATGATGACTATCGAATGAATCTATCAAGGAATTGACTGATGGCGTCTGTACGTCTTGGACCAAAATGCATGCATGATTGACTGGCTTCCATTGGCTTGTAATACGTGTGTGTAGCGATGCGGATCTCGGAGGCGTCCTGCCGAGTAACCCACCCGCTAAAGAAACACGTCGAGATTCGTCAAGATCTGCTTAACAATCAAGCAACATGACGCAACATAAATAAGCGGAAAATTCAGAACTTCAGGCAGTGCTACCCCAGTAACTGAAAAGACATTGTTTGTGTTCCCATCAAACGGCGTACGGCGTTCCGTCTCCGTCAGTCAACGAGTGTCATGTGATGCCTCCATCACGTGTTCTTGTCCTTGGTAAGGCGCTAGGGCGTGCTTTTGACATTGACATGGAGTGGAACCGGCGTCTCGGGCATCGTTAAAAGTTGGGGTAGATTCGTCTGAGAGACTCCGGCTCACCGAGAGACCAAAGGGCGTGCACCAGGAAAGATGCGGCACAAGGTCAAGGTGCCCCCCTGCCAGTTCTGCAATAAGTCGTTTTTGAGGACTGAGCATCTACGGCGCCACGAGAGAACCCGTGCGTGCTTTATATGGGAATTGCTTCGTCTGGTCTCATAACCGCTAATTTGGGGTAGATACAAAGGAGAAGCCGCATGCCTGTATATGTGGACGGAGCTTCTCGCGCCAGTTCGTCTATTCTCCCACCATCTTTCATGTAAAGCGGAAACTCACATGAATCAGGGACTTGTTATCACGCCATGTCAAATTGGCCAAGGAGTTGGGGGAGCATGGGCCTCTCGATCCTAATGCCTCCCCCCGAAGGAGGGTAGAGGATAAGACTGAAACTCCCATGCCGGATTTCGATCAAACAGAAGAGTTGAGAGCTGATGATACCAATCAACAAAATGTCTCGACGCCGTCCGGGAGGAATGCGCAGCCCTCGCATTCTGCAGAGCTGGACATGCTATGGGACAGCTTCCAATTACAACACAACCCTTTTGAACTTTCATACTTCCATCCAGAGTTTCCGATGAACTTTCAAGCGTTTGAATTTTCACCTTCACTTAGTATGCCGTCGCTAATCGAGACGGCAACATCGGACAAAGATATGTCCATTAGAACAGAAGAATGTATTTGGCAAGACGATTTGCCGTGCGCTTCTTCACTATTGCTCCAGCCCCCTGTCCAAGATCCAACCATACACCCTCGGCCAATGCTTCCCAATGCAACGGTTGGCACCTTGAGCGAGCAGCACTTGCAATCTTCGGCAAGAAACCCCTGCTACATGTCCCGGGATGCCTATGACTTAGTTGCAGCCAGAGCCCAAGATAGTATTGCGCTTCTCCCATTAGATTTTCAACTTCCTTCGAAGCATACATTCAGCAGATATATTGAAGGCTTCTCAAGCTTCAACTTACATCGACCGTTTCTACATCTCTCAACAAAAAACCTCTCTCATATGCCATTGGAGCTCGTGTTTTCCATTGCAGCAATGGGAGCTCAATATCGATTTGAGGCGGAATCGGCCTTGTCGCTGTACTACGCTGCCAAGAGCCTCATCGATATCAAACTCAGCAAGGTTTGCGCAGCCGTAGTAGAGGCTGCCCATAACTCGACAATACAAGCAAAGCCAACTCATGAAGCCGTTGCTAGCATTATGAACTCAGGGAGGTCTATAAATCAACTGCCGCTGGAAATCGAAACAATCCAGGCCATGATTATCTGCATGTCCCTATGCTCATGGGAATATAAGAATCTATTACCAGATGCCTTCAGTTTGGCAGACCAAATTGCGTTTCATCTGCGTCAAGGAGGATACTTGCACGAAGACAATGTCCTAGCGAATGAAACGTGGGAGCAGTGGATATATCGCGAAGGGCGTCGTAGGACGGTCTTCATTGCATTTATCATTTTCAATCTGCATACAATCTTCTACGAGACTCCGCCGCGGCTGATGGCTCGGGAAATGTGGTCGATAACGATGCCACAGCACGAAAATGTATGGTGGGCATCCACAGAGCGCGAATGGGAAGAAATACGGCGTCGCGAACCGCCACTGTCGAGTACTTTTGGCGATTATTACTTGGAACTGACCGTTCCCAAGGCGTCTCGAAACCCAGAGCATCGCACTTCTGCTTTTGGGGGCCTGGTCTCTGTTCATTGCTTGGTTCAGCAAATCCACCTTACGAGAGAGACGCTTCTCCACATTGATGCCTACGGAGATATTGACAAGGTGCCATTTTCAGAAGACGTCTACATGAAGTTTAGACGAGCCCTTTGCCGCTGGGATGGCAGCTGGTCGCGGAATAGAGAGAATACCGCGCAGCCCATTGCTTATATGGCGCCGCTGGGCTTCAATGCCACAGCAGTGTTCCGCATTGCCTGGATAAGGCTGAGCTTTAACATGGCCGTATGTCGAAACTTTAGCACCAGGGATCCAGCTATAATTGCTGCTGCATTTGCTCAGTCTCCCATGCCTGAACGCTCGCCGCGTTTGTATTCGGCCGTTCTCCAGAGCGCCCATGCGCTCAGTATACCAGTTCGCATCGGAATCAGATATGCATCGAAAACTCAAATCCTGTCCTGGAGCATCATCCACAGCATCGCTAATCTGGAATGCGCGTTATTCTTGAGCAAGTGGCTCGAACGGGCGAGCTTGGAGAGTGAGTTGTTGGAAGCAGAAGAAAAGGTCTTGATCCGCATCATTGCGCGGATATTGAAAGAGACTCCCTTCTTCGAACCTAGTTCAGATGACTACTGCAGCGCAGGGGTGATTAAACACATTGCGTATTCGGTGCTGCGATTATTTACGGAGATGTTTAAGGAGTCGCATTTGTTTGATGCGATTGGAACGTGTATAGAGGCGGTTGACCAGTACGCAGCAACTCTAGAATGTTAATAATGGGATAACAGGGCATGATATTATAGATAGGCATTTTAATACACATTCTCATTCCTGTTTCAAGATTTATGGATAGGATATATGATCGGTCAAACAAGCCGAGATAGAAGAGGAGAGATGAGGATTTATGATACACGCTGGCTCTCGTATCCTTTCAAACCAAGCCAAAAATCGTGCGAAGCGCAGTCCCAAAAGCCCGAACAGCCACTTCTATGCTTTCGGCACTCGCCGCCGCAAATGTGAGGCGGAAGAAGACGTCCTGGAGCGGCAGATCCGGCTCTGCCCTGAACCAGGAGCCCTTTGCGAGGAGAACGCCTCGTTTGAGGCACGCCGCGAATATTTCTTCTTCAATATCGAGCGTGGAGTATATTTTCGCGTTGGGATGGCAGTTGTACTTGATTTTGAGCCAACACTTGTAACATTCATGTTAGCATTTTGGAAACACATTGTCCTGATGGAATCTCATCACTTACAAACATCCCTGCACTTGGAACATCCCAGCTAACAATCAACTTTGGCAGAAACTTGTCAAACGCACTCATCATGACGTCTCTCCTGTCCGTATATCCCGCTTGCAAACGCTGCAGCCAATTCAAAAACCCTGCGTGGCCCCATTTCTCGTCCACCAGCTTATACACAATGGCCTGGGAGAAGCCGCTGGGCCCTTGGCTTGCCGTTTCGCTGTGGCGGATGAATCGCTCAATCATCTGCTCTGAGGCAGTCACCCAGCCCATTCTCGTGCCGGGGGCGAGGACTTTGGAAAATGAGTCGAGGCGCAGGACGCGGCCGTCGGTGTCGATGCTTAGGTATGAGGGTGGCAGAGAGGCGAGAAATTCGCCGATGGAGAGTTTTGGAGGTTGGCCGTTAGAAGTGCGAGCATGTAGCTGGAGGAAGTAGTATGGGTCGTCTTCGAGGATGTATACGTCGTGTTTCTGGCAGACGTCGTATATGGCTCTTCTTCTCGATGCGCTTTGCGTTGATCCTGTTGGGTTTTGACCAGTTGGTACAGTGTACAGCACGTGTGGCTTTCTTGCTCCCATTTTTGATGCATCCCAGTTGGTGAGAATTTTATCCATAGCCCCTGGTATCAGTCCTTCTGAATCCATCTTGATGCCGACTGTTCTAATTCCCAGGGGAATAGCTGTCTCCAACGCAGTAGCGTAGCTGTATTCTTCAGTCATCCACGAATCACCTCTATTCTTGTCGCATAACATCCTCAGCGCTTTGTATAGGCCGTCCGTGCTTCCAGTCGTCAAGCAGGTATCCCAGTCGGCGTAGGGAGGATTGTGAACCAGTTCGACGTGCTCGGTGATCCAACGGATCATTTGTGCCGAGCCTGCCGCCTGGCCGTAGTTCAAAGCAACGGAGAGATCAAATGCTGCGTTTTCTGAAACTATATCGCGTATCCCCATTGTAATTGTTGATTCGTCTTCGAAGAGGATGCTCTGGTTTGAGGTGGGAACTTGAGCACTTATAGAGCGGAAGCCGAAATAGTCTGGAGTTGGTAGACCTCCAGCCAGCGAGATGATGCCCGGTCTTTTGAGGAATCTTGCGGCGACTTTTAGAATGCCAGGGGCGCGTGCTAGGGACTCAGCCGTCAAGTGGCCTGCAGTAATACGTTAGGAAATGCTTGTTGTGGTCAACGCCAATCAGACTTACTGTCCCATCTTCTTGCCGCTGGTTTGTTAGTTGCCTATCACGACACATGTTCCAGTAAGTTATAGGACATATAAAAGGTGTTGAGAAGATTGACTGACTCTTGAACACTGTATTTTAAACATATCCGAGTCAGCATAGGCGGCTGTCGGCGCCACCATCTGGCCAACAGCTTGACGACGGGCATCAATATCAGCAATAGTAGGATCTTTCACAGAACCATCGCTAATACAAATGCCCGAGTGCCACTCCGGACTCGGTGTATCGTCTAACAGTACAAGGTCGCTTGTGCTTGAGGGAGTCATATTGCTGTGAGAAAATTTGTTGATATTCAAAGAGACATCGAAAGGAGTAACAAGGAGAGAAGAAATTCAAAAGCAGAAGGAGAAGAAATTTTCTATCCAGACCTTGGGGCTTCTTGGAGTAAGTATTACCTGATCACTGCCTAATCTTCTCAGCTCCAATGTCAGCTATTCTGGTTCAACTATGAATACTATCTCGCCGATAATCGCCCTGCGAATGCAGCGGCGGCATAATATGGGGCGGGCGTTTGTATGAGTCTGGCTCCAACTTGGGGTAGAAACGAGGCCGTGGGGCAGATTGACTCGAATTGACTCCGATGACATGATGCCAGGCCTGATATGGAGATGAATCTGACTTTGAAATATTACTAAACATGAATGGATATTTCTAATCACAATTTCCTGATTCCATTTCTTCAAAATTTTGTGCTTTTTGACGTGGATGGTGTTTCTTGACTTGCGCGCGCCTTCCACGCGCCTTACGATGACGCAGACTCCATATCAACGGAATGTCCCTACGTTTATATTAACACAAGGAGTATCATCTATTTATGCATACGCGTCATGTCGTATTAATAAATGAGAATTCGACACAATACGATGTAATAAGCAAACCTACTACATTTGTCTGCTTTGTCAACGTTTACGATGATTTCCTTCAAGTTCATAAACAGGCTCAAGGTACAGTGCCAGTATCATGTAAGCACCGTAAATGTAATCGCAACTGACTAATCTCGACAACTACTGAACAATTAATCAACTCACTTTCAAGGGCGTCTCGTCAATTGCCTCGCCGCCATGGACGGCCCCATCTCTCTATCAGAAGCTCCCAAGCGTAAAAATGGCCGTCTGCAATCTTGCGAGCCCTGTCGAAAGCGCAAAGTTGCGTGTGACCACCGCCTTCCGGTGTGTTCGCGATGTCGCCGCGGAGGCGTCGCCGACAAGTGCGTCTATATGACTCAACTTGGCCAGCGGACCCATCCTCATCAAAGCCGCCATGACAGTATTTCAAGGTCGTCCGTGGTCGCTGCAGTGCCGCCTTTGAGGCCGCCGCAGGTTGCCAACGGCAGCTCAACTCCCAAGGCGAACATGTCGGAGAACAACAATGTTGGGTATCTCGGCGCAACGAGCATTACGACCTTTTATGAGGAGGCGCAGAATCGCCTGTCCACGGCATGGAAGCGCGAGCCCGATCCGGAGACGCTGCCGCTGAAGATTGTGGAAGCTTTCCCGCGCTTGGACGAGTTTGCCCTCAGCGCTCTGCGCGCGATCCCCGACATGGCTACTTCCAAGCTCTTGGCGAGGATGTACTCCAGCTTCTACGGAGGCTGGTGTCCGCTGGCAGGGGAGTGGCTGACTGATTCTGTGTGGGCGGCCTATGGTGGGATTTTGGGCCAGGAGCCTCGGGACGAAGAGCAGCTTAGGCGTATATCTGTTAAGCTGTGTAAAAACAGCGCGGTTCCCTTGGGAGATGATAGGAACAAACATGTGGAGGAGTGGTTTGACGAGTTTTCCGGACCGAATCTCCGATGGGAATCTCTTGGGATACTGTTTGTTTTCTGGGCTTATGGTGCTCGCAGACTTCCTGACAAGTCTATTCTCCCAAAGGACTGCATCGACCTGCAGAACAATCACGGGAGCTGTCTTGTAAGCCGGTATAAGACGGCTGCCTGGAAATGTATCGAGCTTAGTCGTGACGCTTCCAATAGCAATACCCTGTTGGCATTTGTTGTCTTTGGACACTGCTTGCTGGAATCGACCGTATCAGGGGATGCAGGCATGCAGTATTGGAGGACGCATGGCGATCTCATGGCGTTGACGACTTACTTGGGCCTCCACGTCTCTCCAAACGCCGATCCCATGGATTGGTCCGTAACGACTCAAATCAAGCGCCGACTATTCGCTGCCATCTTTGCACACGACAAGGTAACATCCACATTCACGGGAAGGCCTATGTTCCTCGGCAGGAATTTCACATCGACGCCGCTGCCTCTTGACATGAGTGATGAATTGCTGTTGTCAAATCCTTCAATAACTAGACGTGAAGACTGTCGCGTTGATGAGAATGGATGGAACATTGATGGAAAGATTTACACGACGACAACTCTCCGCGCAAGGGGCATGCTGGCGTATATAAGAGATGAGATTCTGGAGATTTCTCTGCAGGGCATGGATTTTGGTGGCAAGACGGCACTCGTGTAAGTTCCATCACCTACTGTCTTCCTTCTCTAAGAGCTTCTGTTAAGACCGTCAAACAACCGAACAGCAACCTGAAACGACGAGAAATGCAAATCGTCGCTAGCTTCCCATCTTGTCTAATCTACCAAGCCGAAGACATCAACAATTTCGAAATCCCCGGAAGAGAACTCTACGGCAAACTCCTCGTCTGGCTAGAACACCTCCAGAACCTCTTCTTCATCGAGCGCCTCCTCAGCAAAGAAGACGGCGCAAGCGAAGCAAACGAAACACGACTTTTCGAAATCAGCATCGAGATGGTGACGCTCGCGCATCTCTTCTGGACGCATCAGAACCGTCTCAAAACGGCTCAAGACTGCGTTGAGTGGAACGTGGTTTCGTACGCTGCACCAGCGGGTGGAGTTCTCTGTATGGAGCTATTGAAAGGCACAACGCGCGGCACTATGAGTCCGGTCGCTACAAAGGCCGTCATTGTCGAGAAGCTGGGAATGCTGGCTTCGTTCCTAGACTGGGTTGGGCCTACGTCGCCGAACGCGGATATCTGCTATAGAGTGAAGAAGGTTGTGCGGCGGGTGCTGGAGCAGGCGCTGGAGGCACCTGTGCAGACGAATATGCTGGATGAGGGAGGGCATTGGAATATGGATGTTTCGGCTGACTTTAGCACGTTTTTTAATTTCGATTTGTTGGATACGTTTGAGTGGCTAAGGCCAGAGGGAGCGTGAGCGAGCAATCTTCACCGATCTTGTTTTATACTGCACTGGCTATTCGTTGGTCGACACATTACCCTGATTCTAGTTTCACTACCAAAGTATTCAAGCAACCAAGATCCTTGCGTAGACCTAGAATACTAGACACATACAAGTAATATTTAACACGCTTCATTTGAGAACGATATATTAACTTATAATAACGCTACTACTCGTGTGCGAGGTAACACTTCAATCGTCCAGTGATTACTTGTCACTTTCCTCAATACGCGCAAACTGTTCCTGAGTATGGGACCAGACCTCTTCCATAACCCCGTTGGTTCTCAACTCTGCGAGTTTCTGCATAACTTCGGAGGAGGCATTTTCGCAATCCTCTCGGATAGAGTAAACGCCTCCTCCAGCTCCGCCAAATCCCACCGCCACTTCAACACCATCTCCCAAAGGGATTCCCGCATATTCGCTTTTCAGAGGCGAGTATTTCGAACTTGTAGCCAAGTACAAGTGCCTTTCGCCACACTCTTCCAAAGGTATAAACGTCATCGTCTTCAACGTCTCCTCAGGTACATCCTTGAGGAGCGATGTTTTAACTGTGCCGGGGTAACCATGCACGATGCTGACCTCCGGAGAAGATCTTGCCACAGCTTGTAAACCAAGAGTAACCAATGTCGATAGATGCTCGCGAAGATTCCCCATTGGCACGTTAAGGGCTTGAAAGTCTGTCGTATCCAGATTGCCTTCATGGCCTCCTCCTCCTACAGAGACTATTCGTCGAAGGAACGGGGCTTGCTCCAGAAGCGGCATGAGGTTTTGAATGATTCGGATGCGAGAATAATAGTTCAGCGCGGCGAGAAGATGCAGGCCCTCGGAAGTAACTTATTCTCACCCGTTAGTTCAATTGGACAAACATGGGGCATAGACGCAGTTCTCACCACTTCGGCTGAAATCATATACACCTTGACTCATAACGAGCAAATTGATGAAGGTTTCCTCCTTCTTAATCTCATTGCAGAGGTCATCAGCCCCACGGATCAAGCTCGCATTGGATTTGCAAAAGATGTATTGTCCTGAGGGGTTGATGCGCTTGCATTCCGCCAAGACGCGATCGCCTGCGTCTCGAGAACGACCGGCGATGTAGATGCGAGGACTTTTGGCATATTTGGCTAGGCATTTGGCGGTCTCTTCGCCAATTCCGCTTGTGCCTCCGACAAAAACGGCTACAAGCTTTTCGGGAAAGGTAGAAGAGATTAAGGAGTTTGAGGCCCGAACTTGCGAAAGGGAAACCATTGTGAAAGCAAATTAGACAAACAAAACTATAGCAATTTTATACTTAGAAGGCTCATATTGTTTAGAAAAAGCCATTTTGATCGAGCTCCCGGGGGCGCTTTTATATCTAGAGATGAGTGTTTGTCAACCTAGCTGTCTTGACTATGGTTGTGGTTACAGGTTGGAATGGCTGACTCTGACCAGTTTAAACAATCGCCGAACCCCCCACTAAGAAACGCCGACCGTGCATGATTAGCTTCCCTCAATCATCAACACTACTTTACCGTTCATCTCCTTTCCTTCGTCGTCTTCATCATCATCGTTATCAGTACTAAGAACGCTAAAGTAACATCATGGATTTGTCAGTAAATCAAGAACATGCGGCATCGGCATCATTAGCAGAAACCCCGAACAGCACAAACAGGCAGAGGCAGGGGCCAAGCATTCGCTCGTCATGCGATCGCTGCCATAGACAAAAACTCCGATGCAGGCGGAATGCCGAATCCGATACCTGCGACCGGTGTCAGCGTCTGAAAGTGCCGTGCCAATACAGCCGCCGGGGCTCTAAACCTTCTTCGACGGTGTACAGAGCAGTGAGCGTTCCTCGCGAACTAGCCAGTCAAGGCCGAGTTACTTCATTGACTGAAGAAATTGGTTCCATACCGCTGCCGGCTTTACGAAACTTCAACTCGGAAGAAATGACTCGGTTGTCTCCTTGCGTATCAGATACTCTCTATTCCAACAGTAGCTTTCAAGATTTCTCTTGGTCGGGAATACTTCCCGCTACTACCGAAAGCTCCGATGATTTGGATACTTTCATTAACAACTGGGATGACTTTCCGCTCTCTCGCGACTCAAGTTATGGGTTCCCCTTGGTTGAGAATAGCATCAATGTGCGCTTGCGAAAACAGGATTTAGATCCAAGAGATGACTTTGAAATACGATGTCGTGCTTCTAGAAGACTTGCAACGCTGAGTGTCGCGCTGTATGAGTCTGTGATGCCATTTCCCACATTGGAAAAGATTCGTGTGGCCGCAGAAAAAGCGACAACAGTCGAGAATAAAACGAGGAAAACAGTCAAGCTCATTTTCGACCAGCTCTTTGAGCACACCAAAGACTTCAATCATGTCATACAAAGCTTGTCCTCGTCCCCAGGGCAAGAGGGTCAAACCACCTTATATCCAGACGAGGCACTCGTTTCTCTCATATTCTCATGCCACTGCCAGTTGGCCGAAGCATACACAAGTCTTTTGAATATGATACGGGCTTGTCTGGAGCACTCTATTGCTCCGCCAACAAACACAAATTGGGCCGTTATCCTGCCAAAGCTTCAAGTGGGTTCAGTGGCTCTTCCAAGCCTACAAGTCGATAATAAGAATCCGGTATCTTCAAAGGCTACTTCACACATGTACATGACTTCGATAACAACTGTCACGGCGCTGCTATGGACGCAGATGATGAGCGCGGTCAAAGCTGTGACTATGAATCAGGAGGACACTTTAAGCAGATATGGATCTACAGCAGCGGTGATGTGGGATGCAATGTCTCGGAGAACTAACGAAGTGGTTCGTAGAATTGAACTTGTAAGTTCTTTGTTGTAGTTGATTGGATGCCATACTAGGATTAATCGCATAGACGATAAAGTAATTGCCCTTTACATCAATTTGTCTTTTTTTTCTTAAACTTTCCTCTTACTATATATAACACCTTGATATAGCTGCTAAGCCAAAGTCTGATAAAACTCTCTAACTTGACGTTTCGTAAAATGAACCCGCCATACGGTCTTGGGATAAAAGTCTGCGACCACCCTACAGCATCCCCGCCAAAAGACCAAAATTGAAGCGGCAATAATTACCCCGTACGCGGGGTAATTGGCTACCTAGTACACAAAGACTTCAATTGCATTCTTATTGCTCCTTTAGGAGGCCTCACCTATCTGTAAATAGCTTAAAGGTCAAAGCATGAAACTTGTCTTTAAGTTCATTCTATAGACCTCAAGCCCACCACTCTCACAATATGGCCTCCGAAAGCGACGTTCTGGTTTTTGATAATCTTGGCAAAGAGGGCAAGATTTGGTCGCATCATGTACTCCGGGTTTTATTCTCGCTCCATTATAAGGGAATTCCCTATTCACTCAAAGGAGTCGAGTATCCCGACATCATCTCAACATTTGCGCCGACGAGTCTGGAACCGAAAGATGACCCTATAGAGCCATACGAAATACCGGTGCTCAAGCTCCAGACATCAACTGGCTCTGTGCGCTACGAAATGAACATTTCGAAAATAATCCAAGCCTTGGAAGAGCTGAAACCTGAACCATCTCTCCGGTTTGATACGCCGCGAAGTGTCGAATACAGGACTCGTTTCGGACCAGCTTTTGCGCCGATTCTTCAACTCGCCGTTGGACACGTGCCTCGAATATTATCAGAGCGCAGCACAGTAGCGTTTTGCGAAAAGCGAAAACTGCGATGGGGCAAATCGGTAGAGCAGTGGGTTGAGGAGCATCCTATACAAGAAGGCCTGGCGATCGCAGAGCCTCGACTCAGAGAGCTGGGCGATTGGCTTGATGCAGTTCCCGGGCCATTTATCGATGGTGATAGCCCTGGTTATGCGGACTTCACCATTACAAGCTTATTGGTGTTTGTGAAAGCAGTTGGCTTGTCAGACGTTTTCGAAGCGGTGCTGGGCTTCCATCCTGCGATTCGGGGACTGTATGACGCCGTTGGGTTGACTCAAAGAGGTAATGTTTGGTGTCAGTACCTGTTTGAAGATGGTGAATAGAATACGCAGGCCTTGCATGTACAGCACTGAGGTTGTTGGTGATATAAAAGTAGCTGTCTCCTACGTTGAGATCAACCGAATGGCGGAGAAAGAATGTATACATGTACGCTGCAAGTTAACGATTTATTGGTTACCCTGAGATTATGGCGATGAGCTCAGTTAATTCCCCAATTTCTTACTTCAATCATCTTTCTGAGCCGAAGTAAATGGAAATAAATCCCACGCATTCTGATTCTGAATATCTCAAAGCTGTATATCCTACTCGAAGCTGAGTAGCTGTAGAAGAGTTTGGCATCTTCAACGGAGACTTTCTTACAGAAGCATAGGTAGCTAGACTGACGGTGGCCGAGGCAATATATGAGGTGTTGCGTACAATGCGGAAAAGCGCCAAACTGCAGACCGCTTTTCATTCTTCTAAAGCCGAGTGCAAATACTACAGACACTCTCCAAAAACAGCCTCAAGGAAATAACACCGGCATTATAATAGGTCCCTCCAGCTGTTTGAACATCTCCAGAAACTCACCCAAGCACCAGCTCAGCACACTACATACAGCCCACCAGCCTAAACCTCGGCTATCCACCCGCCTTATTCCGTCATCATCGCCGCCACAGCCATTTCCTCATCTCCAGCTTCATCTTTTCAAACCTCCCAACTCTTCCACAACAACTGAAACAACACCACTAAAACAAAACAAAAATGCCTCCTCTCCGCCCCCTCAAGATCAACAACCTTCGCCTCTCTTTCTCCCACCGCCTCTCATCAACCTTCACCTCCCGCCCCGCGCCGCCCAAACTCCCCGCCGCCCAACAAGCCGAATTCGAGCGCCTCCAACGCGCCGCCGCAGTCTCCTCCGCCTTCCAAGACATCCAATCTCAGACTCAAACGCAAACTCCTCCGTCGACGGAATCTCCCCGCCACGCAACAAACGTCGCCGCTACCACTACAAAGAACAGCAGCGACGGCGAAAGCTCGCTGAACCAGGGCCTGTTCCGCGGCGCGCCGCCAGAATTCGAGGGCGACAAGAATCCCAAGACGGGCGAGATTGGGGGCCCGAAGAATGAGCCTTTGCGGTGGGGTGGGGATGGCGACTGGAGCTATAATGGCAGGGTGACTGATTTCTAAAAAAAAAAAAAAATAACAACGAAGAATCGAAGAAAAAGGATGGAAAAGGCAATTGGAAGAAAGGTTTGAAAGAGTGTACGATATGACAAAGTCGAGTTATATGGATTGATTGCTACAGACTATTCCTGCAGCTGAACGAAAACAACCATCTCACGACATATAATCGAGGAACCAACACAACCAGAGAGAGAGAAAGCATTAAAGCATCATAATCATGAGGGAAAAAGAGATTCAACGTCGCCCAGCGCGACTTGGATTTGTACACTATATCAACTACATAGACCTGAAATGCAATGAATCATGTACCATTACTATAGCTACATACACATGTATACATATCATGATGAGTAGAGAGAAGAAGAAATATTCCTCCATGTCGCAAAAGAAAATGAAAGAAATGACCTTTTTTTTTTTACACTCCCACAGCCCTTCTTTGAAAACACAGAAATCGTCAAGCAAATTTTTGCCCATCCCGCTAATTTTTTGTCTTGCCCTTCCGTCCATAAATACACAAAAGCTCCCCGTGAGCTTTTTTCCCTTCTTCCCTTGAAAGATTTCCTTTCCTATGCAGAGCAACAAAAAGCCTTCGTTAAATGGTCGTAAAATCAACGTGAAAAAAAAGAGAAAAAAAAGAAAAGAGGTAATTAAAAAACAGTAAATGGTTGAGCGGAATGAAAAGGGAAACAGGGATGAGCAAGCTACTTTTCTTCGACAGCAGCCACCTTTTCTTCATTTCCCATGTCCCCCATCTCAACGTCCTTGTCTTGGTCGTGTCCCTCAGACTGGGCTTCGATCATCTTCTCATCGGGTTGGTTCTCCTTGTCGCCTTCGCTGTGTCGGCGCTTAGCGTCCAGAGAATCGTCTGTGGGGTTTCTATTCACCCAGTTGCCAGAGATCTCGCTGCCTAGGCTGGGCTTAGCATCCAGGCTTTTGGTCATTCCTGTGATCATTATATAATTGACCGCCTGCTCTCTCATGCGCTCTCGTCGGCCCTTTCCGCGCAGTCGAGCTTGGGGCTGAGCTCCATTCTGTACCCAGCGGATGCTTTTGACCATGTAGCTTAGCCCATCATGAACAGCGTGTCGAGATCCGTATTCGCCGCCAAATTCTCGGCTTGTGATACCATAGCGTGTAGAGGCGCTGTATTTGACCAGTCGAGGTAATATCAAAACAGTAACGTGTAGGTCGCGCTCGGTAGGGACGGCCATTGGACCAGCGACGGGAGGCGTGGAGATGAGCCCTTCGGATGTGGCATTCGTGGGCTCGCTTTCTTGGTTCTTAGTTTTTCGGCGCTTTGTCTCTCCATTCGCACCTTGATCCAAGTCCAGCAGAGACGTGTCGACGTCCTCGGTCCATTCTCCCTTGATCCATCCTCCGTGAATGCATGCTGCCACCACATCTGAGTCGTCAGTATAGACATCTGTTCCCCATAAAAACGCTCGTGATGTAATCTCCTCTCGAGCAATCGAAGACAGGTGGATGCGCGAGACTTTGACGGTCAAAGTGCAATTTTCTTTGCCCTTTATGAGATCGTACGGCAGCGGTTTCGGGTTCGACGAGAAGCCCCGGTGGGTGGGGGTATGCGGGAGCAGCCGTCCGGCTTTCAGTTCGGGCTCATACATGAAATCGCCCAGGTGGTGGCGGGGTTGGCGAGCCACCTGCTCCAGCACAGCTTTCGATGACACAATCGTTCGCGGTTTTGGTGGGAGTGGCGCTGGAGGACTCTGAGCGGCCTTTGGAGCCTGGGCTGGCTGCGTTGTTCTCGCGGCATGATGGTGGTGATGGTGGTGATGATGGGGCGCTACAGCCGGCGCCTTCTCCGTCGGTGAAGTAGTCGGAGTGACGCCTTTAAAGTTCTTGAATGTGGTGATTCCAACAGTCGGAGAGGCCGCTCCTTCGGGCGCGTGGTGGTGATGATGGTGGTGGCTATCAAAAGGTTAGCCAAACGTTTGCGATCAAAGAGTTCAAGGACAATAAAGAGGAAGGAAAACTTGAGCAGGGATAACCAAACGGAAACTTACTGGTGGTGGTGATGCGCATGTCCCCTAATGCGCTTCGCGCCACGCCCCACTGGCGTCAATCTGCCCGAGCTTTCGTCGTCACGACTCTCTTCTGTATTCAACTTGCGCCGTCTGCCCCTACCCTTGGTCGCGCCATCTGGGCCCGCGTCTGGTGCTGGATTTTCAGAGTCTTCTCGCTTGGCCAGCGCAGCATTAATGTACTGGGCCATTGGTGCAGACGTAACAGGGCTTGAGATGCCGCCCATGCTGCCCACACCGCTGCCTATGCCCGCAAACATGCGGCCAAACTCACTCTTAATGCCTGGCTCTGCAGCAGGTCCCGGCTGCTGAGGCTGCGCGCCTTGAACTGCTTGTGGGAGCGGGGAGACGCGCCCTTTACGGTTAATCTCTTGGATGGCGAGCAGATTGCGTTGGTGGATTCCAGATCCTCCCGACGGGTCGTCAACATTTCTGTTTCGTAAGGGATCGAACTGATGGTGGCCATGGCCGCCAGCAACACCAAAGGGCGCGGACGAATGAGGCGGGGGCGCTTCATCGAGAGGTCGCGGTCTAGGTGGCTGTTGTTGCTGCTGCTGTTGGGAGTGGTGAAGCTCCATTCGCGCGCGGTCTGGAGACTCGTGTGGCTGAGGCGGGCCGGCAACACCAGACGAGCTGGGGGGGTAGGCTGGATGTGGCGCTGGAGGGAATCTCTCGGGAGGCGCTGTCGGGTATGCTGAAGGATTATGAGGTGCATATGGTCCAGAGGCGGGAGGATAGTCTGGGTGAGCACGTTGATGCTCCAGTGTTGCGGCTCTGTAGTTGACTTCGGGTTCGGGTCGTCCCCAGCGAGGGTCCCGAGGATCGCGTCGGTCGAGCAGTTCGGCAGGGGGTGGGCCGTAGGGGGCAGATTGATGTACCGGGGGTTCGCGATGCGCCTGATCATGTGGCGGCGGAGGTGGTCGATTGGGATCGCCTCCGGAGTACGCGCGCTCCCTGCCTTCTCGCTCCCGCTGTTGCTGTTGCTCCAATCCAATCGTAGCTGCCCTTTCGCGCTCGGCCCTGTAGCGATCGTCGTAGGGATAAGGTCTCAGGCCGGTCCTATCGCCGTATTCCATACCTGGTACGGGCCGCATGCCTTCCTCCCGGCGGCCATACGCATCTTCTGGCCCTGGCGCCCTCCCGATGTCCATCTGCCGTGGCGGCATGGCTCCGTACGGTCTTGGTTGCGCAGCATTTTGACCAGGAGGTGGCCCTGTCGGTATCCTCGCTTGTTCTCTCGAAGGGTCGACCGAGCTTGATGGGTGCCGCGAGTGGTATGGCTGTTGTGGCTGCAGCGGCTGCTGCTGCTGCTGCTGCTGCTGCTGTTGCTGTGGTGTGCCATATCGTTGGACTTCTGGGGGCGTAGCGTATTGGCCTCGGGGAGAAGGCGCAGCACCGACTCGGGGATCGACACGAGGATCGTATGGTCGCTGAAGCTCGGGGGTTTGAGGACGTCGGAAGGGGGGGTATTCGGAGGATGCAGAGTGCATTCGAGGTGAGGCTTGGATAGCTGATGCGAAGCCAGGACCAGAGGTCGAGGCCGACGTGGGAGCCGAGTGCGAAGAGTAGTGCTGCGCCGATGAAGCTGGAGGCTGGGCATCTCGCGAGGCCGGAGGAGGGCCGCCGAGCATGGACGAAATCGACATGGAGCTCCCGCCATTAGACACGGAGCCAGACCGCGCGATGGAGCTCAAGGCGGGCAGCTCACGGCCAGAGGGAAAAGCGCTTGGCGGCCCGACAGCGACTGGCGGAGGCCGGGGCGGAGGCGGTGCGTATCCCATGACGTGTGGCTGCTGATGCTGATGCTGATGCTGGTGCTGGTGCTGATGCTGGTGTTGATGCTGCGAATGTGGCCCCGGCTGCTGGGGAGGCGACGAGGGCGGCGGCATGTTGATGTTGCGACTGAGCTCGCGGGCGGTGGGCAGCGACGAAGCGCTCTGGGCGCGCGAATGGCTGGGCTCTGCAGGATAGTCGCGGACGGCGTGCGAAGGGCGGTGGTAGGGCGCGTCGGAGATGCGTCGCTGATGCGCGGCATAGGCTGGGCTGGGGATACGATGCGAGGCTGCGGCCGCGGGAGGCGCCGGTGCGTGCGTCGACGGAGGGAACTGCGGTCGCGATGCCGAAGCGCTGTGGTTGTGGTGATGGTTGGGGTAAAGTGCTGGCGACCGTCTTGGATCCATAGTGCCGAAGTTTTGGCTGCTAGCTCGAAAAGTGCGACCCGGGCGTGCGGAGCGATCCAGCGGCGATCAATCACAGTCACCTGAGACTGTGCGAGCCAAGCCCTGTCTGTGCAAAGGAAATGCGAGGCGAGAAGCACAAGAGAGGCGACGATGATTGTGCAGAGTCGGGCCTGGAGGCGGGTCTGGTCGTGCCGCCGAAGAGCTGCAGAAGGTCGCCCGTGGACATGCACCCGGCAGCCACCGTGGTTGGCAGGCGTCAAACCGAAAGTTTTTTCCTGTCGCAAGGCCGGAGCTAAAGCAGTGCGAAAAAAAAAAAAAGCTGCTCCCTGCGTCACGATGGAAATGCGAAATGTTATGGATGGAATGGTAAGAAAAAAAAAGTTGCGGGCCAGCCACTGACAGCACGAGATCGCCAGGCGCTAGAAACGTTCAGCTCAGCGCCAAGCTCCCCCTTTGTTTCGCCCGAGCAGCCGCAATTCAGCTTTAAAAAAAGAAACGGCGGTTGACGGCGGCAGAGCCAAGTCCACTTTTACTGGCACAAGGGAAAAAAAGAAGTTGTCATGGAAGAAAGAGGCCCGAGGCTGGAGGGAGAAAAGCCAGATGACACGGCAGCAACCGAATGGGCCAGTCAGCCGTGCAAGCAGGGATGGCGGGTTGCTCCCCTGTTCGAGCTTCACTGGAGTTGGGCGCGAGCGTGACGAGATGCGCGAAACGTGTGAGGGACCCCTTGGAGGAGCCTGTGGGGGGCCACTGCTGCTAGCAAAAGCGTGGTTGTGGTGCCAGTCTCAGGTACCTCTTTGCGTGCGTATGGCACTCGCGTGTCCTCTGTTCTGTTTGCGCTTTTGTCGCTGGTGAGCAGCGATGGTGACTGCTCTGAGTCCGTATGTATGAAAGGCGCCAGGAGAGAAGAGAGAGGCGATTGATGGGACGTGAGATGATTGGTGGCAATGGTTATTGTCGACGTCTTGTGTGCATCGTGCTCGCATCGAATGGCTAGGAGCTCGGACTTTTCTCGCTCGCTTGCGGGTCTATCGTTCAGAGGGAGGGATTGTGCGGCTGTTGTGATTCGGCGATTATGGCGGTGGAATCAAGTCTGTGGATGTCAATAAAGATCGCAGCTGGTTTCCAGATTCTCGTCGCCCTCGAAATCTGGCGATGCGAGCTGTTGCAAGAGACAGACCTGCTGTGGCGGCATCAGAGTCGAGGGCAGAGAATTGGCTTGGAGCTAGTGGGCGCGGATCCCGGGGCAGGTTTTTGCTTGGCGCCAACGCAGGAGCTTTATGCGGGGAAGCTCCCACAAGTGGCTGCGTGTAGCGCAAGGAGTGCCTGGGCAACGCCTGGAGCATGATGTATAAAACAGAGCTACCTCCGGAAAACGATACAGCAGCCATGGCTATCATTTCAGGTCAAAACTACATTGATTGAGCATCAACTCATGAATCATATTGATTGCGGCAAATGAAGCAAAAAAAAAAAATATATATATACTGCCTGTGCACACCACAAGAGCTCATGTTGCCTTATGGGGTTGCATGCTGTGGTACTACACCTCCCTCTCTCCTGGATGGTTGTGAAAATGGCTCATTAGCCCGGAGTCAATTGAAGCTCAGACAGACAACAAAAATCAACACGGCACATGGCCAGAAGTGTGAATTACGAGCAGTAGCATGATCTGCGCTCTCCCAATCTCCACGTTGTTGCGCCACATCTGAGACAAGATTTGAGGCTGACGGTTCATCGCCTTGGGAGAGATACTCCTGGTAGTAAATGCATCTGCACGCCGCCATCTCGACTTGTCATAGAGCCAAGCGGGAAAAAGAACAATACAAAGTGAAATGAAACGCATCCATGCAATGTGACTGCCTCTTTTCATACTTGTACAAGGACGACATCTTGCTGAGCAAAAGAGTCGCGTCGTCAGGTATGGCCACATGCTGCCAAAACAAATAAACGCCTGCTGCAAACAAAACCAAAACCACCACCCACTCAGCAGCCAGCCCCCCTTCAGGAACCAGGCCAGGGCCCCCTGGTCGCATCACCATCACAACCCGTCGATGCGCTGGACGAAGCTAAGGCAGATATCATGCACGCATTATAACCGACTCAGAGGCCATTCTCAGTGGCTCGCCAGGCAGCCCGCATGCAGCTGGACCCTTCACCGCTGGACCAGACGCCCGATTCGGGGCAATGCCGCCGGCAAGTGACGGCCAACGGCGCTGATTCCATCCCATCGTTTTGCTCCCGTTGTCTTTCTTCTTTTTGTGGTCAGACGGCAATGAATGCATGCACGTATGCGCAAACGCCTTGTTTCCGTGCTCGTCTTTCAAGTCTTTACCCGGTGACATGCCGAAGAGTTTACGAACCCCTCGCTTGGCTACCTAGACATGGCTGGCCCCCGCAGAAAATCAAGATTTTTCACGCAAAAAGAAACTCTAAATTGAAGAGAGAAGAGCACGAGAGAGGAATATCAAGGGTCACAGGGCACGTGTAACACAATCAAAAACTCTCCATCCTAGCAATCCCACCAAATGTGGACTGGTGGTGGGGAAAACAGCCCCCTCGAAAAAAAGAAGGAAAAAAAAAAAGAAAAAGAGGAAAGAAAAGATTGGGCAGAATCGGCAATGAATCTTCTGGCGGTGAAAGAACGCGCACCGAATCAAATCGACGCATCACAGGCTGCCTGCATGTCGCGTAGATGCACCACCTCATGCGAGTCGGCGGAGCACGCAATTTACGGCAAAGGCGAAATGCACATGCAAAGTCTTGATGCTAGGAGCAAGCAAGCAAGCAAGCAAGCAAATCTCTTGTTGGCGTCACGGCGCCTGCATGCATGTAGGCACATGAAAGCTGCATCCGTGTGGACGCGTTGGGCTGCCATTTCTCCTCATCGTTGCGTCGACTGCTCCACACGGCCATGGCACGGCAACTGTGACACCAGCATCGAGTCTGTCTCTTGATATGGGCCAGATATGGGCCAGATATGGACCAGTCAGTGTGGGGGTTCTGCGTTGAGCGTTGATGGCGGCAGCAAGTGTCTCGGACGCCCGACGAGCCGCTGCAGAACTCGTGTGCCTTGCGTTGAACGTGAGAGCATCGCCAGAACTTGGCATGTCTTGATGTACGATGTCACCAGCCATTTCTCGCAGCACGGAAGCATTGCTAGCAAACACCATCTGCACGTCTTGCCTCGGAATTGTAGGTAGTCATGATTACAATGAGGAAATTCGTGTGCCAACTGATATAGCTTGGTAGCTACTGAGGTGAGTTAAATAGCAGCATATCTCGACCAGTTGGTTCATCATGTTCTTCTCGGCATATGTACAGAACAGGACACTTGCACCTTTCATGGCCTGTTCACGATCTCAGCGTTACACTTGCACGTCGTCAGTGCATTTGCCGATACTCTCATTCTCCAGTTCCTGCTTATAAAATTTGGGTGCAATGGCGCTCAGCTATTCCACGTTTTCAAATCATATTATCTAGCTAGTTCTGGGCAGTAGATTGAAGCCGTATCATGCCATTGACCATCTACACAGAATAATGTCATGTCTCACGGTGGCACTGCACGTTTGCCCCCTCGGAGCTGCTGTAGAAGCAAGCATGCGGCTCGCCGTTTTTGACCTGTATGTGCCCATCAGTGCAACTTTCAGATTTACCTAGCCGGAAGAATGTTTGCCTGTGGTATCAAGATACGAACTTTCTTGTATTTGCACAGATATCAGCGTGTGGCCCCATTTTCTAACGAAAGGGGTTGATTTGAACTGCTCTTCACTTTGATCATGTCTTTATAGATCACTCTTCTAGCACAACTCGTTATTTTAGCTACCCATCTCCCAGACTCTCGAGGTATTATACACTTTGAGGGTCAGACTCAAGCACAACAAGCTTTATGTTTCTTTCAGTCAATTGGTCGTAACTTAAACCGGTAGATTATCTACTAGTTTTGTCTGTTAGTGTTTTTTTTTCTGTATCAGGGATATTATTGACCATAGAGAGGCGATGTAGTTTCTTAAACCAGGGTCAAGAATCTCGCTTCTATGCTGAAGCTTTGCTCCACTTATCGACTCTGTGCCTGTACATTGAAACCCGACCATATAACTCCAAACTCGGCATGAATAGACACATGTGAGACGAAGTGTGGAAATGAAAGCCGGCAGTGCATCGTGAACAACTCACATACGCCTGGAATGCGCCCAGCTCACCGCGCAGCAACGATGGGAATGCCCTCTCCGTACAAAGCTTGGCAGGCTGCAAACACCTTGCATAGTGGCGCATCGCCATCTGCAGGGCTTCATGAATGTTTGTGAGGTACATGCGCCACCATTGGCGAAGTTCCGAGACACCTCGTCATACTCAGACGCTGCACCAAGCGCTGCGATAAGAAATGAAGTGAGGGGTTTGGCTCATTTATGGCAAGATATGGGCTCTGTTCACAAGATTGCAGCTCCGTTCGCAAGATTAAATTACAAATTCAAGCATCTTAATATCTGAACACGCAGTCGCACAATTGGAAGTCCAAGTTTGAATCAACACTTGTTTCGTCGCATATATAGCCACCTTCCTCTGCCCTTAACAAAGCCGAAGATGAGAGCTACTCTTCTATAACACACTCTTTGTTCTTCAGCCAAATCATCCGCAATTATGCCTTACCCCACTGTCCGAGTCGCCGCCACCCAAGCTGAGCCCGTCTGGTTCGATCTTCAAGGAGCTGTGGATAAGACTTGTAAGCTCATAGAACAAGCGGCCTCGAACAAAGCCGATCTTGTTGGGTTTCCCGAAGTCTGGATCCCGGGCTATCCATGCTGGATTTGGTAAGTCAATCCGGAAAGAACATCTAATATACTCAATCTTTCAGTAAACCTAATTCTGTTTGATGTTGTAACTTAGGTGTCGAAATATCGATTTTGATCTAAATGTGCAGTACATCAAAAACTCTCTTCGCCTGTACTCTCCGGAAATGCAAAGAATCCAGGATTGCGCCCGTGAACACAATATCGCAGTCTCGTTGGGATTCTCAGAGAATTGCAATGGCTCGCTCTACATCGCTCAAGCTCTAATCGGACCCGACGGAGAGATTAAAGTCCACCGTCGCAAGATGAAGGGGACTCACATGGAACGTACAATTTTTGGTGACGGCTCTAGTCACGCTTTACAAAACGTGGAAGAGCTCCCGTTTGCCCGTGTGGGCTCGCTGAATTGCTGGGAACATTTACAGCCCCTCCTCAAGTACAATGCCATCACGCAGAACGGAGACATTCATGTTGCGGCTTGGCCTCCGCTGTCTAACAATGTTGTTGGAGATTTAGGCGCTTACTCTATGACTGCAGAAGGTACGTATCAGCTTTTTCTTGAGATTTTGTGTGCTCAACTTTGCTGAATCTTACCTTGAAGGGGCTCAAACACTCTCGCGTACTTATGCCATGGAGTCTGGGACATTTGTGCTGCACTGTACTCAAGTGATTACTGAAAAGGGCATCAAGGCCATGAACACAGGTGGACAAGCTATCATGTCAACCCCAGGAGGTGGCTTCACGACTATTTATGGCCCGGACGGTCGAGTTATTACAGAGGCCCTCCCCGAGGATGAAGAAGGTATTATTTACGCTGAGCTGGACATGGACGAGCTGGTTCGGACCAAAATGTTTGTCGATTCTACGGGACACTTTAGCCGCCCAGATGTCCTCTGGTTGGGTGTCTCACCTGAGATTCCGACTGTCGTCAGACCACAGCGGGTGGGAATTGCTAGTGAACGAGTTGACTGGTGAATAATGGGGGGTTGGATTGAGAGCATAAGGTATAGCGCTCCTCAACAAAGCGATCTGGGATTACCGGAGTACATGACTTTACGAGATGATGGATAATAGGAACGATGGGAAGATTGAACAACGCATGGGAAATAATTTGATACGAACAAGATACAAACATCTTTAATAGAACGCGATTAAGACTTGCCTAAGAATTAGTACTGATATATCAATGAACACTAGCAATCTACAACTCAAACATTTCTTAAACACACTCAGACAACGAGCTATATCACCTGGTGTTCTATTAATAGACGCAGATGCTAGCCAACGCTGTTGCGATACAATTTCGCTTATGCGGCCGGCTGTGCCGAGAGACAGAATGACAGGACAAATGACGTGCACCCATCAAGAGCATCAGTCAGCACGTTATCGGAATGATACACGTATACTGCCTCACGATAATTTCTGTCGAGTTGTGTCAACTTGACACTCTATAAATCATGTTTCGCAAATACGGGTCAATATGGATTAACTTGAGTAGAAATATCTCCGCCTGGAACCTTGACGTATCAGAGTTATGGGTTAATTCTTTCGTAAACCAGGTTGGGAATCTTGAAAAATCGGCCAAACACCACAAACCTCTGCGCCCGACCGTCGGCAAAAAGTCTAGCCCGATGTAGTCTGATGACATACATGTTAGATGTCTCAATAAGACAAGATCGATCATTGATGAGAACAAGATGACATTCAAGAAACAAGGCGAATGAAGACGGTGCTTAGTAGAGCTACCTATCTGACTAAGGTGTGGCGTGTGACTCTGGTGAATGAAGCAGAGAGCTTCATCTTCTTAAAAGCGTCATTTGCACACGCTAACCTTCCGCTACGGGCGAATAATCCTCCCGAATACAGCTATTCCTGTCTGTCGGCCTGTTATGCCCCCCGGAAGTAGGTTGCATCTCGCCGCTATAGAAGCTCACCAGGCTGTTATCTACTTGACGTGTAGCTGGTGAATTATGTTATTAAACGCCAAGCCGCCTTCTTGCTTTCATATCATGATTACACTGTCATCAAGTCATCTAATTATCTTTCGAAAAATAATAATACCATATTCTTAAACCAATCATCACGATGCGACGTTACGGGGTTACGCTACCGGCGCTTCTCTTGACATTCGGTGAGCGACTGCAGAGTAGTGGTGTATCCGCTGTAGGCTGAATCGCATAACTGACAATTCCCAGCATCAAGTCTAGCTCTTGCACAAGAAATTGACAACCACGTTGAGCGCAGAAAATTTCATTTAAACGATCCAGGCCCCGAGAACTTCAAAATATGGAACCGAGAACGAAATGCACACGCTTGCATCATGTCCATCGTCTTCATTGTGCTCTATCCCCTCGGTGCAATCTCTCTCCACCTCCCTATCCTGCATATCCCGTATCTGAAGAACACATATCTTCAAAACAAAGTCATGGCGATGCACGTTCCAATCCAGCTGATAGGATTCGTCATGATGATTGGAGGTTTTGGCCTTGGCATCAAGATTGCTTCACGCGTTGGCTATCTTAGCCATCCAGTGCGCGCCCACGTCGTCATTGGATTCGTTGTCGTTTGCACAATTATACTCTTTCAGCCACTTCTGGGTATCCTGCAGCACAGATATTTCAAGAGGACGGGTGGCAAGAGCAAGTTTGCATATATGCATCGCTGGCTGGGACGGAGCGCCATCGTGACCGGCATGATCAACACGGGCCTGGGGTTTCAGCTGGCTCAGAAGAATGTGATCATCCACACGAGCTCGTATGTGAGGAGTTATGTTATTCTTGGTATTCTGGGAACGATCTGGGTTCTTTTGGTGCTCTACGACGAGCGCAGATGGCGCAAGCAGCCTCCGTTCCAGATGGAGGAGAAGAGGGAGTCGCAGGAGCAAGAGCAGCCACTGCAAGCTATGACAACATGAAGAATAATAAGAGTTGAAGATTAAGGGGATGCGTCTTACCCTGATAAATTGCATTGAATGACACATTTACCCAAGCTTGTCGTAATCACTGACAGTTGATCTTATGCATAATAATTAATTACACATATCTGACTCCAATTGTGACGAGGATTCATATAATGGGATGTCTTCTGAGGCTCTTGAATCATTGCATAATTTATATTTTACAATCCCGTTATTATATCATCACACTTTTGCTGAATGTCTTTCATCTCAATCGATACGCCGTGATTTTCTCGCTCTTAGAAGCGCCGCTATTTGGTCGCTGTCACAACAATAACAGGATATTTGACTTCTGCAGTACCATCATTGAGCATTCTGAATTCTTCCGTCTGTTGCAGCTCGCGTCTCACAATGTCGACGGCCTCATCCCATTTCTCTTCATCTTCTTCGCGCCATCCACCGCTTGGCATTCCCCTCATACTCCAGACCAGCGTCGTGGCTCGCTCATAGTTGCCGATGTTCACAAACATGTGGCACGGTATCACCTTGATGGCCTCCTTTTCAAAGCCACCAGCCTCCACAATGCTGGCTATAAGACTAGGATCTGTCCACTGTTCGAATGAGTCCCATTCCGGCAATATGCCACCCGCGCGGGTCTCTCGAGATGCCTTGCGGATAGGCTCGAGCACATTGTTGTGGCCGAAGCAGTTCAAGAGGAGCGTGCCCCCCGGTTTCAGCGTGCGATGCATCTCCTTGACTGCATCAATGCCGTTATTTCGCGGGCCCACAAAGATCATCGCATTGCCAAAGCTGTGGGTGAAGGTTTCGTCTGGGAACGAGAGCGAGTCGGCGTCCATGACGAGCCCCTCGGCCGGCCATGACGAGGACGCCGCCCGAGCGCGGTACGAGTCCACCGCGCCTCTCGAAATATCCGTGCCCGTGATGCTGATGGAGGCTGCTACCTCTGGCGGCAGCGAGGCCATGATAACGGTCGTCGCAGCTCCAGATCCGCAGCCATTGTCATGAATTTTGGCGCCGGCCGGAATAGCCGGGATCTGAGCCAGCGAGACAGCCGCCAGTCGCTCCCCGCCATCTCTGGCCAGCTCTTTGAAGCTTTCGGGCGTGGGCGGTATCATCTGCCTCGGCCAGAAGGCCTTTGGACGTGCTGACTCAGTCATGGTTTTCTGGAAGAAACAAGGCGTGGGTGTGGGTAGTTTCTATTTCTAGATCCGCGAAGATCTCGGACAATCGGCTCCAGGACGTCAGAGGCGCACGCGTCGTTCTCAGGTTCACGATCTCCTATTAGCCGGGCTCCTGAGCAGAAACCACGTAACCACTCCCACTGCCACTCCCACTCGTTTGGATCAGCGTGCATGCAGGGACCTGGTCCCCCACCCTGGGCTCCTCTTTCATACAACAGCACATGGGCTCTGTAACAGAAGACTGATGGGACAAAAGCAATGGATTGATTCGAATGCACGGCCTGCACCCGTTTGAATCATGAGCCTCTGATCCTACCAAGCGAGTCAGAAGTGATCAACTGCTCCCTTTAAACAATGTTGGAGTGTTTAGTGAGGAGCTGGGTTTTGCCACTTTGCCTCTTCTCTACATGTATCCTTCTAGTAGCAGCTAAACCGACAGAGTTGACAGGGTTTGATCTCAATAGCGTCCGTGCTTAACACGCGCTCTATTGGAATTGAGATCTAAGCTCCTAACTTTGAGATTAAATCCCTCAAAAAAATATTTAGTATGTGATTTGTTTGCTGCGTGAACCCTAACCAATTGGCTGCAAGAGAATACGCCGTATAGGCAGGGGGTCCTTCTCCGGGGCGAAGCGTCGTACTATCTCAGCCACCCCAGGGACCAAAAGACGTTGTCATTCGAGTAAACCCTTGTTCAACGATCCTAGCTGAGCATTGATATTTCGTACTCCGTGCCCCTATCTAAACTGCTTCAGCCTCTATAATGACGAGGCATCTTTCCGACGTTGAACTCACGGATTGAGCACGGACAGCAGGGTATTTTGGAGAGGCCTCCTGATATTCGAATCGCTTACTGTATCTGGGCTTCTAGAATTCTGATACGCAATGGCCGTGGAGTAACTGCAAACAATACTTTCGCCAAACACTAGCGAAGATCTAGTGTCTGTTTTTCAATGGACACTAGTTGAATAGAGTGTCACTTTATTGGCGGGTGGTTGATCAGGCGCCGCGCGTGGCGCATAGATTTACTTCCAGAATAACCTATCGTGCTGCTGTTATCAAGTACTAGCTGGAGGATGCGCGTATTAGATCCCCACACAAATCTGAAATGGCGAGGGCCTCGACTCATGTACGACCCTTTGTTTGCCAAACGTACCTGCATGACGCTTACACAGATGCAGACACGTTTGCTGCGAGGGACGTTGTCGTGCTTCATCTCAGCTTCCGTGTGTGTATGTGATACCTGGCAGAGACAAGCCACAAAGACACGGTTGCGATTGCAAGGATGGATTGGAGTATCAGTCAAGTAACACATACAAGTTAGATTGGCCTCCTATCGAAAAGCCAATAGTCCACTTCCGTTTGCACATCAAACCTAGCGTCTGAATATCGCCGTTGGCGTGACGAGCCGAGATCCTCTCTCTCCTTTCCTCGTGGCCAAAGCACCACCATGCTCCATAGTTCTAACCGACGCGCGGCGGAGTGTACCAAACGGCCAACATGATTTCCGTATACCGTTGTTGTGTGGGCAGTGGTCCAATCTCTTTCATCGAGTCGTCCTTTATTTCCTATCCGGGTACTGTAGCTGACCCAAGGTTAAGAAAGAAAAGGAGGTAGGACATGGTCTCAGCGGGTAGGTCCTCCTCAGCGCCTGCACTTTGTACATTTCAGATACCCTCGCTCCTCCTCTCTTGGGGTTTTGCTTCTAACATTTCAATTTCGAATTAAAGCGCTCAATTTCCTCTGCTCTTCAACTCTGCCGGCATTGACGAAAGCTATTCTTCGCAACGAAAACAAGCGCCTGTTCGAATCCAACTATACTCTCGACGATCGATATACATCCTTCACACACCCAGATAACGATCGATATCCTCGATTCGGAAATCACGCTTCTCGACCATGGACCGTGATGAGGTCCTCTCTCAGCGTGTTGTCGAAGGCATGATTGCCGACGGCGACACGATTGTCATCTTCCAAGACTACGTCTTACGACTCAACGGATGGCTCGACAAGCATCCCGGCGGCTCTCTGGTTATTCAGCACATGGTGGGCCGAGACGCGACCGATGAAATCACAGCGTAAATATCCCCTCTGTTTCTCAATTACCCTCTTTTTTTGTTCTTCGCTTCCCATGTGTGCACTCTGCCTGCATGTCAAATACAGCGGCTTGCTATGATGCTGCACCCTTGATGCACTGCGTAAACCAAAAATAGCACTGAGAGCAGAAACCACCGGCTCCATCTTGTTTAAGCTTAAACAGCGTTATACCGTAGCAAGCAAGTGGTGCATCCTGTACGCGGGACGGCACGCGGGGGTTGCCAAGTTTGATCAAGATCCCCAAGGACCACCCACTCACTTAGTCCATCATGCTGCTGATTGGTATACAAGTTGCTGACATGATCTCTTTACCTGTGCTCTAGCTATCATTCAGCTGCCACGCTGCGAACGATGAAAGGCTACCGGATTGGTCGGAAACCGACGGGTCCATGGCTAAATAAGACTCCTCCAGTCAGGGGCGGCATCTTTCGACCATACAGCCTCCACAATGAGCCGGAGATTCCGGACTCGTCAATCTGGATCTCAGAACCGGAAAGCCTTTCAGACGATGCCGACAATGATTCGTCCGACGATCTTCTTAGCGACCGCCTAAGCTCCTCATACACACCTGCGTCTCTGTCTCCATGCAGCACCCCTAGCTTGGACGGCGTTGACGCACCAAATGCCGGCATCCCTCGTCTAAGTTTGGGAAAAGGTCTTAGTCTTCGCAAACGCATAGCTTCATCTGCCTCATCTACTACTAGTGCTGCTACTCCGCCGACCAAATGCCCTGTCCAATACACGGATTGGGCCGTGCAGCAAGGGGTCGATAAGGGCGTGCGCGACTACCCGTCTGTAGATCCCGCGGTGCAGCAAGGTATCGTCGACAGGTACCGAGCATTACATCAGCAGATCCACGATGAAGGGCTTTACAGCTGCCGGTATATCGAATATGGCAAAGAAATGATTCGATATACGAGTCTGTTTATTGGCTTTCTCACTGCTTTGTACTTTGAGTGGTACATGACTTCAGCTGTTATGCTGGGGCTCTTCTGGGTTAGCATTGCTGTGTGTCTTCAGCCAAAGAGAATATGCTAACATAATGTTTCACCGACTTCTAGCATCAAATCATGTTCACTGCTCATGATGCTGGCCATCTAGCCATTACTCAGACATTTGCCGTCGACACGCTCATCGGCATGTTCGTCGCTGACTTTTGCTGTGGCCTGTCCATTGGGTGGTGGAAGAGCAGTCACAATGTCCATCATCTCATCACCAATCAACCAGTAAGTCGTTGATGGCTCTTCCCTTCCGCTTCACAGATGAATGATCACAGATGAATGATAGACTAATCTTGTAACTCAGGAGCATGATCCCGACATTCAGAATGTTCCTCTTTTCGCCACCTGCCCTTCCTTCTTTCGATCACTTCGTTCCACCTACTACAACAATTTTGTCTTCGTCTGGGATGCTGCTGCTGATTTCATTGTTCAATACCAAAAGTATATATACTATCCCATCATGGCCCTCGCCCGCTTCAACCTCTACCTTCTCTCGTGGCTACACCTGCTATCCGGCAAATCATCTTCGCTGGGATCTACCAAGGCATGGTGGATTCGGCCGACCGAAATCGCATTCTGTAGCTGCTACTGGTTCTTGTTTGGGTACTGCCTTGTTTGGCGCTCACTCCCGACTTGGACTATTCGGGTGGCCTTTGTTCTAGTATCGCACATCGTCACCATGCCTTTGCATGTCCAGATTACTCTGTCGCACTGGGGTATGTCGACATCAGACCTAGGCGAGTCCGAGTCATTTGCCCAACGCCAGCTACGAACCACCATGGATGTGGACTGCCCTGCCTGGCTTGACTTTATTCATGGCGGCCTGCAGTTTCAAGCTGTCCATCATTTGTTCCCACGAGTTCCAAGGCACAATCTCCGAAGAGTACAGACTCTCGTCAAGGAATTCTGTCAAGACACTAGTGTTCCCTATTCTATTTTGGGCTTTGTTGACGGTAACCACAAAGTTATTGGCCGCCTTGACGAAGTGAGCGAACAGCTCAAGATGATGCTGGACTGCCAAAAGCATATGGCTGAGACAGGGGAGAGCGGACTACACTGAGATGTCGTCACGCACCCAGTCCTGTTATGCATGTCTTTACTTCATTCTTGTCGTTTTTAGAGGGAGGTTAGAAAGGCGTTATGGTAACTTGGAATTATTAGAGGTATTGCTAGAGGCGGAACGTGGACTAGAATCTCTTAGATCTCAGCGTGGGTCATACGTTATATACACCGGTTATAACGTTCTTCTATATTTTATGTCTACATGAGCATAATAAGAAAATAATCTGCTTCAGGAGTATTAATGGATCGTTAATGATATGCAGTGTCTCGGATGTCATGTTGTACTAGTCTTGATAGTATTGAGAGTCCCAAGAGAACCAATCCAGTGTGCTTTCAAATGATCGTTTACGTGTACGATGTGGAGCGTCATCAGACTCCAAACACCCCAATATGTTTTCAATATCAATATTGTCAAACCCCGGCTGTGCAACACTATCCTGATCATTGATATAGGCCATGAAGGCGTCAGTATACGACTCAAAGTCAATCCCCCTTGACAGGATATCCATCTCTTGGACAGGAGTGTCCTCTGAACTTGCGGTTGCTATAGTTGACTCAGTACCTTGAACATTTGAATTCGCATACTCCTTTGATGTGATGAAGCAAGCTAACTTGTAGAACACGAGAGCCGTTCTTTCCAATTTAGAGGAGGCTTCGGGAAGGGATCCGAGCCGTTTCATACTGTTGAAATAAGTGGCGGTCCGATTTAGCAGTTCAAGGTCTTGGTGCACGGTGGGTGATGAGGGATGCTTTATGATGTAGCCGAAAATTGTAAAGAATGGCGTGTATGGGTAGTATAATAACTGCCTACGAAATTGTCAGGCCCGGCAATCTTGGAATTGATTTGATAGCACACACCACACTAGCCCATTATACACGTGGGTTGAGTTAGATACTAGACCAGGGAGTAGTTCAATAGCATCTCGAGCAGCTTGTATACGGAGCTCTTTATTATTTTCGTCTTTGCGTAGTAGCAGGATTAGGATGTGAAGATACTGGAATCTCATGACACGGATACCAATCATCATTTCTTGAAGCTGATTGACTGTTGAGTTGGCCGATTCTGTATCGATGGCTTTCAATAGGAGCTGTTTGTCAATTTAGGATTGAAGCCTCTGCCTTAAATAGTGGGAAGGATACTAACCTCGTTGGTAACCAAGTCCCACGATTGCAGCTGGGCGATCAAAGTTTGATAGACAATCAGTTTTGCGGGGTTTGCTAGAAAATCCAGCACAGCTCCAGTCATTCTTGCTAATAGCATTCCCTGGATGAAGTAATGGGCGCCAAATGTTGAGGTAATAGGTCCATCCTCTGTTTGTATAGGCTCTTTTCGATGCGGATGGTACTTTAAGAGATACTGGAAATCAGGTAGAGGCACATTTTCGTAGATGGCGGTTGGAAGCAACATGGGTCGGCCAAATGCTAAGGAACAAGATTTATCCACAGAAAAGAGCGACCAAAAGAGTGTCAATCGACGTTGTCGCCGTTCATAGCTATCGCCTTTAAGGTTATGCAATCCGACTGCTTGAGCTTGGCGACAGGCATGGCCTACGAGCATCCACGATAGATTGGGCGAAGCATATTGTTCGCCGTGGCACCCTAGCAACATGAGTGCCTGGATATTTGTCTCACTGGGCTCTAGGAATATTCTAAAGTCGTTTAGTGCCAGGTTTGTATTCTTCTTGAGGTTTTCGACGATATCTGCTTGCGAAGCGTCGTGTTGTAGGAGGCTGAGGAGGATGAAGTTGATGTAGACGATCCAAGCGCGTTGAGATAAGGTAGCTGGATTGAATATGGCATTTAAGAGAGTTTCTTCGGATGGTGTGATGAATAAGACTTCGGCGAGCTGCACGTTTTGGAGAAAGTCTGATATCGTTAGCCTTGTCATCTGATAACTGGAGGTAAAGTAGGGCAGACATGCAACTTATTAACCTGTATCCGATGGGCTTTGAAGGTATGGAATAACCGTTAATGAGCTCAAAAGATGCTGTGTCATTGTAAGGTGGTTGAAGAGTAATTGTAGTCAGGGATTTAGAAAGATCTTGCAGTGCAATGGAGGCTGCTTGGTGCTCGGGGAGCTGCTCAGGTACTGATTGACTCTTGATCGACTCTAAATGCCTAGATGCTTCACTCAAATAGGCGAATGAATGTGAGTCATCCAAGGTAAGCTCGGGGCTATCGGCTGGTGGCTGGTAGGTTGACGCAGCCTCATGATCTGATCTTGTCGGGATTGAAGGGGTTTCGGAATCCGCATTCTTGGTGAGAGAGGTATTGATTGTTTCGGAGAGAGTCTCCAAGGCTTTCTCAACACGAGATAGACGCTGGTCGACACCTTTGGAGTATTGAAGGGGTGTGCTTGCTGCTAACTTTGCTGGCTCATTTCTATCGCGTGCAGTGCAGTTAGGACTCAAGTCAACTCTGAGAACCCGTTGCAGTGACATACACGGAACATTTCTTGTCAGATTGTGCGATTGGATTTTGCCTGTGATAGACGCATTCGCCGGGCCAAGGGCGGCATGCTGCACATTTAGGAAGCTCCCTTGAGCATCTTCTCTGATTAGCAATCTTGGCAGAACATGCAGCTTGGTAAACCAACTTGATCTTCTTCTGCCGACAGTGAGTGCACTGTAGATGGATGGGCATCAGCTACAAGGAACGATCGCGGCCATTATGGCACATGTCAAATGCGACGTACCGCAAATCGTGCTAGTCCTGCATTTTTGGTAACCGGCATATTCTCGCTCATGATGACATAGGAAGTTTGGACGAAGCTGTGTTCCTCCGGTGATTCCAAGACAATGGAGAGTTAAGCCAACCATGTGTCAGTAACGAATTCCGGCTCCGAGACCTTTCATTGGCTGCGTCCGGAGTTTATTTTGCTTCTCTCTTACATAAGTCCGGGCTCGTCCAATCAGCGTTTAGGGTGGCATAGACTTGTTGCAAATGAGATGATTTCTAACAACCTCCTTTGTTGAAAATGCATGAAACTACACCGCTAGATATTCATCCTGTGCAAAATGATAGATAGTAGATTATGCGTATTGATGCCACAACCACTAGGTATCAGTAACAGCTAGATTCTGGGCAACGGTGATGATGGTGATGGTAGACTACATCCACAAGCAGATTTCAGGTTAGCCGCGACCAACAATTTACCAAAGGCTTTATAGTATCAATCAGCCCGCGAAACATCGTTTGCTAAATCGTTTGCTAAAATATAAAGAAATATTGGGCATCTTTATTATTAACTATTAAACTTTTGTTTCTAGCATTGTAGACATTTCCCTACTCATCAATCTCAGCATCGATAGCAGTATAAATGCCGTTTATGGATAGCTTGGCCCGATAAACCTCCATGCATATCTTACCGGGAACACGGTATTCATCAGATCCCCGACCCCTATTCTTAGAGCATCAATCTTGGCATATAATTCTCCGCATTATCTTTGGAGCTGTAGCCCGGGCTATACGGAGTGCCAGCGTGGGGCTATCTGCGACGTGGAACGCATCCGAAGATGCATCGTCTTATTGGCCGGAGCTGGAACAAGATTTCCGAGGCTCGAGCTGCGGCTCACAAGGAAAAGTATATATCTACTATTGAACCGTTTGTAAATGGCAAACACTCTCTACACACTTCAATATTCTCTATATATTCCATTCTTTACTCTGCAGCCTAGTCTCAGCATCTTCTACACCATTATTATCATGTCAGTCCCGACAATTGCTATTCTTGGAGGTGGTCCCAGCGGCCTTGCTCTCGCTCGGCTGCTGGAGTGCAACAAAATAGATTATGTTGTTTACGAGCGCGATGCCTCCTCCTTGATGGAAGGCCAAGGTGGTTCGCTCGATATCCACGGAACAACTGGTCAACAGGTCCTGAAAGAAGCCGGTCTGCATGACGAGTTCAAAAAGTATGCGCGCTGGGAAGCGTCAAAGACAATCATCCAGGACAAGAACGGCACAACCCATCTCGTTTCTGGAGAAGATCAAGACGAACCGGAAATCGACCGTGCCACGTTGCGCAAGATTCTTGTCGAGGCTATCCCTCCAAGCAAGATTCGATGGGATCATGCTGTCAAAAGCGTCGAAAAGCTTGGCAATGGGGATATAGCGATCAACTTTGTCAACGGCACTTCTGCCAGCGGCTTCAAGCTGGTTGTTGGTGCAGATGGCGCGTGGAGCAAAGCAAGACACTTGGTAAGCGAGAAGAGCTGCTAGATGTTTATATAATTTGAAAGCTAACTATGAATCAGCTCACTTCTGCGAAGCCACAATATTCTGGCAAGCATTATATTGAAGGAAAAATCTCCACCTCGAATCCGTATCATCCCACTGTAAATGAAAAATTCGGTGCCGCAAGTCTCATCGCTTTGGGAGAAGGCAAACAGCTTTCGGTTGCACAGCAGGGAGATGGATCTTATCGTATCTACCTCGGTTTGGTTGTCCCGGAGGATTTTGCTAAAAGCGTCGTGGACCTCTCCAAGTCAGATGGAGATGCTGCTCGCAGTTTCTTTATAACCAACGCTGACTTCTACGGAACCTGGGGCTCTGAGCTCAAAGACATTATTGCAAACTCACAAGGCGCTTTCAAGGCTTGGCCGCTGTATCACCTTCCATCCAGTGCGCTAAGCTGGAACCATGTTCCAGGCGTAGCCCTCATCGGAGATGCTGCTCACCTGTCTACCCCATTCGTGGGAGAGGGAGTCAACTGCTCGATGTTCGACTCTCTGGTGCTGGCTAGAAAGATCGTGGAGCACGGTGTGGGAAATCTAGACGCGGCAGTGGAGGCATATGAAAAAGACATGTTTGAGCGCGGAAAGGATTTGATCGAGAGAAGCAACGGGAGTGCCAGCCTCCTATTTGCGCAGGATGCCCCGAAGCCACTGCTGGATGTCATTGCAATGTCACAAGCGTGATTAGTGCCAGCTCGATCGATCTGCAGCAGATTGACAGAGTCGGTTCCATAGAGACTCGTTTGCTATTAACATACGCTCTTGGGCAAACGGTTACACATTCGTCCCTACTGATCGATTAAGATTCGTTAGCTAGACTGATTACTTGTTTTGAAGTGACTGAGAGCTTCACGCAATTGTAAAATTCAGATCTAAATTGCTTTATTTATTTTTTACATTGTTATTTATAAAATACAATACTCATTCATTCGTTAGTTTGGTATCTATGTGCGCTTTTATCTGGTACAAGTTGCTAACTAGTCTTCGACTTTTTTCTCGACCTCTTTCTCCATCTCAATTTGTGTAGAGAATTTCGCTCATGTTCTCATCCTTCTTACAAAATCTTTACTACCTTTTCGTTCTTATCTCGTATCACTGCAGCATAGGACCAATCGTCATTATCCCTTATTATGGACACCTTTACATCTCTTTGTCCAGCCACCCCTGAACCGTCCTCTGCCTCTTCCATCTGTCCTGGCTCTTGCAAATCCGCTTGGTCGTCTGAACTCGTTGTAGGCGAGCTTTCAATCTTATCTTTTCTGTATATCGTCGTCATGAGTCCATCAATTGTGAGTCTCGCTTTAATGCCCGCTGACTCGCTGGGATGCGTCAAAATGATGGCAGCGATCGCAAATAGCACAACGCCCAAGACGTAGACGAGTTTAAAAATGATCAAAAGATAAAAGGGAATAGTCGGTACCCGTGTGAGCAACAAGGTTGAGCGAGATTGCTCAAGGAGATTTGCCCGGCTACTTATGGCGCCGATCGATAGCGACAATGCAATATGGGCGACATAGTTTGCGGTTATCGTTGAAATCTCGGCAGAGCTGTTGCTGACACTTGCCAAGTTTGTGGCAACTTGCATCAGATCGTTTGCATGCTGATCGGACAAAGGAGCGGAGAGAATACCGCCCATGGTATTATTCACAAGCGTAGTGTTGAGGCTGGTTACAGAGCCGTTGACCCAAGTATACGTAGCCTCGTAAAATGTCGCGGAGCAGTTAAGGATCCAATTGTATACGTTAGGAATATTAGAGCTAGCAGTAATCCCTTTGTCGGCCATCAAAGCACTGGAATCAATTTGTACTCTTGTAGCCCAAGCCGCAAAATATACTGTATTCTGGAAACTGAAGCGGGTGGTCTTGGTCAAGCTTGCGTCGGTGAATAATCTTGCGCCCGACGGGTTATAAAATATTTGTGCATCGTCTGGGTTGTTGTCAGGTTCGTTGAAATCACCCACAAGTGCGCTCGTGCAGTTGTAATCCGAGTTCCCAGCTTCAATGTTGGTGTTTTGTACGCACTCGTATGTTATCGACTGGCACTGAGCGGACGCTGCGAAAGTGTTGGCTTTGTAATCGAGGCCTGATGATACTGCTGCTGCATCTGCGAGATACAAGATCGTCTGCGATGGGCTTGCTGAGAATTGGTTCACAACGTTGGTGGTGGAGACGTTGTTTGCGATTTGGAAGCCCTCGCTACTGGATTCAAGGATGCTTTGCATCTGCATGATTCCAATATTACATGGCCTACCATCATCGGCGTCTTTTATGCATTTGCTTGAGTCATTTAGTCCGCGACTAAATGAGTGGGCGGGAGGACTGATGACTTGTATTTGCGTTTGTTCTTTTGGGACAACGACAATGCCGAACCACGTATCGATAGCGGGAATTATAAAACTGATGAATGGTAAATAATGCGTACACAGATATTATATCAAAGTGTTTAATGTGGATATAATACGTACCCCAAGAGTGTTGTGACAGTAAGGGTGATAACAACGGCCAACAGAGGACCGTTAAATCTGTTACCCTTCTTCACTCTATAGCATATAGAATCCCAAGTGCCCTGTCAACCACTGAGAAGCAGTCCTAGCATAATGGACATTTGCTTTGGCGTCAGCAGTTTAGCATCTTGTTCGTTTTGTGTTATCTTATGTATGGTGTTCGCAGCGAAAAAGGCGGCTATTCCAGTGACAGCGCTCGAAAGATATGGAATGAACTTTCCAGTCACAGAAGCAATGGTGGTGAGAGATGACGGATTGAAGTCGATATAGTATGCGTTCGAACCTCCTGTTTGCACCAGACTATCGAAGTCGCTCGACGGCGCAGTATTGTTGCCAGAGGGAGAAGCTTGTAGTTCCGGTAAGCCTTTGTTGATAATTACGCGGTGTTTCAAGGTCAAGCCGAGAAGAACTCCAGTGACAGACAATACGAGTAGGCTAGGTATCGCTGCTGCAAGAATGATAGATGTGTAAGCGCCGGTGTGATGCTTTTCATCTTCTTTCTCCGTGACTGCCACTTCGGCCTTTTGTAGGTTGGAAGAATAAGTAGAGTATTTGGGTTTAGCCATTTTGATGAGGTTATCAAGGCAGGTCAAATGAAGCAAAAGAGAGAGAAAAAGAGAAATTTGCTTGCCAAAAAAAGAAGACCGCTAGACATCGGCGGCTTCTGGGCCTCAAGTATGTTTCTCATGTATCTTTAGGCAATTTGTGCTACCCCAGCATGGTGCTCTCTAGCGCTACGTGGGCGGCTGAGAAGGAAGCCTTGGGAGCAGGGAATGCGATCCAACAGCCAACTCGGCTAAGCCTCAGAGGCCCCCAAACCAAGGCCCCTTGCATCCAGCATGGATATATATAGAGGGAACGGCACTTATAGTCAAACTAAGAGGCGGGGCAACGACATCCTACCACGCCACCGATGAACAAGTTATAGAATCAATATAGACAAGCCGGTTGAGCTAATCAAGAGCATCAGATTTATGTTGTGAAGCCGATCCTACGCTCTGGTGGCACCAGGGCCTTGCCACGTAATACGAGGAGGATTTTCAGGCTATAGTTGAGGGCACAAGGGAGCATATGACAGGAAACGCTACATAGAATCTAAAGACCATGGGTTAGGCTATTGTTCTGTCGCAGATGAGGCTCTTATCTCGCGCTTATATGGAGCCTCCTCACTTTGTTGTTAATCTGAAACATTCATGTCAGCTGTTGCGCTGCCAGTAGCCTTTCAGATGTCGGGCTTTTGGCTCCTACACATCGCATCTTTTTGGTATGCACGTAGCGTCCACACCAATCGCGCTGTCGGGCAGTTGACTACCGAATGATACTGTACCAGCACCAAAAGACGATCAGAAATGGCTGCTATTATTATAGCTTCTTGATACACTCAGTACTCTTGTAGTATTACTAGTCTGAAATAGCTTGAATCCCCATTTCCTGCATTCCAAGCGGAATTGAATCCTTTACTCCAACCTCATACCGTTTCTCGGGAGAATTGCGACAGCGTTGTGTTGTAAGCATAGCATTTGCCGTTCACTGCCTATTTACCGTCCGCGCAACATATTTTGTTGCTTACAGCACCGCTGCCACCAATCAATACGCTAACATTGATCATGCATGCATTGCGAATTCTTTCCTATGCAAATCGTTCTCCCACGCATAGAGTAGTTGACTTATTGACACATTTGCCGTTTATGCCATTTTGGTCTTGACGACAGAAGAGCGTTGCTTCATTGTTGTCGATGATGCACGGTGAGTTGTCGCCAAAAACAGGCCGTTTCATCTGGGGGGACAGCGCAGAGCCCCTACTGAACATTGAGAAGTGCTTACATGATCGCTAGCACGATTCTAGGCTCTGGATGCCGTAGCAGCTTCCAATGTGGTTAATGCAAGCAGGATACCCAGCAGAGAAATTGATCTCATGTTGAACAAGTGCGAATGTAATTTTTTTCCTAAATCGAAATGATTCGTATAACACAGATATCCTTGCCAAGTCTCATTCAAGTGCAAGCCCGCTATTTCTCTTAGACGCCAAGCGTTCACGTGTGTTCCATCGGATTATCGGTTGGCTTGCAGCCATGTGAGCCATCAGTCGATATTTGACGTATGCTGCGTCGTATACCCACGACTTTGGTCATATGAGATATGAAGATGGTGTTATGGCAACCAGAGTTTTTAATCGACAGGGTTTAAAAAGCTCTAGCTACGACGCTGCTACAGCTGATAGATACTGATATCACACTTCTAGGTAATACATATTGCACCTATCTCGGAGCCGACATAGAAGAGGATTGATATGGCGTACGCGCGTGTAGAGGCGCTTCAAATCGCTTTATTTATTATTTTTTGGGCTTTTGGCCTTATCTTTGACACTGTAGTGCCTTGTCTACCGCCATTAGGTAGATAGTCTGATCGACCTTGAGCCCATCTCTCTTTAATAGTTGTATCTAGACAAACTATACACAAAATGTTAGTCAATATTGGTTCTAAGGAGGTTTAAGGCTTATATAAAAGGAAGACTCACAACCAATTCGCCGTTCTCGTTAGCAATACGATCGCTCAGTTCAATGCCCTGGCGTTCCCGGTACCCTCCGTCACGCATAGGCAGCTCAGCGGTCAAGAGAGTGCCCTCCAGACGAATATCGTTGGCTGAATCAGAGAAGTCTAAGAAAATACTAATCAGCAATTGTCTATACTCAAATTCCTTATGAAGAGCAGCATATAATAAGGCAAGACGCTATTAAGATAAAAAGCATTCTTAAAATGAGGGGCATCGTAAATATATCGAAAGTGGTGTGATAATTGAATAGCAACAAAAGAGGGCAGGGAAGGACAATACGTACTGACGCCATCCCACATAAACCAGCCATCTTCATTGCCGATGAATCTGTCCAGGTCAATTCTGGACTCGACCCAGTTTCCTTCTCTGTCACAGACGTTGGCGAAGAGAATGTGGCCATCCTCCAGAAAGATATCTCGTGATGAAGCTTGGAAAGACATTGCGCTATAAGAATATGCAAACAAATAAAAGACGTAAAAGGCTCGTGTATGGCTTTGAGTGTTATAGAAAGACGTCAAAACAGACAATGGTACGAATATACATGATATTTATATCTTCCAAGGCAGAGTCCACACATATATGCAGGGAAAAGGAGGCGGCTGTGTAGGTGTGAATATGCCTTATTACCCCGCTCAGCTCATGCAATAACCCCGCCTTGTTGAAATGCCGTGAATTTGATACCCAACACCATGGACGATCTCAGCTAGAGGGGCATGGAATTGTTCATTAAGCATGTGAAGTATGGATAAAGGGTTTAGTCTGCTGTCTAATAAATAGTCTAATTAGGAGCTGCTGGGTATTAACGGCAGAGAAATCTCATTCTTAGTGCTTGATAGCGCCGCCATTTCAGCCTCAGCCGCCTGGCCACAGCCATGTGGATTCGAATCACCCAAGGGCCTACGATGGTCTGGATCGGGAGCTAAATTGGCTGATGCGGAATATGGCTAAGGGCCTGTCACTGTTTGGCATCTGAGCATATGGAAAAAGAGTGGCTGGGCCAGAGATCATCCAACTCCACGGCACCATACGTCAAAATGTCGGTATGCGATTCAGTCACGGCGCCTCTGGCTGACAAACCAGCGATATGCGCGATATATAGACTGTAAGTACGATCAATTGATCTTTTTTATAGTACGGTATAATTACAAGGAACACATTTTCCCATTCTTGAGCTTAATACAGCCAATTTTGAGTCAATGGTGGATTGGTTCTCTATAATCGCCATCATATCATACCGTGTCCATGTTGACACATGAAGATTTCCACTAATTGGCCCCAGCAATTCCGAAGCAATCATTCTCAGTTACGAATTGCAAAACCTTCGATACTCTGAAACAGTGCTTCACCCTGCTGTGGCCTCAAGTTTGGTCAGCCGACAAAGTAACCTTGTGTGCATTCGTAGCAGTAAGTGCATTGATGGATTTCGTCGTGGTTGTTTCGAGGCTTGAACCGCTAACTATGGTTCCTTTGATCTTGCTTATAAGCCCAGCTGTCGAGACCACGCCAAGTTTAAGAGCGTCGCTAATCAACCTCGTTATCCCGTGCTGCATGACGCCACGTTGTATTTCTTCTGTTCTCGCATTTTCCTGTTAGCAAATATTCTGACCACCTCTCCTGCGTCGGCAGGTTTGCTTCAAAAGTTTGACCTACTCTGCATTGCTGGAGTGTGTCCCTTGTGCAGGCTAATAGTATACTTTTTAAGTTGCGACTTCCGATACTTTATCGCCAAGCCAATAGGATGACCCAAGCTGATAATTGTGTGCTTATTACCATCTTCTTCAGTGTTTAATGAGTAATATTTTCGCAAGGCTAAAGTGCAGTTGCGGTTGTTACCACATTAGCAAACAGGACCCTCATAACAACGTGAGTGCTAGCTTACCTTCATCTTTTTCGTTATTAATACACTCAAGCTTGATAGACTCGTCGTCAGCTTTCAAGCCTGCCCGCTTCAGCAGCTGCCGAATGGCTTCGTCATCCTCTAAAGATTTATCGGCCTGCATTAGATATTTTCTCAGAGCAGTAACCGACAAGAAAACAAAGCGAGCTTACTATAAATGATGATGCCATGCTCAAATCGCGATTCGCCCGAATAGCATATCAAGAAGAATACATCAATGTAGCCGATGAGCCGGACCTTGCCAGGCCACCGCTCCCTGTCAATGAGAATATCCCATGGATGGATGTCGCTAGATGCTGACTTTTAAGCACGATAGACGTCAATTAATGAGATCTGCGGTTACCCACTAATCGCATTCGATGATCTTGTCGTCTATACTTCGATCAAAGGTCCGAAGAACACGATGATAGGATGCCATTTTCTGAGAGAATCGGTAGCTTAAGGATCGGTTAAGACATTAAAAGAGCTGATGATACATGCATGAGAAGAGAGAATATTAATATCTATTACCGAGGCGCAGATGAGTTTGGAGCCGCTGCTTGACACTACCTGGCCCTTGATCAAACATTACAGGGGAAAGGCATGAATGTCAGCATCAACTAGCTCATGCGGCTATAGGTGCAAGTAGCGCAAAACGTCGCATAGCTTCACATTAGTCCTGCGTCTGGCATCCTATCATTTCCATCAATTGACCACTGTTGAGACCACGTCACTCGGCTTTGGGTAGTAATGCAGGTGCTTATGGATCCAGAGATGCCGACTGCATGAATTATGGGTAACATTGTCTAATAAAAAGCCGCCGGATGGCATGTTGTTAAGGAGCAACCAATTGAAACGCATATTCTGCGACGAAACCACTAGTCATGGCGGCAGCTGAAGAAGCGGCACAATGGCTAACCTGTTTCTAAATAAGTGATATATGATGCCTCTATCCGTGTTCCAAACATTGCTTTCCTATCTCTCAACGATTATTAAGCGAGGCACTCGTTCCATTCGTTCAATGCGTCTAATCTTCTAGCGCCCAACTTGTTCTTCACTCGTTGTTCATTCAGAGAATTGCAGGCTATGCTACACCTATTTCCCACCAGATACGGTGGTTCGATCCTCCCATCTCTATCTGCAGCAGAGTAGCGCGCGTCTTCCATTTCCTATACCACCATGGACGACGAATTGGAAACCCTGGCTCAGGCTGGAGAGCCAGAGGAGACGTCAAAAAGAGCCAGGCTTGCGAAAATGATGAAAAACATGGGGCGTAACCAGGAGCCCGCGGACGGCCAATTAGACAAGTCTGCAGAGTCAGAAGACACATCAAAGAGGGCTAAGATTGCCATGAAGATGATCAAAACCATGGGCCTTAACCAGGAGATGATTAGGAGTATCGTTACATCATGGCTTGTTCCTCAGTTCAAACCCGAGATCATTGCGGAATACGACCAACGTCTTGCCAAAATTCACGATTTAGGGTTTTTGGGAGTATCAAATAGCTCTGTTGAGGCATCGAGGCCATTTAGAATGTTCGACATTACCGATGGCATGCTTGTTGACGATATCGACCCCTCTGCGCCGTATTGTATGGTGTCCCATCGTTGGAAAGATCCGGAAATCAACCTTGATATGCTTCGAAGAGTTAAGAAGAAAGTGTCAAAGGATTATCCGACTTGGTACAATACCGACCGAACTGACGTCGAAATGATTCTCAAGTATTGTAAAGAGAAAATTATGAAGCAAAGGAAAAAGGTCAATGGCTGCGCCGTGAAGAACAGGGTTGATGAGAAGTTGGCCCAAAACGACTGCTACGTCTTGTCTCTTCTTCGGATGTACCACCGCAGCAAACAGATTCGTAAAGAGATCAAAGATGCTCACGCGCACCTGGAGACTATGATACATGACAAAAAGGTTACAGATATGGAAACCAGAGTTTTCAAGGATCTCAGCAATAAAACAAAGTCTAGCATTGACGACGATGGAACCAGAGCTTCGCTGGCCAATCCCGAAGAACAACAGCCTGCAGTTGACGATGTTGACGATGACACCGATGCTATTAAAGCAGCTTATGAGAGGATATTCGACGCCGAGTGGGAACGCGACAAACATTCAGATGATGCGAAATTCGATACTCTCAGCCGTGATCTGCGTGACATGGTGGAGAAGATGGTTCGCTGCTTACGGTTGTGGAGATCTGCCATCAAGATTGAACAATCGATCCTAAAGGCTGAGAAAATATTCAAGCGAGGCCTGGTGCCCGGGTATAAACAACAGCAGAAATTCTACGTGTGGCTTGATACCTGCTGCATCGACAAGAGCAATCACAACGAGTACTCCGAATCAATGTCGCTGATGGGAGATTGGTATGCCCAATCTGCTTTTACCCTAGTACACTTGGACACTGGATTTGATAGGGTCCCCGACAGATCTGATGCTGAGATCTACTGGGATGAGTATTTGCAGACAGATGGTGACTATCACAAACTTGAGACTATTGCCAATCGAAGAACAGATCCAGTTCAAAAATACGAAGATATTGCGAAGGAGCCAGAGATTGAATGGTCGACCCGGGGATGGACATTACAGGAGCTCGTGATGAGTAGGATGACTTATTACGTGAATGCTGATTGGCAACTATTACCGCGACCAGTTGAAAACCTGGGGCGAGCATACCATCTTATTCCGCACATGGGGGTATACACCAACCTCCTCGACGTCAAGCCCACTTCAAATGCGTGGAAACCAGAAATTCTCATGACGGCTCTGCTGAATTGCGGGGCAGTTCAATACACAGAGGCGATCAAGGCTGTTTATCCTAGAATCGAGAACGAGTCTGATGAAGAAGAGGTTGAAGAAGGTTTCTCTCTGAGCAATGCCTTATTGGCCTCGATTGCTATGCCTTGGAACATAATGGACACCGTCTTTCATGTTGCGAAGCCGGAGCCAGCCAAAGAGGAGCAAGATGAGAAGACTAAGATTAAACTGTCTGGAGATGCCTTGCTCCGCGAAATTTCTGTCATATGGGATCAGAACCTGGCCAGTCAATTCCCTCAAATCGAAGAGGGAGGGAAGAAGAAAGGAAAACAGAAGGCTTTTAAAATAAATGAGCATCTTCGTCTTGAAGAATATACGACCACGGCAGATAAGGTGTCGCATGCGCTTTCCATCATCAAAGCTCTTGAGTTGGTGGGACTTTGCTTTCCCAAGGACATATCTCCTGAAACAGCTAAAACCGAGATTGCTCAAGCTGTTTTCTTTGCTACCATGGCATTAGTCGAGTGCTATGAGCAAACGAAATATCCGATGGTTATTCAAGAAGTGTCATCGCAAGAGAACTTGGGCCAGAAACAAAGCGACAGTGAACAAAAGGCCATTTTGAAGCAAAAACGAGAAATCGAAAAGAGGGTGAAGCTTGAAATAAGGAAAAGGCTTTTTCAAGAGCTTTTGGATTCTTTCCCCGAAGCAAAAGAGCAGTATTCCATTGAGATTCTTGAAAACCTTGAAGAAAAAGAAGAAGCAATTGCCAAGACATTTGCACACATATTGCATGTCCTAGTTGACGAGGTCAACACTTTAATCCTGGATGACCGGCAATACATCGCCGAGTTTGGAAACATCACTCTTCTAGATTCGTGGGTAGATGGAACGCGCAGACATGGCTTTACCACTCAAGAAGTCATGACGCTGGCATGCAAGCGAAGGACCACAAAGTCATTTGATCGCGCATATTCGCTAATGGGTATTTTGGGCGTTCGTTTTCCGACATTTCCTGCTGAAGGGTACGAGAAGGCACTTTGTCGGCTTTTTGACGAAACAGTTACTACTCATAACGACGTATCTGTTTTTAACTGGGCCGGCTACAATAAAGGAAGCTCCATCCGCGGGCGTTCAATGTATCCGTCGACCCAGGAGGCATATCAAGCCAAAGACAGCCGTCTTTATAGCCGCAACTCTATGGCCGAAACCGAGAAAGACAAGATGCTTCAGACTACAAGCTATTACCATGCTATCGTCTCTCTTTTACGCGACTTGATTGAGTTTCTCAAAAAAAGTGTACCGCCGAAGCAGGTGGTTGAATGGATTGGCTACATTTCCGCCATCATCTATTCATTTGATCTAGAGAAGCTGAAGACTGCCTCAGCTTCGGCTGAGACAATAGAGAAATTGAGCGGGCGCAGCAATATCTCAAATGGAACTAGCGCATTGCCGTATGAAATTGAGGTCCTTAGCAAATTCATCGGATTTATTATCAACGGACCAAGTCAAACGAGGCCCGGCCCACAAAGGCTATTGTCGAGTAGGGTGATCCGAAACCCGAGGTTTGAAGTTGATATCAATCCAGATGTTCAGATTGTGGTGGATCCACCTGCTCAGACGCCTGACACAAATCACGAGCAAAATGGTCGCGATTCCATTCCCAATAACAATAACGGTCAAGATGCGTTTGATACGGAAAATACATCTCCGCCGGAACTAGTCGATGTTCCAACACCAACGGAAGATGCAGAAAATAGGACTCCTCCTGTGGGTAGAAAGAGCAGATTTGTTGAGCAGCTTTCAGAAGCAGGTACGATTCCGGTGCCACTTATGACGGGCGAAAACGACACTTCACAAACTGAAAGCAACGTTCCTTTAAGTGAAAATGAAGAGATATCGAGATACCTTCGAAACTGGACCACAAACTCCCTCCAATGGACCATAAAAAACTCACACTCCTTTGAGGCCCCATTGCCAGCCAAAATACAGGGGATACGGCATAAGATCGAGAAAGAGGATAGAGAAAATGGTATTTACAAGACAGCTAGTTTTGGGTCTCCCAATATGGTCTCCCCGCATCCCATCATTGTTACAAACGCAGGCATTGAGAGCATATTTGACATTCAACGTGTCATCATCACAATGGCTGATCTTCAAGGTCTACGGTCACAAGTCGAGCATGCAACAAGCCCAGATCAGATTATTTCTGGCTATTGCTCGATTAGCACCGGATTCGCGCAAGTTATTGTTCAGTTTTCCTGCAAGAGCGAACTATTGAGAAAGCAGCTGGAAGTCAATGACGGGATTGACTTTCGCGTCATGAAAGAGCAGAACAAAAAGGAAGATAAAAAGCGAGAACATAAGATGACAAGTAAGGTCTTGTTTGAGAAGAAGAAGAAGGATAAAAAGGGTAGGGAAGAAAAGAAGAAGAAGAAAGACAAACAAAAGGATGCCGAACCTGACCAAATATTGTCGACGAACGTTAACGAAGCCAATGACGAAGGCGAAGCAGTGAATGATGCCTTGGGAGATCCTCAAACTCGCGACCTCGACGAAGAGAAGACCATTAATCGCATGATCAAGTTTATCCAGGAAGATGATTTGCGTCTTGTTGCGGGTGAATGGGTTCTTGCGAGATGCTCGGGCGTGGCCAATGCGGACTGGTTCCTCTGTCATCTCGAACTAGGCTCTACACATCCATTCTACGGTTATCGCATACCGACGAGCGAGATTGATTTCAACAACTGCTTCCCCGAGGATGGGTTAGTGGCTGAGTGGAACAGATACATGAACCGCAAGAAAGAGGAAATGTGCAAAATACTGGCGACGTTCCTTAAGTCCAAGGAGCATAAGCTCAAGAGAAGGAGGCTAGTGGGTCGCATTATACGTGATCTTGCGCCACTCGACGAGAAAGCTGAAGAGGAACCTCAAGGAACCCCAAGAGGTAGTTTCGAGAGGAATGAAACTAATGGCTACGAGATGAATGGGGCTAATGGCTTGGAGAGAAGTGAGAGCCACGAGGAACAAGGCAACCCCATTCAACATGAGTACGACTATCTGGACGACTTTGCTGAAAATAGGAACGACGATATCAGAAACGATGCCGGCAGGGAACAGCAGCCATTCTCGGAGATATACTCTCAAGACTCTGCATCAAGTGTGCAACATGACGACGTATGGTCAGCTCTACCAGACCCCAACTCCCAGTACTCAACCACAAGCGTCCAAGAACCAGATAGATGGGGTAACCGGGAACTTCGCCCCGAAGACTCCGTATCCAATTACGGAGATCGAGACACGAGACCAAGCCAAGAGGTACCGACCCCATCTTTCGACGACATAACAGTAGTAGGGAAGAATGAACCAGTGGTGGAAGAAGAAGCAGAAGCGGATGAGAAATCCAAGATTTGGGACTATTTGCCTCTGATTGAAAAGGTGGCTGAAAAGACGGCGAAGCATTATGACAAGCATTTGAGCGCTACTGTGTTGAAGGATACACCTACGGTTCTGAGGCAGGCGATTGAGAATTTGAATGACAATAGGGATTTTTTGCCGGCGATGTTTCACTCGGCGAAGAAGATTCACATGTTTTAAATGTTACACGGAGAAAAATATTATTTGATGTTCTTGGGATTGGAGCTTTTTACTTTTACTTTCTCGTGTAGACAGATACACTTTGGATTAACAGCATACAGCGATCAATGCTTCGGCTCATTTGTCATAATTCATTATCTTATATTGTCAATCTATATCTCTTTGCTTCGCAAAAGCTACATACTACCCCTAACTTTAACTGAACGATTGCTATAATAAAGATCCATACGAGAAAAAGGCACATAAGGCCTCTCATACGTGGGATCAAACGCATCCTTCACAACCCCCATAACACGCGCCAAGGTATCCTTCCCAGGATGAAAGAGATTCTCGCCACCCCGGTATAAGAACGTCTCGACCTCTTCGTCAAGCCAAATTGCACGTCCGCGGAGATAGTCCGAGCGGCCGTGCATCAAATCGGGTATGGGTATGCCCAATCTGACTCTAGGCCGCACCGATCGCTCGTGCAGCCGCAGAGTGTCGCGCATCTCATTGAGCAGGTCATGGTAGTTGTCTTGCTCAACCAAATCCAAAAAGCCCAGCTCAATAGATTGCAGCCTGGTAAGCTGCGAGAGCGTCGATATCAGATTGGCGCTGCGTAGTGGAAAGTTCCACAGCCGGAAATGTAAAAGTCCCGCCCATTGTTCAATAGGGAGGAACGTTTCCAACGTTGGTGGCTGAACGATACGGTCCATATCCCAGTCCGTCTCCATGCTGAAGTGCTCTAGCTGCGAAGCTTCCGCTATGGCGTCTCGCAGCAAACCGGTGCGGAAGGCCGGCCAACGCATGTTTATCTTCTCTTGCCCAGCTACAAGAATCGAGAGCTGTAGCTTCTTGAAGTTGGGCTGCTGCAGAATAGCCCGAAAGTTGTCATATTCTTCGCATTCTTGCTCAAAGAGGTTGCAGCTAAGGCCTGTGTGAAGATAATGAGCGTCAATGAAAAATTCCGAGACATGATGGTGCTGCTTCTCTTCAGCCAGAATCTTCGTCACCATGTTAAAGCCGCGCCATATTGCTTTGTCTTCCTCCCAACGCTCTGTGAACCTGATGGGATGACCACCGTGCCGTGTCGGCCAGCCGCGCGGAAGCGGGTAGTTCATTCCAAAGGGAATAGAACGAATCAAAGGAGTTTCGTAAAGAGGAGCAAAGGGAACCCCATGAGTCGCTGGCGTAACGGTGATGGTTCGCAGCGCGGGCAAGTGCCGCAGGGCATAGCGAAAAGCCTCAGCATCAGCTCCCAAAAGAATATTTTGCATCTGTTCTTTCTCTAGCCTCAGCCAATACTGGCTTGCATCCTCCACTGATATTTTACCACCTGCTCGCTGGGCTTTTCTGATGCGTTTAGGAAGGACTCCAACGCCATTGCCAAAACGCCTCTTTATTTCTTGCTCGTTTGCATTTAATTCAATCTGAAGCCACATCGGATCCGTACTCATGTACATTGAATCTGATGCTGGGAGTGTGTAAATACTAACGCCCTCTTCAAGAAGATACCCTACAAAGGCATCGTCGTAAACAATTTCGACAATGTCAGGCCGATAGACGTCGCTTGCGGCAATAGCGTAAAATGTCTGCATATCGGTCGTATACGGAGAGATAAAGACTCGCTTTATGCGCAGCTTGACAGTGCCAAAGAGCCGACAAGTCAAGCGTAGGCTCTTGATTGAGCGATTATCCAGATAGCCTACTATGTGTTCAACAAGCTCCCAAGGCACTGGTGATTTAGTAGTAGGATCTATAAGTCTGCCATTAGCCATCCTGACTGATATTGACTGGGAGAGAAGGTTCAAGGAACCAGATGAAGTTGCGTCCTCGCCATTGGAAATTACTCACCCTTGCTTTCATCTTTTTCAGCCAAGGCGGCTTGCGAGAGGTTGTCCTCTTCCATGGCCACACAAAGGAGTTGGCGATTAGAGAGAATCGGGTGGCAAAGCTGATTGACAAAGGGTTTGCGGCAGAATTGAGGTAGGAAGACAAGGCTCTGCGAGCGGGGGAATTTGAGGGGCTGGACAAACAATATATAGGTATTACTACATGCAGTGCAATGACGCATGTTGATATCCCTTGCATAAAAATGCAGCAAGGCTTTGCAATTCGAGTTAGATTCACGCACGCTTTCAATAGACTCAATGCAGCCCGAGTTTCATCTTAATAGGTCTGAATCAAGCTGGAAAGTGATTGGTGTAAAAGCAACAGCCAGATCAGCGAATTACTCATATTTACAACAGTTCTTTGTGCATGTCTGATTCAGCCAGCTTACTGTGCTGTCGTTGTGAAATCCTATTACGCTGCCAAATGTCTCAAAATCAGCTAGCCATTTGATGTATGTACTCAGTCAAGCCAGTAAGGATCCAACTGCTGCAGAAACTCGAGCTCGACATTAATAAAGCTCTTCCACAGATCAACTTCTCTCAGCCACGGCTTCGTCTGCACAGCAAACGTCACGGCCACACAGTGCTTTAGCAAATCCGCTACATCCTCTCCCATAACGAGGATCAAATCCGCCCTGCTATACACTCGGTCGCCAAACTGCTCCTTCAATAGTCCTAGCCTCGTGCTTATAGTGTGGTGTATGCTAAACTCGCTGCCAGGCATGTCCTTGGGCACAAACTTCCACTCCCAGGAACGGCCGACGCTGTCAACGAAGCTGTTGCCCTGTCGGTTCTGCAGTCCGACCATAAGAGGGTAAAAGTGTGGCGCTGACCAGAGCCGAAGGAGAGCGAAACGCGCGCCCTGATGTTTGCTTGCAAACGCCTGAGCGTGGGGCAGCAGCGTTGTCCATTTATCTGGTCCGATAAAGGAGGGCGGGAAGATTTGTGGAAAGTTTTTGTATTTATCCTCGTAGCAGATGAAAAGGTCCAGTTCGTCTGGGCGATGAGGTTCCATCGCTGCCACGGCCACTCCCGGGACGATTTGCGGATCGTTCTGGCAATAGGCTCCGGCGATGATTCCTGCTCGGTACACTGTAATTTGTTAGCAGTTACCACAATCAAGGCTCCCTCCTAGAGCTGGTTGAAGCAAGCGAGACTAACGTTTGGCTATAGTTGGGCGGATGTTCAGGCTCCATTCGAGAGGGAAAATGTCTGTGAAATATCCTGGACCTTCTGCAATCTTGTTCCACTCATCCCAGAATTTCTTATCACGGTATCTGTAGCTTGTCCGACTCCTTCGATCAGGCAGAGATTTACACCGTTCTTGTGGATTGAACAAGAGAGAATTTCTGAAGCTTTCGCATTCGTCGGATTTCAGGAATGCTGTCACGTTGGTCGTCACATTTGACTCTGGGAAAAACATGGCCACCATCACGAAGGCCTGGACTAAATCCTGAACAATGAAGGGATGAGGCCATGGAGCAGCTGGATCCTGGGCGTAGTCGTCGTAGTCTGCTCGAATCTGAAGCCAGTCAAGGATTTCGACAAGTAAGAAAACCCAGTCAGTCGATCCGGTATGAGCAGTTTTGAGCATGGCGCCAAGTTTATCTTGGACTTGAGAGTACTTTTCGTTACTACCTGGTTCGAGATCTCCCTGGTGGAATGCCTCTTTGAATCCTGATCGTAATAATAAGTATTCATAGTTCAATAGAATTTGGTTTAGTAATTACTTACCAAAGGATCTGTCGCGTTCCATAATTTCCATAAAATCTGCATCTTCCAGTCTATCGGCCAACAGCTGAGCCGGGCTGACGGTGTCAAGGCCAGTACGACTGAGAAGCATGCGCTGCTGCACTGAAAGAGTCTCTTGAGGAAACTGTCCAAAGGCAGTCTGCCATACCTTTGGAAGGGCCCAAATGCTACCTTCATCGCTGTCTAGCGTTTCTTCAAAAGCGGCGGCAGGATCTTTACCCTCACGAGCCAACGCCCAGCTTTTTTCGAGCTGTCGGACGCTGCTAGGATGATTGGCAGTCTCAATGCGACTAATACCATTCCGAATCTCTCGGAAAGGGACCCTCTTCTTGTTGGAGCCAGCCTCGTCTGGAAATAGAATCTCGTCTTCAACGACGTTGGCTTTATTGTAAAACATGTATGGAGAATCGCCCAGCTCGTCAGTGGTTCGGGAAGTTATTTTGTCCTTCTGGATATTGAAAAGCCTGAAATGGACCTGCTCGCTCATCACATGGTCCCAGATACTTTCGACATCTTCGCCCGGCGCTATTTTGCGAGTGCGCATAGTGTCTTTCTCTCTGGTCAATGTGCGCAACAGCGGTTTCATGTGCAAATATGAATCCCGCGGATGTGTTAGGCGCCATGCCATACGAAGTTCCTATTTCGAACAAAGTTGATTAGTGAAAAGGTTCCTTGCCGTCGCATGATATTGGACGAAGCTTACTGTTATCACAACGTTATACATATCCATCGGCGATTCATCCGGCACGAAGCTCCAAATGAAAACATCATAATAGTCCTGGAATTCAAAGCGCCATTCTCTCAGAGAGTCAGTCATATCAAAGTAATCAGGGCCCACCTCTAGAACATTGTCCCATTCATTCTTTGAAGCCCTACCAACGCCGTGCTTCCTACGATAAGTCCAAAGGTGCTTATCGCGAGGTGCCGTTATCACGCGGCCAGTTTTACCATCTCTTACCAGAACCAGTATCTCTCCAGTCCGCATAGTAAGGTATTGTAGAAACCGCCGGGTGACGGGGTTGCTGCGCTTCATGTGACCGACAATAATGTTTCTCCCCTCGACTATGTCATGCTGGCGCCGAATCTTGCTCCGGCCACCAACTTGAAGATGGCGGCTGTATTGTTGAGCGTCGAGATCGATAAAGTAGGGGAAAAACTCTAGCTCTTGTAGCTGTTGAATAAGCCTATTGGTGCCCCAGGAAGCCCAGTTAGAAGCAGGGAAATACTGCCAATGGGTGAGCAGGTTCAAATCTGAGAATTCGGCCCAGTTCCGGCAAAGCTGAATGGCATGCTTAAGGTCACAGTCTTTGGCTATGATGGAGAACTGTAGCCAGCCGTCTCGAGACATTGCCTTTTCGCTGGCATGGTTCCATACACTCTTGCCACATAGAGTAACTCGAATCTTCTGTGATGAGGATTTGGTTCTGTCCTTGCGGGGCTTTAGCTCGTCAGGGAACAGCTTTTCCGCCAACCAGTTGTCAGTATGGAGGTGTGCATATCGATCATTATCAGCTACCATGTCGGCGAAGGTGTCGCCATCTTCATCGTCGGTATCACTTTCGTCCGACAGGTCCTCAGCTTCTTCTTCCGCATCATCTCCGCGTGCGAAATCTGCGCATGCATCTCGAATTTGCTGCAGAGAAGGATCTTCCAACTTTAAACAGAGATCTCGCAAGTCCGAGTCCACTATATCGACATCATTGAGAAATTCCTCCACGCTGTTGGAACGGAGCGCAGCCGGCAGAATTGAAGCCTGCGCAAGCAGCAGCCGGCAGAAGAGTAGCAATTTGATCTCCCTAATATCCTTGACGGCAGACTCAATCTCATCATCCGTCATCGGTGCCGTTCTGGTATAGGTCTCATGAGGATTTTCCAGTGATCCTACAAGCTGGAAGCCCCAAATGTTCTCCATCTTCTTGTCGACCCCCTCGCTCAGGCGCTTCCTCATCTCACGTTCCGTTTCGATTTTCTTCTTGTCCGGCACGTGGTCGTCAGCATTTTTTCTAGCTTCCTTGCCTTCTTGTATAGCCATGAGCCTCTTTTGGCCTCTCTCGGCTAGGCTGGCGGCAGCGGAAATGCCCATATTGCCGGATTTCGTGGCACCTCTCTTGGCACTCGACCTTTTCTTTGCTTTCTTAGCAGGGGTTTGGCTGTCTTGCGTTGGAACAGCCTCTGTGGAGGCGGCCACAGGATCGACCGAGGCATCCTGTTTGTCGCCATCGGGATCGATGACATCCATCCAAAGGAAGTGTTTGATCAAGTCAATGTACTGAGTCCGTTTATCAAGTTCCATGTCTTTGATGGGATCCCAATCCTCGTCGTTGTCAGTCTCGTCCGCTGACATGGCCATGCGCTCCTGGTAAGCTTGTTCGAGATATGCATCTTGGCTTTTCTTTTCTTCCTCTCGCCTAGCTCGTTCCAACCTCGTACGCAATTGATCTCGATAGCGTTTGAACAAGGAAGCCTCTTGCTTGACTCTTTTCTGCTCCTTCTCACGAGTTGCTTCCTCTTCTTCCTGGGCCCTGCGCACCCAAGCAAACCATTGTTCTTTCCGATAGAGTAGATCAGCAGTGCGCTTTTCCAATCTCTCTAGAGATGTAAGAATATTCTGACGCTGGCTGCTGAGCTTATCAATGTACGCTTGGTGCCCATAGTCGATTTGAAGCGAATAGAAGTGCGTATGGTGAAGCTTGCGGGCATCAATTACTTTTCCAATGAGGACATATTTCTCGAATAAATGGGAATGCACCACTCTCAGAGTATTTTCGTCTTCTATGTCCTCAAATGTCTGGTTGGCTAGAGTAATTTTGGCTTTCTTTAGGTATGGAGGGCTCTCGTCATCCAGCGTATCCAGCGAAGCATTACGCCGTTTGTATCCCCTATAGAGGCCGTAGACTTTCTTGGAATGGAACCAGCAAAAGACTCCATTTGCATGTGTAGCCTCTTTCATGCACTTGCTACCGTCAGAAAGGTGCAACGCCTACTCATTCGTGGCCAATAGTGGCGTATGTTAGCTCGAGATTCATCTTTCAGTTCTCTTTGGCGGGCATCAGTTCCGCACCTGGCATTCAGAGATTTCTTGAGTCATGGTGAGGCTTATACGCTGCGTTTATAGCAGTCCTCAGTTACTTGAATCAAATAGTATAGTTTACAGCAAAGGACGGCCACAAGGACATAGCGCAGGTAGACCGCAGCCGGTGGCTTCTGATCCGGGATTGGCGTCTAGCGGTGGCGTTGGGCGTTGCGCTGGATTTTAGGCCAACAATTAGACGCAACTGGGTGGCACTGTGCTTTTTTGGCGAATCTTGCCTCACAACATGCTGTGAAACGATCAATCTTCATGACCCCTCAGATCAGTATCAACAAGCATCGACTACAGGTATCGGCACGAGACTAGGCGTCGTGCAGCAAAAGATGGGGCCAATTGTATGGGCCATATCTCTCCGTAGTGGCGATCGAAACAAAACACTGGCCACGGAGAAAAACTGGCTCCAGCGAGTCAGAAAAGCGCCTTTGTAATTCTTCTGTTTTTGCACGGGGTTGTCTCAGCTTTTGGCAGGTGGATGCGTCGCATGTGGGCGGTCATCTCCTATGCTTGCAAACATGTGCTTTGGGTATGATCCAGGGGATTATGGCCATACGTCAGCTCCCTCTTTCGTTTTGGCGTTTGAAGAACATTCGAAGAATTGCAGAAGACGCTACAGAGAAGAAATTGTTTCAGCACTCAACAAAGCCTCAGAACAAAGCACGCATCACTGGCCATACACACTTATTCAATTGGCACGCTGCGACAGCCAAAAGATAGCGGGGACATGCTACGCAGTGGCGATAAGAGGCTAATAAGATACTGATAAGCCACTGCATTAGCACCTCAAGTCAATCTCGCCCAGACCGAAAAAAAGATCGACATGGAGACCAACCATTGAATTCTACGAGCAACGCGCTCAGAGCTAGTATTTAGCCAATTGGCCAAACAATTTCTTGGCATGACAGAGGCCTAGAGCAGGAACAATGAACTCAAAGCTACGGGATCGACAGAGGATGATCCCTCGTCATAGGCACCTTCGTCATAGGCACCTCATGATGGACTCGTCATAGGCAGAGGATCCTTCAGAGTTAAAGTAGAAGTTGGATGGTATCTTTGGGCTTCTCATCCACATCGCTGAGCGCGGTGGTGCAGGACAGCGCCCCAGCATGTAGACTGAAAGTTATAGGTGGGCGTCAAGATACGAGATGGCTTGCTTAGACCCGGACCTAGAAGTATTGTCGAAGCTGTTGTAAAGCGCCTCGTCGTCACTATCGGTATAGTTTTGCCGAGGCATGTGTATATGGTAGCAGGTGGTGTCCTTCCTATGTCATCACCAACACAAACCAGCACAGCCGTCGATGAAAAGGTTTCGCCGCTTGTCGCAGAGGAGGGACGAACGTGGACCTTTTGTTGGCTAGCTCAATCCACAACCCCATTCTCCACTACCTACAGTGGGCCATGGACGATATTCCAGGAATTCTGCTCTCGAGCTGGACTTTATGTACTATATACGACTACTACTGCAAGTACTACTAGTACTAGTATCAACAATGCTAACTAAAGGCGGTTTATTCCGTCAGGTTGGCTGCACATATCCGCCACAGCGTGCGCGTCGTGCCATACTAGTCTTGAATAGTAACCCTTTTCTACCATCAAGAATGTTGAAGATGCTACTAGCCTGGATACGCATCTTCATATGAAAGTCGTACTGCTACAGGGATTAGCTGGATGATTCAGTACTTCTGACGAGTCTGCGGGAAGCGTACCCCGTACTCCTATATGAAATATACAATCCGCAGAGCTAGGGGTATCAATACTGATGCGCTACTGCTGCTGATAAGTACTGGCACTATCACGAGCTAAGCACACGTGCCAGGTTTTCTCCTCGACGGCCGCTCCCCTCTTTCTGCTGATCACCCTCCACCTCTTCTCCTCATCTTGGACTCGTGGGCTGCGCTGTCCGTCGACATCGTCTTGCAACCTCTTCAGCTTCGGCTGCTGCTAGCACGCTCCCACGAGTATATGCCTCATGTCGGTCGGTGCCATTCCAGAAGCCAACGGTGTTCAAGGCGCGGAGACGATGCCACAAACAGGCCTCCAATGGAGCAAATGGATCAGCGCCGCGGGTCTCTCCCAATCGGCTAACTGCATCCCAGATCTTCCACTTTTCCCAACACGGCGTTGGACGCTAGTCTCCCTGGATCCCCGCAATAGGGATTATCGACTTGAACCCTCGCGAGGGCACGAGTGCATGCATACGAACGAGCGCTCTCGAGAAGAGCAGCTTGAATCAGTAGACAGATGCGAGAACGTATAGCCACCTACTACAATGACCAAAGGGAAGCGACTGGCAAGGCTCCCTCCGAATCACAGACCTCATGTCGCGCGGCCCGAACCTCGCGAATCTTGCAACGCTCGCCTTGCAGCGCTCATCTTCAGGGGCCTCTGCTTGCTACTAGTAGTTGCACCTGGATGCGCGAGGCCGGCTAAATTGCGTTCTTGTGTTCGCCATGTGGCGCCGCCACGGGAAGGAGAAGGGTCCATTGCAAGAGAGAAACCACGTGAAGCGCCGTGTGAGAGTGCAAACCCGACTCAGGCGAGTAATCTCCGAGCCTGGCTCAGTGGCCATGGCAGCACACAATCCGCACCGCCCCAAAGCCATACGCGGCTCTCGCAGAGAGGGACCAGTGCAGCGCCGGTACGCGCGTCAGTCGAGCGTCAGTTGAACCGACACCGACGATGGAGCCCACGCACGCGGTACCGTCTGGAGGGCCCCCGAAGCGATATTCGCTTTACCAGTGCTTGTACAGTATGCTGATGACGAGTGAGTTGAGGCTGCGCGCTGTGCCAAGAAGTGCCAGGCCCAGGCCGGCAAGAGGCTGCGAGTTGGGCTTTGATCTCTGCGCACGAGATACACGTATAACCCTCACCAAGCCTTTTGGAGGCCGTTTTGGAGCAGGGCTGGCAGCCAGTGGGGGTTAGGGGCCGGGGGCACGACCGCGATTAATCTGAGATCGGCTAGGCGCTGCTGCTAGTTTTGGCGCGTACCTGACTTAGTCTTAACGTACACGCCTAAAAACGCTTCTGAGGGCCGCTGGGGCCCACCGTCCCCCTAGGCCTGGACCCCCTAGAAGCTCGCATCGCATCCCTGGTTCGGCGTTACCCCTGGTGGCCAATCAGCGGCGCCAGGGCTGACCTTCTGGTCCTCTAGCCACGGGGGGGAGGGACGCTATTCGCAGTAGCCGTGCTCCATCCTCTGCTGGACCCATGCCTGTGGTTTTGCGTTTGATTGAGATTAAAAACCTGCGCGGGAGCCAAAACATTAATACATTCCCCAGGGCCCTCTTTGCTAGTACCTTCACACTGCTTTCATCCTCGATCTCCATCATACAGCAATTCCGGCGGCTGGCCTCCAGCATCCCAAACACCACCATGTCCTTCGACGAAGAGCGCCAGGACGGCGGCGAGCCTACTTCGTCTTGCCAGAGATGGTCGATGAAGTACCTGAGGTTGCCGAGGCTGACCAAGATGGCCGTATTCCTGCTTTTGGTGGTTGATTTGACCATCGTGGGAATGCTTGTTTACACACTCGAGCCTCTCATCACTCTCCTGCAAAGAAACGAGGAGCTGTTTACGCCCACAGTCACACTGCCTCTCAACGGCACCGCGAGCGCGTCGTCCTACTCTGGCGATCTAAGCCGGCAAAAGATTCCTCGCATCCTTCACCAGACCACCAAAAACAGCACGATTCCGGAGAAATGGGTCAAATCGCAGCAGAGCTGCATGGAGACATATTCTGACTTTGAGTACAAGGTAAGTCAGGACAGACAGGACAGAACAGTACAGAACAGGCCACCAAATGGTGGAAAGGCGCGTTTCTCTGCCGACTGCGCTTCCTCCTTTACCCGACACCGACACGGTTGCAGACTGTCTGGGCTCGTCACTAACTGGAATTTGCTTAGCTGTGGACCGACGAGTTGGCTCGCGACTTCATCTCTTCCGAATACCCTTGGTTCGTGGACAACTGGGATGGCTACGCATTCCCCATCCAGCGCGCCGATGCCATCCGCTACTTCGTTCTCCACCACTACGGAGGCATCTACCTCGACATGGACACTTTCTGCAACGAGCCCATCCCTCTCGAGCAGCTCGAGGCTGGCCCGTCGCCTCATTACGCCCTCTTCAAGTCCACGCTGCCAACTGGTGTCACAAACGACTTCATGATTTCGACCGCACGACACCCCGCTTACGCAGCCGCCGTCTCCAAGCTGCCACTCTTTTACGACATCACCCGATTTTGGGCAGAGATTCAGCCCTACGCCAACATCATGATGTCTTCTGGTCCACTGTTCCTCAGTCTCGTGGTCAAAGATTACTTGCTGGGGCAGCCCTCTTTGCCTTCGCCGACGGTAGAGGTCATCCACCCTTCTGAACTGACGGCCTACATTACCGATCTCGAGAGCGCTACATGGCACAAGGCAGACGCTCATGCGCTGATGTGGCTGGGAACTCGACCATGGACTTGGTTCTTGGGCGGAGCGATAGCGCTACTTGCCATCCTGTACTTGATTAACTACTTGCTGCTAATTACTTGTGAAGCTTTCCTTCGCAAGGTTCCTTCCATCACGTATGCCATCAAAGAGAGCAAGCTGGCATGAGGGGGGGAAATGGGTTTTGTTTTGAGTATATTCGTGTACATATACATTTTGGCGATATCGGTTGCATCTTTTCACACTGAGAATCAAATGGGTCTGATTTACGACATGGAGTATAATTTGGGGGCAATCACGGTGCTACGGAATAACGATCAAGATCTGCGAAACACTCAATAGGAGTTAGATCATATTATACTACCTAATTCAATGACAGAAATTCAAGCATAACAGAGACTCGTTACTAATACGCTGTAGCTGGGAACAAGCTAGGGAAAGAAGATGACGACTCAAATGTTTCAAGTCTCAACAGCAGTGGACCTCCAATCATAAAACAGGCGATAAAACGCTTTGGAGCGCATACAGTTAGATATGCTTACGTCGCCGGGGCCACTTTGGTGTCCGCTA